TCTTGTATAATCAAAAATTTTTTTACCAAGATCGATCCAACCTCTATTCTTGACTTCTTTTAAATTTCAGGCAAAATTTGATAATCTGATGCAAATTTACAAAAAACTGCGTTTATTTTCTGAAATGAACAAAGTAGCAATTTATCTCCAAAAATCAACAAAAAATTTAACTTTGGCCTCAAACAAAACAATTCAACTTGCAGTTAATGATACAAAAATGTCAAGACAATCCGAATTGGTAAAAGAAGAATTTTTAAAAGCCAAGAAATTGATTGGGGAAGAATATCTTTTGGGTTATTTTGAAAAATGGGAAAAGGTGGAGAAGGAAGAAAAACAACATGTGAGGAAGGAGGAATCTCCAATGCCTTCGGAAATGACAGAATTTTCAATTAACCATTCAAAGTCAAAACAGTCTTTTAGTGAAGATTTACCAGACTCGCATGAATCTTTTGCATCAGCGACAAGTGAAACAGAATCGGAAACTTCAGGATCTGCAATACATTCGCACAACGACTCATTTGGTTCTTCGACAAGTGGAAGCTATAAAAGGTCCCCCGTCTCTGTTGTCAAACATTCAGCTTCTCTGCCAGAAATAAACAGAATGCCAAAGCATGAAGTTATAAAGAAATCAGTTTCTGTACCCAACTTTGAGCTAGATTCGACCACTTCATTTACAGTACTATCAGACATTGTTCTTTTTAACTCTAAAATGAAGTCGAATAGTAGTTCCAGAAAATTAAGACAGCAGAATATGGAAGAAGAAAAGATGAAGCAAAAAAAGATTGGTAAAATTTAAAATTTATTTCTAAGGGTTTCGAAAAAAACATCCCGCCGCTACTAGGGAATCATCGCCTATATGGTGCTCAAGGGCCTACTTTTTTACGTTTTCCACTTGTTTAAGTCCTGTGTTTTCCATCCTAGCAAAAAAAGGATGGTATATGGAGGGGGTAGATCAGTTAACAACATTGCATTTGAGCTATCAGGAGCAAATCGGCAATTTCTTAGAAATTAGAGAAATTCTATATATCAGATAGAAAATTAGTTCCAAACCGGCCCCGGACCTTTACCGGTTCCACGGTTCCGGTTTCAAACCGGTTACAAACCTTTGCCGGTTCCACTTCCGGAACCGCACGGTAACCTTTCCATCACTGGTTGAGAGCTATCAGGAGCAAACCTGCATCTTCTTGAACTGTTAAATAGAAAATTAGAATAGGGAATTGGAATTGGGAAATATTGGGAAGAACATCCTCACAATTCCAAGAATTAAAAGTTGTGAAATAGGCCCCAGTTGAGTTTGTTCTAAACAAGGGGAAACCTCAGAAGTTGTTTAATTAAAAAATTTTTTTAAAGAACAAATAAAAAAAGAATATGGAGATTGGAAAGAGTGGGAAAATGAAGTTAAGGATAATCAAAAACAAGTGGGGGAAAAAGTTAAATGGATTTATGGCGTATTCAAGGAAATTGTAGATTCTGTTGAATTGGTTGAGGCAAAGGAAGAAATAAAAGTATGTGAAAGAGAATGTATTCCAGTGAAAAAATTGCCAGAAGATGATAAAAATTTGATTAGCGATTTGAAATTTTCTAAAACTTGAAGTTGAAAAGTGCAAGTGGATATACATGTATATATCACTCCCGGACACATTGTATATATTATTACTGAAGGGGAGAGCCCCATTTTTGCACAACTACTTTGCGGACGTTTCTGTGGACGTTTTTGACGACTTTTCTGTGAACATATAAAAGCTTTTAAATCTACACTTTCTAATTTATTTTATTTTTTAACGTCCAAAAAATTTTTTTAAAGTCCGCAACAATGTTAGCAGAAATGAATGCTCTCTTCTTCAGAAACTTTTTATCAATCGAGAAAAATTGTGATTCAACGGGGGTTGTTTACAACCGTTTAGTTTTCGCCTGTGCAGCTCCTCAAATGTCTTTAATATTCCTCATGAGTTGCCACACGCGAAAATTAACCGGCCGTGAACAATCCTAATTTCAACCTATAAATTTAAAAAAGTTCCAATTCCCCCTCAATTTTATTTATTTTTAAATGTAAACATATTTATTTTTTAAACGTCATCTTTCGAATTTTAACTTTGTAATTTTTCAATTCCATATTTTATTTAACTAACGACGTATATTTAAAATGCTTCTATTAAATTTATCCTTAAACAAATTTTGATTATGTGGATATAAACTTTTTTTAATTCAAGTTTTTGTTAGAGATCCATTATTCTAATTTTTATTTATTGAGTTAGTGTTTGTAGTTGATGTAGGAATTATGTGTTCTACTTGACTTTATGAATCCAATCAAAAATAATTGGATTTTTCTTGGTGTTGCAAACTAGGGGTCCGGTACCAAAACATTTCTTCATGTTCGGGACCTACGCCCACTGGGTCTGGGACCGTTACCCCATTCCTGGAACTCAAGTAGACCGAAATTTGTGCTCGAAGTAACGTCTATCAAAAACGTTTTGAGGACGCGAAACTTTTGAGGACGAGACCTTTGGCTACTTGGCGTAACCTAATCATGTTTTACTTGCTGCATCGCCTATTAAAATGAGTCCACAAGTGCGAACGTGTTTTTACAGTTGCAAAATATAGTTGGCATGATCGAAGAAATAGCCCTACACTGGAAATAAAACAGTTATTTTTACTTGAGAATTTGCTCGTTTACGGAGTTTAAAATTGAATAATTGAGAAAATATGCAAGTTTTTTTGGAAATTTTTTAAAATTAAAATGTTTCGTTAGTCTGAAAAAAAATTTGGAGTTGTTGGATCCACATTTTAAGATAATTTATTATTAATTTTTAAAATGTTATTTTTAATTTAATGTTTTTCCCTTTTTATTTAAACTATTCCCCCAAAACATTTCAAATGTTTCTTTGCTTCATATCATTTTACAACATTTCCCCAACACATTATTTGAATTTATTTCCCTTTATAGTTTCTTATCAACCTATATATTTCAAACTTGTAAATATTCACCCTTTCATTACTTCCCGACCTTTATCATTTATATAAATAGCTTTTCATATTTCTAATTCTTGGCCTTATTTTGAACTTGTCTTTTAATAAATAAATAGTTGAACTTGTTAGTATTGGTTTCCTCATTTAATTGAGAGAGTTCAATTTAAATATACAAGGCCGGGGACTTTATTGAAGTTTCGCCTAGGGCTGGTCGTTAGGGGAAAAACTTTGGCGGCTTAAAATTTAATTATAAAGTTGTAAGCCTACACCTATCAAAAACATTCTGTTTTTCTTATTTGTTGTAAAAAATTTTGTTTTAATTTATTAAAAGAATTAGCTAAAGATGAAGAAGAGAAAGTTGGGGAAAAAGAAGTCAGAGAAAAACAAGTTGTGGAAACAGACGAACAAGTTGGAAAACAAGTTGGGGAAACAGACGAATAAGTTGGAAAACAAGTTGGGGAAACAGACGAACAAGTTGGAAAACAAGTTGGAAAAACAGACGAACAAGTTGGAAAACAAGTTTTAATTTAAATTGATTTTTCTCATTTTCTCTTCCCATCATCCCTCTAGCAACGACTTAAAATTTTACCTCTCCCCTCAAAAAAATCAATTAAAAATTTTTTTTATTCCCTCTAAATGAATTGACGTCAATACCCCTCTATTTTAAAGACAACAATGAAAGTGAAAAGAGAATTTAATAAAGAATTTTATTTACTTTATTGGCATTAAAAAAAATTTTTTTTTATATTCTGTCCTTTCTATAATAAAATTTAAATTAAAGTAAAAATTAAAAAAAAATTTTTTTTGCCCTTTTTGTTAAATAAAACGGCGTTTTAGTTAGTTTATTGGAGTTATTTCTGTTTTGTTTTGACAGAAATTTTAATTTAAAAAATTTTTTCTTGTTAGAAAAACAAATTTAATTTAAATTGAGGGGTATTTATTTTGTCGATTAGCTAGGGTATTTATTTTTAACCCCCTATAAGGGTAGTTATTTAAAAGGAGTAATTAAGCGAGAAAATTAAAAAATTTAAAAAAAATAAATATTTTAAAATAAATTTTAGATAAAAAAATATTCAAAAAATTTTTATAAAATTAAAAAAAATTTTATGAAAATTCAAAAATTTATTTTAATTTTGATAGCATTATTGCTATTGGAGAGGAAAACAATTGGAGAGGAAAACAAGGCGAATGAAGGCGAAAAGGGAGAAATTGAGACGGTAGAGAGTTTAATTGAAAAGTTTAAAAATATGGTAAGAAGTAATGAATTTGAAAGGATGGTTGGATCTATAAGAGAATTTAGAGGGTATTATGAGGAAAATAAAAAAGAAGATAACGTTGAAAAAGAAATTTTAACCCAACTTTTATTTATATTAAAAGAATTACCTAAAGATGAAGAAGAAAATGTTGGAGAAAAAGAAGTCAGAGAAAAACAAGTTGGAAAACAAGTTGGAGAAAAAGTTGGAAAAACGGACGAACAAGTTGGAAAACAAGCTGTTGATTTGAGTATAAAAACATGGGATGAACAAACAATAAACAAGTTGAAAAGAAAAAGCAAACAAAACATGGATGTGTTTATTGACTATATAAATAAGCTTGTTTGTGGGAAAGAAAAGTTGGAGGAATTAAAGAACAAAGCTAGAGAAATAAAAACAATCATGAAAGAAAATGAACATATAAACAATTATGTTTATATAGTTTCTAGAGACTATAGTTTGCAGGCAATTGAACGATTGTCCAAATTTCGAAAAGAAACCGATTCAATTTTAATTAAAATTGTATTGCTAAAGAAGGGTTATCCAACAAATTATTTTAATTTTGGAGAAAATTTAGAAGAAACAAATAAAAAATTTAAAGAATTGGTTAAGATTGGAGATGGAAAATATTATTTAATTAAAAAAGAATTTGATAATTTAAAAGAAGGAATAATTAAAAGTATAGAAGGAAAAAAAGGGAAAAGAAAAAAATTTATAAAATGCCAAAAAATAATTAAAGAAAGGAGTGAATGGTTTGATAAACAAGGAGAATTGGAATATATGAAGCATTACTTGCTTGATAAAAGAAACCCTGTAAAGTTTTTAAATAAGTTGGAAAGAGTAAAAAAGTTGTTAAAAAGAAAAAGAAAGGAAGAAGAAAAGTTGTTAAAAATAAAAGAAGAAGAAAAGTTGGCAGAAAATAAACTTGAAGAAATGAGAAAAGAAACAATTAATGAAATGCCCCCAATAGTTAAAACAATAATAAATAAGGTGGAAATAATCGAACAAGTTTTAATAGAGGGGAAATTGTTGGAAAGAGAATTGGAAGCATTAAAAGAGTTTTCGAAAGTGCATACAAAAGTTGATTTTATAAACAAGTTGGAAGCAATTCAAACAAGTTTGGAAAACAAAAAAGAAAACAAACATGTTGGGGAAAACATAGAAACAAGTAAAACAAATGTTGGGGAAGACATAGAAACAATCCAAACAAGTTTGGAACACAAAGAAGAAAACAAACATGTTTGGGAAAACTTGGAAACAATTCCAACAAATGTTTGGGAAGATCCAGAAAACAAACGTGTTGAGGAAAACTTAGAAACGATTAAAACAAATGTTTTGAAAGAATTAGAGAAAATTAAAACAAGTTTGGCAAAAAAGCAAGAAGGAAACTTTAAAAAAAATGAACAAAGTACAATAATAAAAAAGTTGAAAACAATACAGAAAGATGCAAGAATTGAAAAGTTTAAAACTTCTTTAAAAATGTTGGAATCAACTAAAACAACATTTTATGCCGATGAAATGAAACAAGAGTTACTAAACAGAATTCCAAAGTTTATTGAATGTTTTAAAAACAAGACAAAGAAAAGTTTTGAACAAGTTTTAAACGAGTTGAAAATAGCAAAAACAAGTTTATTAAACTTGAAAGGTCAAACAGAGGTGTTAAACAAGCTGGAAAATATAAAACAAGTTTTAGAAGAGAAAGTAGAGAAAAACAAAGTTTTAAAAATGTTTAGAGAGGTAACAAACAAGTTTAAGAAAAATAAGGATTATGATAAGTTTGTTGTGAATTCAATCAACAAAACAAAGGAAATGTTGGAGGAGGGAAAGCCTTATGAACATGTTCTAAACAAGTTGGAAATAACTATAAATTATTTAACAAAATTTATAACACGAATAAATTTGTTTAACGAGTTGGGATTAACCAAACAAAGTTTTATGGAGAAAGAGAGTGAAGAAAAATTATTTGAACATTTGGAGAGGATGCATGAGATTTTATCAAAAAAAATAAGTTTAGAAACATTGGAAGAAATGAAAAAAAATTTGGGAGTTGAGGGGGATATTGTAACTAAAGAAAACTTGATTGATGAAGAATTATTGATGACTATGCATCAAAAAGTTGGACATATACAAAGTAATATTATGAAGGAACCAGGAGATAATAATGAAATCAAGAAATGTAAAAAATGGGAAATGCCAGAAAGTAAAGAAAAAAATCATGAATTTACAAAGAAAGTGGAAGCGTATAGGTTAGTTATTATTTCCGCAAATTTTTGCGGACTTTTTTAGCGGAAAAATTTTTGCGGACATTTTTTTGCGGAAAAATTTTTGAGGACATTTTTTTGCGGAAAAATTTTTTGCGGACATTTTTCTCTGAAAATTTTTAGCGTACATTTTTTTTGTGGAAATATCTGCAAACCTACCTATCCGCAAAAATGTTGCTACATTGCATCTTTGTCATATAATATTAGAAAAGTCCGAAACTCTCAGTTTTGCGACTTGTTAGCTTTTTTGTTAATCTCGAAGGTTACCTAAGTCTTGTTTTTGGAAAAATTTCAGTCTTGAATGTTTCTAATGTATATTCAATTCAATATAGATTCAACTTGGTCGATCGTTTTGTCTGGTTAGAAAAATTAACATTGACGAAAATAGTTAAAGATAAGGAAAGAATTCGAATTCTAGAAAGTCTAAATGCAAGTATTAAAGAAGCTGCAGATCAAGAGGGTGAAAAGACAAATGAAAAAAAGAAAATGATGAAGAAATTAAAAAGTATAAATGGTGAAATGGCAGCGAATTTAGAAAGCCTTGAGGAACATTTAAATAAATCTGAGATTGTGATGAAAAATTTTATTGATGGTGCTATGGTAAGGATAATTATTATTATAGTAATTTTTGTGCAGACAATTTTGTAAAAAATTTTTTCTTGTGAGACTTACAAATCCATCAAGAAATATGTTTATCTTAAGTGCTTAAGTGTAAATGGGATCAACCCAGAAGGACATAACCCAGATTTTATTAAGACGGACCCAGGAGGTCAAATTACCCAAAATATCAAGTACAAATTTTTGGCGGAATAAGGATTTATGCTTATTAATACGGATTTGTTAGGATTAAGGGGGATTAAGGAGACGGAAATACTCTTGTGCAACTGTCGAATAATGCAAAAGAAAGGAAGCAAACGTATTCTTGATACTGATAAACCTTTATCCACCCAAATATTTGTATTTGACCTTCTGGGTAATTTGATCTCCAGGGTCTGACCTTCTGGGTGGACCCGTGTAAATATCAAAGTGAAGGGAGTCGAACAGTTGGGGGGGGGGGGGGCAAAACTTGTCGTTTTTTATTCATTATTTTATAAATTACTACTCAATTTTAGATAAGAATTGAAGACTTGGCAAGAATTTACAGACAAATTCGTTTACATTCTGGAATGAATAAAGCTGTTTTGGAGCTTTTTAAAAGAACAGGAAATTTAATTTTAGCTTCAGGAAGTACGATCAAAGATGTTGTAAACTACAATAAAGGTGGAAAGATAGCCAAAGAATTTGAAATTGGCCGGCAATTATTGAAAGGGGTTATTGGTGGATATCGTACGAAATTGGACTTTCAAGATCCTGTGACTGTTAACAGAATTTATGAAAAAGTAGATTGGGGTTATTTGGGTCAAGAAGTGCCAGAATTTTCGGATACAATGTCAGAATTAAGTTCATCAACATCAATGCTTGATTTGGATGAATTGACTGAGTCGGTGGATCAATTATCGTCGGTGGATGAATTGCCATCTGTGGATGAAGTGACATCACCGAATGAATCATTCTTCACATCACCCTCCTCAAAATCTTCTGTTGGATCTGACAAAGAATTGAAATTTGGTTCCCCTGCAAGTACAAGCCTATCGATGAGTGAGCTCCCAAAGTTTGGAACATTCACATCACCCTCCTCAAAATCTTCTGTTGGATCTGACAAAGAATTAAAATTTGGTTCTCCTGCAAGTTTTACAAGTTTCCGGTCAAGCCAATCGATGAGTGACCTGTCAAAGGTTTCGAGCAGTAACCCGAAGAAACTATCAAATAAAGAAAAGAAAAAGGAAGCTAAACTCAAGATACAACATGGTAATTCTAAAATAATTGGCAAATGTCCTGTCTACCTGTCCGCAAAGAGAATCCGCTCTTTTCTTTCCTTTTCTTGCATTTTTTGCGTTGGGAGAAGTGCACCCCCTCATTCTCCGTTTTCAGCATTTTTCCTTCTCAATACAATACCGTACTGCACAAAAGTATAAGAACACTTTTAAAAAGCTTATAGCTTGGGACATACTTGACCAAATTTTAGCAAATTTTGTGTAAATATGTGGATTATAAAGAGAAATACGATTAAATAATTAAAATTTTAAATTTTTTAAAACATCTCTCCAAAACTTAAAATTATTAAAATTTCTCGATTTTTTTTACTGCACAAAAGTATAAGAACACTTTGGTTTTTCGTAGTTCTAACAATAGGAAAAATCCGAAAAAAATTCATCAGACATATATATGCATACTATGAAAAAATAAAAAAGAACTAGAACCATATCTTTACCCGGAGCTGAGATACTGAGATCTCAAAAAACAACGTAAAACAGGGTTTTTCAACTTTAAAAAATATTTTCGACCCTTATGGATTACTGTAAATTTTGATTTTTGGCTCATTCGAAAGCCCTTGAAATTTGCTACAAGAAAGCACCAATTTTATTTTTAAGAAAAAATTTTAGAGAGAGAAGCAGGCATTAAACTTCTGATGCAGAAAAAAATGCCTTAATGCCCCATAAAATTCCCCTTAAAGTCGCTTCCGAAGTTTGAATGCATGTACCTCTCTCTAAAATTTTTTCTGAAAAATAAGATCGATGCTATCTTGTAGCAAATTTGAAAGGCTTTCGAATGAACCCAAAATCAAAATTGAAAATACTTCGTAAGGGGTCGAAAAATTTTTTTAAAGAGCCTTACCCCCGTTTTACGTTGATTTTTGAGATCTCAGTATCTCAGCTCCGGGTAAAGATATAATTCTAGTTCTTTTTTATTTTTTCATAATATCATTATGTATCTTTGCTAGAAGTTTTGTAGATTTTTCCTACTCTTGGAAATATCTTTTTTGTAAAGTGTTCTTATACTTTTGTGCAGTAAAAAAAATCGAGAAATTTTAATAATTTTAAGTTTTGGAGAGATGTTTTAAAAAATTTAAAATTTTAATTATTTAATCGTATTTCTCTTTATAATCCACATATTTACACAAAATTTGCTAAAATTTGGTCAAGTATGTCCCAAGTTATAAGCTTTTTAAAAGTGTTCTTATACTTTTGTGCAGTACTGTATGTTTTCCTTTTCCTACTTGCAAAATAAATTTATAAATTTTAAAAGATGATTTAAAAATATATTTTACAATAATAAATTTTGGATAACATTCTCAAATACCAAAATTAGAAACCATGTAGATATTCGATAACTAGTAATAGGGATTTTTTCTTTGATCAAGTTTTTGATCAAGAGTTTGATCGTAGAACAATGGGATCCAGAATTTTTCTACTGAGGAATTATTTGAAAATAGATTAAAATTATAAAAATAGATCCAAATTATAAAATATCAAAGTGTCATATTTAAATTATCTTTTAAAATTTTTAAAATTTATTTTGCAAGTAGGAAAAGGAAAACATACTGTATTGAGAAGGAAAAATGCTGGAAACGGAAAATGAGAGGGGCACTTCTCCCAACGCAAAAAATGTAAGAAAAGGAAAGAAAAGAGCGGATTCTTTTCGCGGACAGGTAGACAGCCAACTGGACATTTGCCAAAATAATTATATGAGTTTTCCCGAGGAATCGGAAGAAAATTTCGAAAAAAACCTCAAAGATATCGAAAATCCAAAAAAACCTTGAAAATCGAAATTTCGAAACAGCTCTATTAGAACATATTAGAATCTTTGATATTAGATTTTCATGTAAAATTCAATCTCTAAGCAAAAATCGCCCTCTAAAATTTATAAAAAAATTTTTAATTTATTCTTTAGAAAAAGAAGTTGAAAAATGGAATGATTGGAAATTTAAAAACGCTGGAACTGATGACGAGGAAACCGTTGGACAACTTAAACTTTTGGATGTTCAAGAAGAAGCAAAAAACAATTTTGCTTGGTTTAATCATGTGTTTTCGGCAATTATTAAATTAGATGAAAGAAAGATTGTTCCAGAATTCAAGGAAAATATTTGTGAAAAAGAAGGAATGAATTGCACTCCTGTTTCTAAAATTCCAGAAAAAACTGAAGATTTGATTGACGAAATGTATGGAATTATTTAAGAATGAAAAGATGAGGAAGAAGATGGGTATTAAAAAGATGTATAAAAGTCCTTTTTATTTTTTAAACACAACTCCATTTTCTTATACCATTCATATTTATCCCTCCAAATCACTAAAAGATACCAAATACAATGTATTTTTTCTATCATTTTTTAAAATCACTCTTATTTATCCCTCTATTTATCCCAACGTCTCTAAAATATGTATTTTTCTAAAGTTTTCTCCTTTATATTTTTTAACCATAATCCCCTTTATTTTAACACAATCCCCCATTATTTATCCCTTCTATTTATCCCAATGTCCCTCAAAGATACCAAATACCATGTATTTTTTCTAAAAGTTTTCTCCTTTTTATTTTTTAAACACATCCACTCTATTTTAAAAACAATCCTCATTATTTTAAACTCAATCCCCATTATTTTAAACTCAATCCACTCTTGTTTATCCTTGCAAATCCATAAAAATTACCAAATACCATGTATTTATTCAATCATTTTTTAAAATCACTTTACCACATTTTTTACTGAATTTTCAATTTAAAAAGCAAGTATTTATGTAAGTACTCTATCATATATTCTAACACTAAAAGTTTATCCTGATTAAAACTAGAGACCGGCGCGGGACGGGATCCCGACGTGATTTTCCGGGATCCCGAAATCTCGGATTTTTTTTATTTTCGGAATCTTTCGGGATTCGGGATTTATCCCTCGGGATCCCGTTCCAGCATCGGTTAAGAAAAAATACCGACATGGGATTCCGGAAGTGCTATTTTGCCGGTCTCTAATTAAAACACCACCATTTATTTTAAATGTTTTATTTTTCTAAAATATACCTCAGCATATCACAAATATAGATAGGTACATGTTGGAATCCGTCAGGGGATTTCCCGGGTCTGATCCAAAAAGTAGCCGGATTTTCAGCATATTATCTGATTTATTTCATGGGATTCTGACCCTCTCGATAATTCAAAAGTCAAATCCATTACGGATTCCAAGACCATTTACCTATCTCTAATCGCAACATTGAACATTTAACTCGTTTTATATAAATTTTCATTCATAAACGATAAAATTTAAAATTGTGTAAAGGTAGGGTTTTATATGTAGGAAGGGTTTTATATGGACTATTAATCGAAAAATATGGACTATAATATGGAATAAAAATCTTAAAATATGAACTGTAAAATATGGATCAAATATGGGCCGAAAACAAAAAATTTTTAACGGAAAATTTCCATTTTTAAGCAGAAAACAACTGTCCGTAAAACGTATGAAAAGATTTTCGGTAAATCACATATGTAGTTAAATGAAAAAATTTTTTAACAATAACTTTCAAAATTGTTAAAATTTTAAGATAACTGAAATATGAAAATTTTTGCATATTCAAATTTAAAATTTTTGCTTAAAATTTAAATTAAATAAAAATGACATTTTATCCCAATTATTAAATAAAAAGAAAATAGTGTATAAAAAAGAGAGACGGTTAGAGAAATGAAGGATTTTTTGATGAGAAATCCGTCCTTTTCCCTTATTTTTGTTAGCTTTTTAATCTAAAAAATAAATTTAATTTTTAGAAGAAATTTTTTATAAATGGAAGTTGATTCAAGTAAAATACCGGTAAATGGCCAAATTGCTGCAAATGTTTGTTTGGCGGATATTGGGTTTGTTTAATTTTGTAGAATTTTTAAAAAAATTTTTTCTCAAGGGAAATAAATGAAGAATTAATCAAATCAAAAACCAAAAAAGATTTGAAAGGGAAAGCTGCAGCAGCAATAAAAATTTTGAGATCTTTTATAATTTCTAATGATTATGAAGCTGCTGAACGTTTTGTTTCTTCGGTCAAATTGCCTGAAAGTGCGACAAATAATGACTGGGCTCGGTGGTTTTATTATTTGGGATTGATTGAGGCAATGAAGGGAATTAATTTAAATAATTACAAAACGGCTAAAAAATATTTTGAAATTGCTTTGAGAAAGGCGCCGACAAATGGGGCTATTGGATTTAAACAGGAAGTTAATAAGGTTGGTGTTTATTTTTGTTTTTTTTTTATTTTTGAGGTTTTTATAAATAGGGCTGTTGTTTCTAGCAAATTTTTTAGATATTTTTAGGCCTGTTTAAGTTCGTTTTAAACGTTCTCGTTTTGAGGAGAAAATTTTAAAGTGAATTGGTTAAGGTTTCAGATCGGTTCGAATGGTGGGCCGTAGGTAACGTGCGTTTGTGCCCCTCCTTTATTTAATTTTTCCGAGATTCCATTCTAGTTCTTTCGACAATTCTTTTTGTTTGATAAGCTGGGAACGGATAATTTTTTTCCTAAAGTTATCCTTCCTATTTTTTGTTTATTTTTATTCTAATTTTGAAAATACACTCTCACTTGGTCGTTCCTGTCTTTTTGAATTTTATTTTTCAAAAAATTCTCTTTTTTCTAAAAACTTTTTTTTAAATTTTCCAGTGGATGGTTCTTGTAATGCTTCTAATTGGTGAAATACCCGAAAGAAGTCTTTTTCGTGCGAAAGAATTTGAAAAAGTTTTGCTTCCTTATATGCGCTTGACTAAAGGTTTTTTTCTCATTAAAAATTTTCTAATTTTTTTTCAAGTCGTAAAATTGGGAGATGTTGAAGGCTACAAAAAAGTAAAAGAAGAATTCGATATTGAATTTACTGAACATAAAACGATGACTTTAGTTGGACGTATTCATCAAAGTGTTATTCGAACAGCAATTAGGCAGATTGCTTTGACTTATTCTCGTATTTTTATTTCTGATATGGCTGCTAAATTACAGGTTATTTTTGGAATATTTTTAATAGGGAGCGGGGCGAGTTATGTCCAGTCGAATTATCGGCTTTGGAAGCGTTTGAGCTTTGCAATATGAAGTTGAGGTTTTTCTACCGGATGGTACCATTAAATTATCATTTGATGATGATAGAGATCGGAAATTTTGAAAAGCCTGGACCTATTCCTGAACTCTGGGGTTGATTTATTGCCCTGGACTGGATCCTAGGCCTGTAGTTTAGGAAAAAACCTAAGCACAGGAAAAACTTATTAGTAAGGTCAAAAAATGCCTGGACCTGGACTATAGTTGCAGGAAAACTCAGGCCTGGGTTTAGACTCATTGTCAGGCCGATCTCTAGTAGATGATGTTTCCTTATAAGTAGATTAACTCCATTGGAAAAAATGCGATTTTACTTATAAAATTCAAAAATTAAATGGTACTCTCTTTATTTTTCTTTAATCCTTTTCAATTTTCTTAAAGTCTCCAACAGTTGAGGATGCTCATGATACAGTTATGAAAGTTTTTAAAGAAGGAATTCTTCGTGGTATGGTTGTCACAAACGATCCAGAATTTAAAAATCAGCCATATGTTAAATTTGGGGAGGCGGATGATCAATATAGAGGAACTGAGCCACAAATAGAATTTGACAAGAGAATCAAGGAATTGTTGGATTTACATAGTCATGCAGTTAAGGCTTTGCGTTATCCGGATAATGCTAATCCAGAGGTTGAAACTATTGAGGAACAACGTAAACGAGAGCAAGAGGTTTGTAAAAAAATTTATTTTTGTTGAGATAGGGTTGACTATGAAGAAAACTATAGTCCCTTTGAGCCAAAGTCTTTGGACTTATGGGTTGGGCGACCCCAGCTGCGGAGATCGACCAGACCAGGCCCGTAGCCAGGGGGGGGGGGAATTCCCCCCCCCCCCCCCCCCCAAAAAAAAAATCCTGGCTACGGGCCTGGACAAGACAACAAAAAACCTTTCTTTAAAAGTTTATTTAATAACCAAATGAAATGGCTGGAAAGAGAACCTGCCCGATTTGATTAAATTTTAACTGACAATGAATTGTTTGGTCTGGCCTGGGTTCTCTTTCCTTTTATTTGCTTCAATAATCTAGACTTGACAAATAATTTGTTCTATAATCTCCTTGGGATGAAATGTCCAATTTTCGAATTTTATTATTCCCACATATCCTATCGGGACACGCCCGACTTGCCGCGGGCCGACTTGTCGCGGCCGACTTGTCGCGACCGACTTGCCGCCGGCCGACTTGTCGCGAGGCCGACTTGTCGCCGGCCGACTTGCCGCCAAGCTTTTTAATTAACACTCCCCTTCCACAAGGTCTACGCGGAAAAAAGTTTTTGCCGCTGCGGAGGAAGCCGGGCATGTCGAGCGGAACGACGGCCGCCGCTTCGCTACGGTCGCCGCGAGCGAAGTGAGCACGACCGCAGCGAAGCACGGCCATCGTGTAGCGAAGACCATGCCCGGCCTACCCTTCGTAGCAGCACAAAAACAGTTTTTCCAGCGAAGATTCTGTTGGTCATAACTTTGTTCAGAATCATCCAATCGAGCTGATTTTGGTGTCATTCGACTCAGCTCGACGAGCTCTTTCGATTGACATATAAAATTGTCCAATTTTGAGTCTGGTACGGAAACTGTAGTTAGGGGTTTTTTAACTTTGGAAAGTTTTTTTGTAAAATTTTTGTTTTATAATTCAGCATGGTCCCATTTGATGGTCGTTGGGACCATTTTAATTGATTATAAATCAGAATATTTAATTAAAAAGCTTGGCGGCAAGTCGGCCGGCGACAAGTCGGCCTCGCGGCAAGTCGGCCGGCGGCAAGTCGGTCGCGACAAGTCGGCCCGCGGCAAGTCGGGCTGTACCCTATCCTATCAAATGTCGAATTATTTTAGAAATCTCCGACAATTTTTTTACCAAAATGTTTAAAAAAATTTCGTTTTAATGAGGCCAATTTTCTACTAACATTAAAATAATTTTAATTTAATTAGAATTTCTTTCTTATTAAGGCACTTGAAGCTGCAGCTGATGAAGAAGATGACGACATGATTGGATAAATTGTGTTTTTTTCTTTTTAATTTTTTTATTCAAAAATATTAAAAAAAATAAATGTGTTTAAATTAAATTTTTTTTAAATTTATTTTTTAAATGTTTATTGGGACATTTTAGTTATTTTTCTGTTTTTAAAGGAAAAATTAATTTTTTTAAATTTTAAAAATGTCTGAATGGATTGAATATAAAAGTCAACTATTAAAAGCCTATTTTTCTTCAAGTGGTGGAGTGGCAAACAAAGATTCTGCATTTTACAAGGAATTTGTGTCGTTTCTTTCTCGTTATGAAACAAAACTTGCTAATAGGTTGGTATTTTTTGATATATTTTTTTAATATCCGAGACTCTTGATCTTGATTCCATGACTTCTTGGGGGTTTTTTCGATCTTTAGCCGTGGAAAATTTTCGGTCTCGGACGTTTCTAATAGGAACCCGCTCATGTAGTCATGAAAACTTGAGCATGGTCCTTTGGATAAGCTCAAGGTAATGGGGAGAAAAAGAAAACCATTTAGTTTTTTACAAGCCAGCCAATCTAAAACCTAGCAATTGGTCAGCTCCGTAAGGTCATAAAAGACTCCTTGTCTATTGCTGACGATCTGCATTGAACAAAGTGTTCGTTTTCTCGAATTAGCAAAATCAGTTATGACATTTTTAGTTATCTTCGGTGTGTGGGGGAAAATAAAGAATTTTTATCTTGAAATTTTTTAAAAATTCATTTTTTAGCACTTCAAAAAGGTCTGCCAACACCAACCTTTTAGAAATTGATGAAGACATTCCTTGTAATTCCCATGGAGTGCCCCAAACCGAATTTAATAAATTTTTTTCAACAAATGTTGTTATTTGTGAAAATGTGGCAGATAAATTGGCTTTGAGGAATGTAAGGGGATTTTTGTGATTTTTGAGGAAAAAAATTTTTTTCAGATCCCCCCTTTAATAATTAAACAATTCGAATTTATCATTTCCCTCTTTTACAAATTCAAAAATTCAAGAAATTTCAAAAAACTAAAAAAATTGAGAAGTGGACAAATAAACTTGCCTATATATCAAAGCAAAGATGAATTGCTTGAAAAATTGGAAAATGTTTGATTTTTAAAATTATTAAAAATTTTATTTTTTGCAGAATCAAATATTGTTAATTGCTGGTGATACTGGTTGTGGGAAAAGTACACAGGTTAATTTAAAAATTTATTATTTTTTCTAATAGTGAATGTGTAGTTTGAGATTTAATTTTGGTCATTAAATTTGTTTGGATGGAAACTTGAATTTTTTCAAATTATTCTAGTTTAGTTAATAGGATCAGGGTATCAAAATTCGTGGATTTTTTTAAATTTAGTTATCAAGGTTTTTAATTTGTTTGTAATATGTATTTTTTCTCCTAATTTCTGTTAAGTTTTGCGTATCCCAATCAAAATTTCGCAGCCGTAATACGTGGTTCCCTATGTCCCCAGATTCTATTAAACATTGTAATTTCTTCTCCTTAAAATATTTTGTTTTAGTTACCCCAATATTTACTTAATGCTGGCTACACCAAAATTGCATGCACACAGCCTAGGAGAATTGCTTGCACAGGTTTTTGAATAAATAATTATTTTTCTAGTTATTTAAAAGCCCTCTCCCAAAGAGTAGCGCTTGAAATGCTTAAACAATTTGATTCTGAAATTGCTTACCAAACAAGGTTTTGCCCTTTTTTGGGTTAAAAAAGTATGAAAATTTCAAGGTTTGATAAAACAAAAACAAGTTCGACTCGAATGCTTTTTCTAACAGAAGGGGTTCTTTTACGCCAACTTGTTGATGATCCTGGTCTACAACGTTATAATGTAGTTATTTTGGATGAGGTTATTTAATTTTTAAATTTTGGGGTGTTTCCGCTATTTAAATTTTAGACGACGGGGAAATTTCGTGAGATGTCAAATACAAAAATTGGGGAGCAGGCCCGGATTGGGCAAATAAGTAATATAATATAATATCGGCAAATAATTGGCCAAATAAGCAGGCCAACGTACCGGGCGTTTCGGATTCGACCATTTACCCAAAAAATTGACTGAAAGAGGAGATGTTTTAATTTTTGTTAACCCTTTCTCATAACCCTTTCTCACTATACCCTTGCTCTTGCGTTCCTTTTTTTCCCCTAATTTTCGCAAACTTTGAAGCCCCATAACTTTTTTAGTTCCTTATTCCTATCCAAAAATGGAAAAAAATTTTCTAGTGTAAATTGTTGATGCTTTATCAATTGGTATCAGAAAAATAAAAAGTTTTGCCTTCTCTTTGGGAGGTTCCCTTTATTAGAAAATTTTAACTCTTTCTCATTAAAAAATTTTTTATATTTTTAGGTCCACGAACGTAATATATCTGGTGATTTATTAGTTGCTTTACTCAAAAGTGCTTGCCAACGAAGAGAAGACCTCAAATTAATTTTAATGTCAGCCACTATAAATATTGAACTTTTTCGTTCTTACTTTCCAGGAGCGCCAGAAATATCTGTTCCAGGACGTCTTTTTCCTATTGAATTGAGGTTTTTTTTAATTTTTTTTGAATTTTTAAGAGCCTTTTTTCAACAGATATATGCCTCCATTAATAAGAGAAGTTGACATTTCTCGTAAAAAATCAACAAAAATAGATGCTGGTCCATATGTAAATATTTTACAATTAATTGACAAAAAATACAAAAGTAGTGAAAGAGGAGATGTTTTAATTTTTTTAAATGGAATATCTGAAATTTCAATAATTGCTGAGGCCTGTAAAGAATATGCTGAATTTACAAAGAAATGGATTATTTTAATTTTGCATAGTACTCTTTCTGTTGAAGAACAACAAAAGGTTTGGATTTTGTGATTTTGTTGCTAATTGTGTGTCCGTCTGTCGTTGAGTTGTCTGTCTTTTTGTGAACTTCTTTGATGAATTTTCTGTGTTTCGGTGAATTGTCCGTCTGTCGCTGAATTGTCCGTCTTTTCGGTGAATTGTCTGCCTTTCGGTGGATTGTCCTTTCTTTGATGAATTTTCTGAGTTTCGGTGAATTGTCTATTTTTAGATGATTGTTCCTTCTTTCGTGAATTGTCTGCTTGTCGGTGAATTGTCTCTATTATTTACTTTAAAAGATTCCAAAAATTTTTAGGTTTTTGACCTTGCACCAGTAGGTATCCGTAAATGTATCCTTTCAACAAATATTGCAGAAACGTCTGTAACAATTGATGAAGTTCGTTTTGTAATTGATTCTGGTAAAGAAAATTTGATGGTTTATGATCCATCAATTAGAACACACAAACTAACAGAAACATGGATTTCTAAAGCTAGTGCTAATCAGAGAAAAGGTTTTTTTATATTTTTATTTAACAAAAGGAATCTGACCCTTTAAAATTGAAAATTCTTGAAGTCGTTGAGGATATTCAGAATAAGAAATTGTTTTTTTGTTTGGAATTTCCTACTTTGTTTACTTAAATTGCCCCATTTGTGGTAAGCCTTGACGGCTTTCAGAGGTTTTAGATATTTTGGCATTACGACGCGTTCCTTAAGAAATCACTTTTATTTTACACTTTTTAAGTAGGGTTGGGGGCCCGGTCCGAAAGATTGAGTCAGGCATCGTATTTTGGCCCGGAAAAGACTCGGTCGGGCCGGCCCGAAAAAGATGACCCCATCCGACTCGAAAACCCCAACCCTACTTTTAATCTACTAGTCCTAGGTCAACTTTTCATTAAACTTTTTTAATTTTCAGGAAGGGCTGGAAGGACAGGTCCAGGTGTTTGTTTTCGTCTCTACTCTGAAGAAGAATTTTCTAAAATGGAAGATTTTACCTTGCCAGAAATTAAACGAGTTTCTTTGGATACTTTAATTTTACAAATTTTGGATATGAATATGCAAAGTTTTTTTTTAATTTTGAGAGAAGAGAAAATTTTTTTATTTTTTTAGTTGATGTTCGCGATTTTCCTTTTCTTGAAAGCCCAGAAATTGGCCCTTTAAATCAAACGTTAGAATCACTAAAAAGTCAAGGTGTAGTGAATGCACTAAATGAGAAAATGTTAACTCCACTTGGAATTATTTTGGCAAGATTGCCTGTTGATATTCCGATTAGCAAGGTTTTTTTTCTAGTATTTTGTGAGGAGGGAGGAAGTTTTCTGTTTCTTTTTTCCTATTAAATCTGTACTAAGTTAGAGAATGGCCCGATTTATTCGATTTTCCTTGAGCCTGGCCTGGCCTGGACTTGTTTTTTTTAAATACTGCTTTGAGGTAGGATGTTGTAATGTCGAACCCCATGGTTTGGCATTTCAATGGCCTTTTTGGGGAACGGCATTTCAACATGTTGGCATTACAATGGTCTCTTGTTTGTGAAATATATTTTTGTAAAGCTGTGTTCTTTAAAATTTAAATTAAACTGTTATAAAATTTTTTTGTTTTGAAATTTCCATTGGACTTATGGGACCCCCTTTTTATCCTTACATTATTTAAAACTTTTCCCCCTTAATTTTCCCTCTATTTAGATGTTAATCTATGCTTGTGTTCTAAATAAATTAGAAATTGCATTAACTATAGCTGCAGGTCTATCAGTACAATCACCTTTCACCAACCGTTCTTTTCGCGATTCTGATTGTGTAAATAGTCGACAACATCTTTTGTCAGATATTGGAGATCCTTTTACACTTTTACGTGTTTACAGAGAATGGCTAAAATTGAGAATGGATGGAGGGCAAGACACGCGACGTTGGGCGCGTCAATTAGGAATTGAAGAAACTCGACTTTTTGAAATAACAAAATTAAGAAGACAATTTAAAGAAATATTAGAACAAGCAGAATTAATTCCAAAACAAGAAGCTAAAGAATGGGAAGAATTAAGTTCGAAAGAAAGAAGAATGCTTGTTGGAGAGAAACGAAAACTTTTTGATTTGAAAAAGAAAGCTGGTTATGAAGGAAAGAAAACTAAAATTTTGAGAGAAGGACAACATTTTGATACAATTTTGGAAAAAAGTGGGAGAGGATTGGAAGAGGAGGAAGAAAAGGAAAGAAGAGGTTAGTTTTTGGGGGAATGGGTGGTTTGGGGGTTGTCAGAAACTCGGAGGACTTTTTTCGGCCTGAGCACGATCAGAATAAAATTTAGCCCCCACCTGGACCTTTTTCTCAGTGTCTCCCGTTCCTGGTTGGGGTGTTTGTTTTTTTTCTGGAAGGAGGGAGCAAACTGGTCCTCCGGTTATTCCCTTTCCGTCGCAAGGCTATACATAACTTTGTTTTATATTTTTAAATCTGGGACACCTATCGTTATTTCAACCTAAAAATTGAATCACAAAATTGGATCAGAGATTAGAAAATTTTAAACAAACTTATGTAGCTCTGGGACTGAATGGCCTCGTGGGTGGGGGGGGGGTCTCAAAACGTACTCGGAAAAGATGTCACAAACTGAACAAAAAATTTTTTTTCAAGGCCCTCAAATGTTGGAGAACACCCAAGATCAAATTCAACATTTGGAATTTTCACTTTTATCTTCTGGAAAGGCTTTAGAACGTGAATTAGCAACTCATAAATTTGACGATATTTTGGCTATACAATTAAAATTAATTCTTGCTATGGGAATTTATCCTCAATATGCGGTTGTTGATCCAGCAAATAATTTTCGTGTAAGGAGACAAAATTTTTTATAAAAAATTGGATTTGAGTTTTATACTATTGGCCTCTTATTTTAAGATAAATCCCGATTTAAAATTAGGGTTGGGGGTCATGTCCGAAAGATCGAGTCGGGCATCGAATTTAGGCTCGAAAAAGACTCGGTCGGGCCGGTCTGAAAAAATGACCCCAACCCAATTTAAAAATGTTTTTTAAGAATTGGTAGCCCACTGATAGAGGAGAGAGGGAGAGAGCTTTCTAAGCGATGTCCCCCAATTTAAATTACCTCTCATTTTAAAATAAAATTTCCCAATTCCAAAGGTAAGTGAGGTTTTCGGTTGTATTCCCTCTTTAAAAAAATTTTTTTCTATCATTTAAGAAAAAAAATTCCTCAAAATTTTACAGGAAGGGCATGACCAATTTGCACACACGCCATCAAAACCATTTGTAGTTATCCACCCAAATAGTTCTTTAGGTCAAAGACCAGAAGCTCTTCGAATAGAAATTGATTTGGATGGACGTTCTTCTCAACACCAATTTATTTTTTATGGACTTTTATTGGAGACAACAAAGCCTTATTTATGCAATACATGTAGAATACCAGCAACTTTTTTGTTAATAATTGCTAGAAATGTAAAGAGGTTTTTAATAATATGGGATAATTCGTCTATTTTAAGAAAAAATTTTGTCTATAAAAAATCCAGTTGGGTTTGAACTCAAAAAAATACAAGGAAACTGATAAGCCTATAAAACAAAAATTAAAAAATATTTGGTAGCAAGAACAGCACAAATTTCGTGCTTTCCATCCTTGATTTTTCCCCCTCAATTCCCCCTATCCTGCTCCTTGATTAACGATTAAATTATTTTTTTGACTACCATAGCTGTGTGGGAGGGGTGGTTTAATAGCTTTGGCTTATTTTCTAAGACCAACATTTTCTGGTTTAAAAAATAATTTTTATTTTTAAAAAGATAACTCTAGTCAAACCAAACATTCTTTGTTGTGATGGTTTTATTGAATTTAATTTTGTTGAAGAGGAAGATTTATTACAAGTATTAAATAAAGCTATAGAATTGAGGCATTTATTACTTAAATCTGTTGAATTAAAATTAAATAATGATGAATATGCTGATTTTAAAGATGTTTGTAAAAATATTGTTAAATTTTCGAGAATGCAAAATTCGTTTAGGTTTGTGAAAAATTTTTAAACTATATTTCTAAAAAATCAACGTTTGTTGACTCTAGAGACTTTAAATTTTTACAATTAAAAGAAAATTTAAGATCTAATTTCCAGCCTTATCTAAAATTTCTATGGTCCAATTTCCCTTGTAAAGCTTGATTCATTATAGCAGATTTTAGACCATAATATTTGTATAGACATTTTGTCCATAATTTAGGCAAAAAATTTAGAGAAATATTACTGATAATTTATATCTGATTTTGAATTTTCCCCTATACTCCAATTTCCGTATTTTTTTTTTGAATTATTCGAAGGTCGAAAAAAAATTTTTTTACTAAAACTTTTATGTAAAACTTTTCTAATAAATTTCTAAAGGGAGGGGGGGGGAGGGGGGGGGATAAATAGTGATTAATGAGGAATTTTCTATACCTAAAATATTTTTTAATAAAAAAAATTTTTTCCTTTATTTACAGTTTAAGAAGAAGAATAGACCCTCCAAAACATTTGCGTTATGGAATTTTTACTGCTAATGGTGAAGAATATATTAAAAATAAATTTTTGGAAGGAAATGAGCCATTATTTAATGAGTTTAAATTTGGTTCTGTTGAGGTAATTTTAAAGAAGAAAAAAAATTTGAAAAAAAATTAAATTTTTAAGGAGGAAATAGCATTAGAAAATGAATTAAATTTAATTGATGAAAAGAAAATTAAAGGGAAAGAATATTTTTGTGAAAAATGTCAAAAGAAATTTTGGTTTGAAGATAATGTGCAAATATTAAAACATAAAAAAGAACACTAAAATTAATATTTTTTAATTTTTTAATAATTAAAAAAATTTTTTAATTAAAATAATTTTTATCTTTTTAATAATTTTTTATCAAAGTTTTTTTAAAAACTAAAATTATTTTTTTATTTTTTTCTTTCCCGTTTTATTTTTTTATTTTTTTCGTTGGACTCTAATGACCAAATTTTTAAGTCTGCTAAATTGTACATTAGAGTCTGGGCTTCCGGTGTAATTTCTTTTGGAAATTTGACTTTTTTATTAAATTTTGTTTAAAATTTTAGAGGTCGGCGAAGGACAGAATCCTGCACAGGATTTTTCAGGATCCTGTCCGAAATACTGCCTTTTTTCAGTTTTCAGGATTCCAGGATTTTCAGGATTAATCCTGAGGGATCCTGTCCTGGTCGAAATTTTAAAACCAAAATTTTGAAACCAAGATACGGGATCCTGCAAATGTAATTTTACCGACCTCTAGTAAAATTAATTTTTTTTTTCACTTTATTTTTTAGAAAAGAAAAAAAGATGGTTATTTATCGCAACATTGTTCGTCGTTTTTCGTTATTATCCCGTTTGGTATTTTTTAAAAGTTTTTTAACTAATTAAAAGGACATTTTATTTTTAAGCATGTCTCAACACCTTGTTTTAGTGCATTGTCTTCAAATGCGTTGCCTGCTGTTCTTCCTTTTGGAAGAAATTCTGTGATGAAAATAAATTTTAGAAATTATCGATTTACTTCAATTTTGGGTTTTTTTAAAAATTTTTTTTATATTTTTCAAATTTTTAGGGGGAGAAGTTGTTGAAGTTTCTGGCCCAGCATTTGCTGAATCGATATCGGAGGGGGACATTCGTTGGCAAAAAAGTTTGGATTTTTTCAAGTTTTTTGAAAGATATTTTTGATTTTAAGAAATTGGAGATTTTGTTAAGGCAGATGAGCTTGTGGCGGAGATAGAGACAGATAAGGTTTGTTATGCTTATTTATATTTTAGAGGGTTTTTGAACAGTTATTTACCTAGGTTTTGTTAGCTTATTATTTTTCTAGGTCTCCGACTTTTAGTGATTCCCAGTAGACCTGTTTTTTTCTACCAAATTATCTTTTCTTAGAATTTAAGTCAATGGGTTTTCTTGGCCTCTCCCGACTTGGGGGACCATGGCTGGACGCATTTGACAAAAAAATTTTCCGTAGTCCGAAAGACAAAAAATCATGCAATATTACGCAATCCCGTGGGGACCCAACTTCACTTAAAAGTTTAATGACCCTAGAGGAAAACCTTTCTCTGAATTTTTTCCAAATTATTTTTCTCTCAAATTTATAATTATTTAAAGACATCTGTCGAAGTTCCCGCTCCTTTTGCTGGAAAAATTGTTGAATTTTTGGTTGAAGATGGTGCAAAAGTGATCGCTAAACAAAAAATTTATAAAATGGAAAAGGGTGCTGAAGGTGGGGCAGCTGCTGAATCTCCAAAAGAAAAGCCAGAAGTAAAGAAAGAGCCGGAAGAAAAACAGGCAGAGCAAAGTATATTTTAAAATTCGCCGTTATAATGCAAACATTAAAATGTCAACACCTCAATAACCGCTGAAATCAGGCTCGTAACCAGATTTTTTCGAGAGGGGGGGGCAAGGGGGAAAATTTGATTTTCAGCGCCGTCTGCTTTTTTAAAAATTTTGAAGAATAATTTTTTAATTTAAAACAATTTTTCTTTTTTTCAGAACCTTCTGATGCTCCAAAAAAGCCTCCACCTGTTCCAGAATTGCCTAAAGAGCCAATGGAGTCTAAGCACGTTTCTGAAATTAAACCTAAAGTTGTGCCGCCAATTTCACAGCAACAAGCATTTCAGCCAAGTTTTTTTTAATTTTTTTAATTAAAAATTTTTTCTAGAAGGGGATTCAACAGGAATAATTGGAGGAAATCGTTCAGAAACTCGTGTAAAAATGAATAGAATGAGACAACGTATAGCTGAGCGATTAAAAGAAGCACAAAATACTAATGCAATGTTGACTACTTTTAATGAAATTGATCTTTTGTTTGTTTTGTATTTTTTTAAATTTATGTTAGGTGCCTGTGAATTTACCAACTTAAATTTGACTAGCTTGTTCACTATTATCAACAAAAATTTTTATTAAACCACTGCCCATTCTGAAATTTACTATTTTTTAATTTAAGTGATTAGTCAGATAAAGACGTGTTGAACCAGGGACGTAGTGACAGAAGACCCACAGACAAAAGATTCACAAGGAAAAATTTTACATATAGTTTAGAAGAACAAGATTGTACAAAGTCACGGCAAGAAACAAACAACGTTAACCTACGGGAGTCGGCTGTGGGTCTTCTGTCTGTGGGTCTTCTGCGTCGACACGGGACTAGCAAATAAGGTTGGCGGTCCCCGAATATCCGATGATCCCTTAAGAACCACCACTTTATTCCGTGGTTTTTGTAGGTTCGAAATTAGTTGGTTAACATTTCCTTTTCTAATTCGTCCGCAAATAGTCGTCCGCAATTTTTAATTAAAATAACTAAAATTTTTTATTATTTTAGCAATGTTATGCAAATGCGCAAAAAATATCAAGAATCTTTTACGAAAAAACATGGTGTTAAACTTGGTTTAATGTCTCCATTTGTTCGTGCATCAGCTATTGCTTTGCAAGAACAACCTGTTGTTAATGCTGGTTTTTTTAGTTAATTTTGATTTAAAAATTTATTTTTAATTTTAAAGTAATTGATGGAGAGGAAATACTTTATAGAAATTATGCTGATATTTCTATTGCTGTTGCGACACCTAAAGGTTTAGTTGTGCCTGTTTTGAGAAATGTGGAATCTTTGAGTTATTCTGATATTGAAAAAAGTTTGGGAGAATTGGGAGTCAAGGTTTTCGTTTATCTTTAAAATTTTTTTTAGTGTTTGTTGTATAATATTGTATGATTGTCGGTTCGGGTCAGTCTCGGGGATTTTTTTTTTGGTTCGGGTTTTCGCTTCCAATATCGAAATCATTTGACTCTTTGGTTCGGATATCAGTAATTTTCTGCTCATCAGTTCTTTAGGTTTATTCCTGGTATCTTTTTACCGACACATCCTTTTTATTAACATTTGTCTGTAGTTATGTATGATTGTCGATGGCCTTTTTTAATCTAAAAATTTTTTGAAATTAATTTTTAAGGCTCGCGAAAATAAATTAGCAATAGAGGATATGGAAGGAGGTACTTTTACAATTAGTAATGGAGGTGTTTTTGGTTCAATGTTTGGCACGCCTATAATAAATCCACCTCAATCTGCTATTCTTGGAATGCATGGAATTTTTGATCGTCCAGTAGCTATTGATGGAAAGGTTTGGTTTTGAAAAATAATTTTTCTGACTTTACAAAAAGGCCATTCTAACAATAAAGGTGATTCCATAGTCAGAAAATTGGCAGTAGGGTATAGACTATGCTCTATCGAATGATACCCAGAAAAAGATAGGAAATTAGTACTTGCAGCTCGGGAGATTCCTTATAGGCCGATTTAAATACTAATTATTCTATATATGGCTAATCTTCGCTTTTTTGTTTAAAATTTTTGAAAAATTGTAAGAAATGGGGCTAGCCTTGAATTCAAAAATGTTTTTTATGCACCCAAAAATTTTAATAAAAAAATTTCCAATCCACAGGTTGAAATTCGTCCAATGATGTATGTTGCCCTCACTTATGATCATAGATTAATAGATGGAAGAGAGGCTGTTACCTTTTTGAGAAAAATTAAGCAATATGTTGAAGATCCGTTGACTATATTGCTAAATTTATAAGTGAAAAGAATAGAAGTAAATATTTTTTAGGTTTTCTTTTTTAATATTTCTCGTTTAATTTTTTTTGAGAAAGGAATAAAATATGAAAAAAATTTTTTTTTAATTTTTTCGATTTTTTTGTTGTTTTTAAAAACAATTTTTAAATATTTGAATAATTTTTTTGATGATTTCTTTTACATAAATTCTGTGTTAAAAAATTTTTTTTTAGATTTTTTTATTATTATTAAAAATTGAAAGACGTTGAACAACAACATAAATTATTAAAAAATAAAACAACAACTACATTTATAAATTTATTTTTAAATTTGCTACTTGACTCTGTGTTTTTAGTATTTTTGCTGACTACCTACTAGTGGTTTTTTGGTTGACAAACAAACTTAGAAAAAAATACCAAAAATTTGTGTGTGATTTTTATTTTTTTGGTGGATTTCAAAATATATTAAAAAGGTTAGTGAAGTTTAAAGATTAAAAAATGGAAAATTTTTTTATTTTCAAAAATATTTTTTAATGAAGCTATCTTCATTAGAAAAATATTTTTTGCTTTATTTGCACAAGCATCTCTCATCCTCTTTTCTTTTTTTTTTAATTTTTAGTTAAATCGATTTCCTTAAAATTATACACACTTATACTAGTTTATTTGGACACTTAAAAATAGGAAAACAATTGCTAAAAAAATTATTTAAAAGCTAGTTTGTAAGAGGGGGAATATATCATCTTTTTGTCCTTTTTACCCATAAGGGATCAAATATTCTTTTTTAAAGTTCAATTTCTTCTCTCACGTGGTTAGGAAAAAAATATATTTTTTTAGAAAAAATTATTTTTTTTCCCTAAATATTTTCTCATGATTCACTTTCCCATGTGTCTTTTTCTTCTTTTTTTTTCTCAAGAGAGACACAAATTCTCTCATAAATTTTTTGGATTTATTGCAACATCTCAAAAATCTTTTTCGATTTTTTAAAAATTATTTTAAAAAAATTGTCTTAATTTTTAAAATAAATTTATTTTACCTGGAAGACGTCCTTAAATTTAAAAAAAAATTTATTTTAGCAGGGAAACCGTTAAAGGAAAAATTTTGGCTGTATATGAAAGGAATGCGGCACTCAAATTTTTTCCTTATTCTTAGAAATGGTTAATTTTCTTATATTTTTTTCTCTGTTTTTGATTTGTGCCTTAAGAATATAAATGCAAAAGGATTATTTTTCTTTTAATTTTTTAATTTCGTTCGTTTGACTGACCGATGTGTGTCCGTGTTTTGACTGACCGATGTGTGTCCGTGTTTTGACTGACCGATGTGTGTCCGATGTGTCCGTCCTTTAACTGAGGATTGACAAACCACGGACGAACTCGGACAGACAAAACACAACTGACACAGCCAAACAAAACACGCATCCTTTTGCATTTATATTCTTAAGGCACAAATCAAAAACAGAGAAAAAAATATAAGAAAATTAACCATTTCTAAGAATAAGGAAAAAAATTGAGTGCCGCATTCCTTTCATATACAGCCAAAATTTTTTTCTGGACAATTTTTTTATTTTTCTAAGGAAGCCTTATCAGTTAAATAAAATAAAATAATTTTTTATAGACTAATTTAGAAATATTTATTTTTTTAGCTATTTAATTAAGAAATACACACACACAAATATTTCTTAAACACACACACCTTTTTAATAATTTTTTTCCTTGTTCGTCTCCTTTTTTTCTTTGCGTTCCCAAGCGACGATTTTTCTCCAACGAGACAGCTAGCTCTTCTTCCTTTTATGCTTAATAATGCTTTTATAAAGTCTGCCCAGAATATCAACATATAAACCTTTCAATCAGATTAAAATCTGAACAAAAATTAATTTGATAGAGAGTACACCTTTAGAGTAGGGGAAAAGTGAGAAATAAAAAAGTTGTAGAAAATCAGAATTTAATCGAAACAAATAAATAATAAAACCAGAATTTAATCAAAACAAGCAGAAAATCAGAATTAAATCGGAACAAATAAAAATCAGAATTAAATTGAAACAAACATTAAAAATAAAATCAGAATTTAATTTAAACAAATGATAATAAAACCAGAATTAAATCAAAACAAACATATCAAAAAGAAAATCAGAATTTAATAAAAACAAACACGTTAAAAAGAAAATCAGAATTTAATCGAAACACATAAATAATAAAACCAGAATTAAATCACAACAAACACGTTATAAAGAAAATCAGAATTAGTTTACAACAAAAACAAATAAAAACAATCATGAGAAATCAGAATTTAATTAAAACAAAATCTTAACATAATTTTTAAATCAGAATAAAACATCATAAAAACATCAGTTTTAAGATGTTTTTATTAACATTGCTGATATTTTGGGTTTTACTCTAAATGCACATTTGATTCATTTTCGTCTTTTGCATGCAATAAATAAATTATTCTTTTTTTTTTCCTCAATCCTTTAACATGTTTTTCAATTTTTTTTTCTAGTAATTCCCCTCTTTTTTTTTATTTTAGGGAGGAGAGTGCAATAAAAAAAAGAACACATAAAACACCCCATTTCAATCATCAAACCATTCATTCACAAATATAATGGACAGAAAGGCGGGTCCATATTCAGATTTTGCTTCCGTTGATGACGGTTGGAAAAATGAAATTTTAAAAAATAAATAAAAATTTAATATTTTTTTATTTAAATTAGATCCTTTAACCGACCCTATAATGGATGAAGAAGCAAAAAAGGTTGAAATTGAATTGGCTAGACATATGCAAAAACATAATATTAAATCTGAAAATGAGGATGGTGATGAGGGGGAAAGTGCAAGATTGAGAAATAAAAGTGGGTGATTTTTATTTAATTATAGTGCAAAAATAAATTCTAAAAGTCAGTTGATTATTTAAATGACCAAAGCCCAAGTGATCAGTAAACATGAGGGGCTTAGTTTTGATGTTTGGTGTTGTTAGGACAAAATCAGAATAATTAAACGAACAAAATCAGAATAATTTAAAAAACAAACCCAGAATTAATTCTGAACAAAACCAGAATTAATTTTGAACAAGACCAGAATTAATTTAAAACAAATCAGAATTAATTTTGAACAAGACCAGAATTAATTTAAAACAAATCAGAATTAATTTTGAACAAGACCAGAATTAATTTAAAACAAATCAGAATTAATTTTGAACAAGACCAGAATTAATTTAAAACAAATCAGAATTAATTTTGAACAAGACCAGAATTAATTTAAAACAAATCAGAATTAATTCTAAACACGAAATTTAAATAATACTTAAGCCTACATACATATTATACACAAAACTTCGCCTTTTACTCTTTAAAGATATTTCCTAAAATTCAAAAATTTAATTAAAATTTTAGGAGAATCTACCGATTCGGGAGACTACCAGAATCTCTCCTTTGGACCTTCCGGGCATGTGATAAGTTCTCCGTACGAACTTTCTCATTACCCAATCGAAATTTTGGAATGTAAAAATGCTCTACAAAAGCAAATTTCAAGCAGGTGGGTAATTAATTATTTTTAATTTATTCCATTAACACTTGGAGGGGCTTTTTCTAAAAATTAAATTTTATGGGTTTTTAATGGTATACATATTTTTTTATTTTTGTGGACTTTTTAGAATCGAAAAAATTTTCTTAGCACTTTACCACATTAAAAATTTTTTTAGCACTTTAAAAAATTCATTTAAAGTGATTTAATCTTTTTCTTTCACAACTAACAAAAATATAAAAAAAATTTTCCATTCACCTTTTTTAACAAAAAACAAAAATTATTTCTCAAGACTGTCAGAAGCTTCTTCGGTTCCTTCAAATAAAACAACAATTTCTACAAGCCGTTCATTAATTCAAGGAATAAATAAAGACAGAGCATCTTCTTCACTTGGTCATCATCAACAACAACAACAACCTTTAATCTTTGAAAATAGCAACATTTCTGGGAATGCTACATTTTCTGCAGCAGGAGGAGGAGGATTACAAAATAGACGCTTATCTTTACAACAGCCATATAATAAGTGAGTTTTGATTTTTTCCCTTTACTTTTTGGATTTTTTTTTCTTTTCCTAAATTTATTAAAAATATTTTGGTATTTTTTAAAAGAAAAAATGACTAATTTTCACAATTGTGGGTTGGGGGTGTGGAGAGGTGAACGGGGTATTTTTCAGGAAAATTTTATTTTTTTTTTGTTAGGAAAGGTTTTTTTGTTTTTAAAGAGCACGTTTTTCATATAAAACTAACTTTTAAACAAACTTTTTTTTTACACAACAAACCTCTATCTATTAAAATCTATCTAACAAACTATTCTCTCTACAAACAGAAAACGCCCCTTATTTTCTGTAGTTAAATTACAATAAAAATTTATTTTTTATTTTTAATATAAAAGATTTTTTCCACACCTAACTAAATACACTATTAATTGTTTTAATTCAACATATTTTTCCACATTTTTTTTCTTTTTTGAAATTTTATTTTTCTTTTTTTTTAAATTATAAGGAGGGTAGGGGGTTGGGGAGAGTGTGTCTGCTATCTGCATAATTAAAAAAAATTTTTTACTTAAGAACCTATACATTCTTTAAGTTATTGATATCATCTAAATAAAGAATTAAATTAGCTGCAAAATGCAACAGAAAATTTTTTAAAAATTCTGCACAGCTTGAGAAATATTTTCAAAAAATCATATAAAAATGCCCAAAAATTTAATTTTTTGGCTATAACTTTGTTGTAAAATAAATTAAAATTTTGGTTTTTGTTTCAATTTGTAGAAAATTTAATTCTCTATCGAATGGTATCAAAATCTTATTAGACGGTTCATTGCTTGTTGAGTTATGGATTAATAAAAGATCGGGTTCGCTTTGAGATTTAGGTATTTTAAAGGTGAAGAATCCTTGGTGTAGTGGGTCAGTGACTTTGATTTCTGAAGAAAAACGGCTTAGGTTCGAATCCTAGTCAGAATAGAAATTTTATTTCTTGATTTTTCTTATGTTTTTTTATAATTTTAAGAATTCTAAATTTGTAAAGTCTTCAAAAATTTTATTTTTTTTAATTTTTTAGAGGAAGACTTGAATCAATTCGAGAGCAACAAGCAGTTGGAACTTCAGGCGCTGTTAGCCCCGAAGAGAGAATAATGCTTAGCCAATGCAGTAATAGTATAGGGTTATCTCCAACATCGCCAAGCGGTGGGGGAAGGCTTTCAGCTATTTCTCCTTCTGCATTTGCTTTTGCTATGGGGAGTGATAAGGTAATATTTTAAGTAGAGAGATCGGACAGTGACTTCAAACGAATCGAAAATTTTTTGGAGATCGGGAATCTTCGGGGCATCGATCTCGACCCGACCAGTCCGGTTTCTAATTAACATGATTTTTTTTTAATTAAAAAAATTTTTTCTTCTTCTTTTGTATAGCTTGATGACATTGACCGAGAATTATGTTTACCACAACATGTTGAAATGCATTCATTTCGTGATGCTATAGATGTTAATTATCAACGAATGGTACCTTGAAAAATTTTTTTGAGAAAAAATTTCTTTAAGAAAAATTTTTTTCTTTTTTTAGGGTTTAACTGGTGAAGAACTTTCTGGGGTAATTAAAAAATTAATTTTTCCTTTTGATTGAAAAAATTTTTTTTTCAGGTTCCTTTGGAAGATTTGCGTAGTGCAGCTCGTCAATTAGTTGAAGCTTTACGTTTGCGTAGTGAATATATGGAATTAGTCGGTGGAGTATTCCCTAGCACTACAAGAAATTTTTTGATTGGAAAATATCCTTCTAATCTTCCCAAATGTAGACGAAAAAATACTGAAACTTGTGAGTTTTTTTTGAGGAATTTAAAAAAGTTTTTGCTTCTTTTTCAATTTAATGAAAGGAAAATACTAATTAATTCTCTTCTTTAATTGGCAGATCATCTCTGTAGGTCGTTTAATCTGAAACATTTTTAAAAAACACACAATTCTCTTTCATTTAGTTTATTGTCTGTGCTTTATTTATGTTTAATATTTAATTATCTTCGACCTCGTTTTTAAAAATACTTTAAAGTTTTATAATGAGCAACTTATAACAAAAAGTATCACAAATTGGGCTTATCATTTAGGCTGTTTTCCCACTAGGCTTTTAGTATTGTCCAAGTGACCATGATTGTTTGCTTAGGTAACCAAAAAGTTACTGGTAAACCACATTCTATTACTATAGGCCTCGTAGGCAATCAAAAAAAATTTTTTTTAATTCGAATCATAAGTATTTACTAATTTTGTGGGTATCTAGGAATGAGGTTCGATTGTTACTTGATTTTATTTTTTCCTTTTTAATCTAAACCTTTTTTAATTATTTATTAAATGTCTCGAAATTACAAGAATACACACACACCTTTCAATTACAATCACTCACTCTATTCACCTCTTCACACATTTTTCATCTTTATTTTTTAGCTGCCAGTATGTCATATAACCCTCCAGAACCTCCAAAAGATCATTGGGGATTAGACCAACCATTACCAATTTATGAGCAATTGTTTGACTTGGAAAGGCATCGAGGCACGGTATTTAAATTTTTGGAAATTTTTCTTTGATTAAAATTTAATTTTAAGGTAGCCGTTATAGATAAATCAATAAAAGAAATTTTTGAGCCTTTAAAAAAGTTTTATATTACTCGTGAGAAATATTTGAAGTAAGGAGTTTTTGTATTTATTGAAGGCATTAACCGTCAGGCTGGACGCAACCCGAAAGAAATTTTTTGGTTAAAAATTCGGAAAAAAATTTTTTCTGCAGTCGCCATTTAATTTTAAAAATCCGTAGTCCGTAAGTAAAGGAAACCAACACAATTTAGTTCTCATTTTTGAAAAATGCGTCCACCCCTGATTTGAAGTGCCTTGTCTCAATTTTGTGCCCCTTTTCATAAAAGGGGGTGTCACGGGTACCCGAAACTCCTGTCTTTTTTTCGTCCCGAAATTGACCCGACTTTTCTCTCTCTCTGACACCCTTGTTCAACAGTTTCTTAAGCAGTTCTTCGGAACTAAAAAGGCACTAGTCATTGGGGAGGTTTATTTTATCGAACATTTACGGATTTCTTTTTTTATGCTCTTAGATTTTTATTATTTAAAAAAAAATTTTTTAAGAGACTTTAATTGGTTAAACCGTATATGTAATGAAGGCCCTCTCAAAACTTTTTGTTATCGTCGCCTAACATTTTTACAAACACATTTTCAACTTCACGTACTTTTAAATGAGCAATTAGAAAGTGCAGAACAGAGAAGTGTTCCACATAGAGATTTTTATAATATTCGAAAAGTTGATACACACATACACGGTTTGCTTTTTTTAATAGAAAGAATTTTTTTAATTTTTTTAAGCGGCAAGCTCAATGAACCACAAGTTAGTTTTGATAAGTTTTATGATTTAAAAAAGTCCGCACATATTTTCCGTAAACCGCAATAATCCGCAAATAGATAATATTTTTTAAAATTGTAATGTTCTCTTTGGACTACCAGTAATGTGAAAGGAACGTACTTGATAAAAATATTTATAAAAGAAATTAGGGTTGGTCCGAAAGATCGAACTGGGCATCGAATTTTGGTGGCCCTAAAAAGACTCGGTTGGACCGGCTTGATAAAAATAAGACCCGAAAATCCCAAACTTGAAAGAAATGTTTTCTTCACATTATTAGTAGTTTGGAGAGAATATATGTATCCATAATATTTTTATAAAAAAGGGAAAATTATTGTGGGGACTTGGAATGCAGATAAAAAACTTGCGGATTTTTTTTTATAATCATAAAAAGTAACAAGGAAAAAAAATTTTTTTCTAGACATTTGCTTCGATTTATTAAAAAAAGAATGAGAACTGATGCTGATGAAGTTGTTCAGTTAAAAGTCAGATTTTTTAAATTCTTAAAAAATTTAAATTAATAGAATGGAAGGCCAATTACAATGAGGGAAGTATTCGAGAAAATGGGTGTTAGTCCATATGATCTTTCTGTTGATATGTTGGATGTGCATGCTGATAGAAATACGTAAGGAAGGGTATTTTTTGATTAGTTTTTTGTTTGTTTTTCTGGGAAAAACTTTTTATAATCAAAAAACTTTTTTGATTTATGATCTATTAAAGTCATTTCCAGTAGGATAATTTTCCGAAGGCTCATTTTTCAAAAAGTCCATTCTTTAAACTTGAAAATTTTACAAATCCCTCGTTTGTTCTAATTTCAATTTTTAGGGGTCATTTTAAATTTAAAATCTCTTTAATTATATTTTACCAATTTTTTTTTCAGTTTTCATCGTTTTGATAAATTCAATGCAAAATACAATCCAGGTTTAATTAAATTAATTTTTTTTATAATTTTTTTTAGTTGGTCAAAACGATTTGAGAGAAATATTTATAAAAACGGACAATTACGTAAATGGAAGATATTTTGCTCAAGTACTTAAAGAAGTTTTTATTGATGTTGAGGTTTGTTTTTGGAGGAGGAGGGGGATTCTTTTGACTTAAAAAATTTTAAAAATTCAACAAATTTCCCTTCAAATTTTTTAAAAAATTTTCAAAAAATATTTTTTTTATTTTAAGGAAAATAAATACCAAAATATGGAGCCTCGTTTATCAATTTATGGACGCGATAAAGATGAATGGGACAAACTTGCTAATTGGGCAATTACGCATGATGTTTGTTTTTTTGGAAATTTTTATTAAGAAATTTTCTGAAAATTTTTTTTTCAGAATTTTTAAAAATTTTCAAAAAATTTTTTGAAAATTTTTTGAAAATTTTTAAATATTTTTTTGAAAAATTTCGAAATTTTTTTTTGAATTTTTTTTTAATTTTCTAAAAATTTGAAAAAATTTTCAAAAAAAATTTTTTTCCTCCAAAAAAAAATCGTTTTAGGTTTGGTCACAAAACGTTCGTTGGATGATACAAATTCCTCGTTTATACGACGTTTATCGTTCAAAAAATTTACTTTTAAATTTTGATGAATTTCTTTCAAATATATTTTCTCCACTTTTTGAAGTTACAAATGACCCAAAAACACATCCAGAATTACACAGATTTTTACAGGTTTTTTTTTGAAGGAATTTTTTTAAAAGAAGAAAATTTTTGTTTAAAGCATGTTTCTGGATTGGACTCTGTCGACGATGAATCTAAACATGAACACGTTCCTTTTACTAAAGATTGTCCTGAACCTGTGGATTATACGAGTGACGAGGTTTTTTTTTGAAAAATTTTTTGACTATTATTTTATTTTTCTTCATAGAGGAAGCTTTGTAGTAGAGATCGGCACAGGACAGGATCCCGCACAGGATTTTTCAGGATCCTGTCCGAAATCCTGCCTTTTTTTCAGTTTTCAGGATTGTCAGGATTCCAGAATTTTCAGGATTAATCCTGCAGGATCCTGCCCTGTTCGAAATTTTAAAAACCAATCCTGTTACAGGATCCTGCAAATGCGATTTTGCCGATCTCTACTTTGTAGGTTTTTTTGAGCCTCCCCCGTTAGAAAAGAATATTTGACTTTAATGATATACTACCAAAGTCAATTTGCTTTATAGACGGATTTAACCAAATTCTTTAATTAACTGAAACAGAGACGAACATTTTCGTTTTTGTTTGAAAACAACAATGTTAAGGGGACAATTTTTAAGTTTTTTTTTTCAATTTTTGTTCTTTAATGGTTTTTTTTTATTCCCCGAATTAAACAGCTTCTTATAACACTCCTTGGTCTAATTTTAACATAAATTTTTTAGAAAAATTAATCTTTTTTTTTCAGAACCCATCATATTCTTACTACCTTTTCTACATGTATATGGTTGGGATTTTGTTTTTTATTAATTTTATTTTTTTGAAAAAAATTTTTTTTTCAAAAAAGTATTGCACAAGTGTCTTTGTAAAATTTTTTTGGAAATTTTTTAGCTTTTGGAAATTTTTTAGAAAATTTTTTCAAAAAATTTTCTAAAAATTTTTCTCCAAGAAAAAATATTTTTTTTCAGAATTTGGCATCCCTAAACGCTTTTCGACAATTGAGAGGATTAAATACATTCGCATTACGACCTCATTGTGGTGAAGCTGGGCATGTTAATCATTTAAGTGTAACGTTAGTTTTTGTTTTTTATTATTTTTTTGAATTTATTTTTAAAGTTATTTAACTTCTGAAAGTATTGCACATGGTCTTTTACTTCGAAAAGTTCCAGTTTTACAATATTTGTTTTATTTGGCACAGATTGGCATGGTAAACGTTTTTTTTTGAAAAAAAGATTTTTTTGGGGATTTTTTGGAAATTTTTTAATTTTTTGAAAAATTTTTTTAAATATTTTTTTGTAATTATTTTTGAAATTTTTTTAAAATTTTTTTCAAAAATTTTTTGGAAAATTAAAAAAAATTTTTTTTTGAAATTTTTTTAAAATTTTTTTCGAAAATTTTTTGGAAAATTAAAAAAAATTTTTTTTTGAAATTTTTTTAAAATTTTTTTCAAAAATTTTTCATTTTTTTAAGGCAATGTCCCCCTTATCAAACAATCACCTTTTCTTAACTTATCATCGTAATCCAATGCCCGATTTTCTTATGAAAGGTTTAAATGTTTCTTTATCAACTGATGACCCTTTACAATTTCATATTACAAAGGTTTTTTTTTTAATTTTATTTTTTTAATAAAAAAATAAATTTTTAGGAAGCTTTAATGGAAGAATATTCTATTGCTGCACAAGTTTGGAAATTAAGTTCTTCGGATATGTGTGAACTTGCAAGGAATAGGTTTTTTTATTTTTTTAAATTAAATTTAATTTCTAATTTTTTCTGATTTATTTTTTATTTTTAAAAATATTTTTTTTTGAAATTTATATTTATTCTTTCGAAAATTTTTTTCAGTGTTCTTCAATCAGGATTTGAGGTAATTAATTAATTTTTAATATTTGTGAATGACAGCTTTTTGCGCCCTCTTAATACTCGAGAGCGCAAAAAGCTCGTTACTCATAATTCCACTTTCTAAAAAATTTATTAAAAATGAATGGGGAAAATTATTTTTAAGTACGAGAAATTAAAAACTGAGGCCCTCTTATTTTCTGCTCCCCAACCCTTTTTTGATTTTTTAATTTAAAAGATGACAATTAAAAATTAAATATTTTTTAAATTTATTTAATTTAATTTTTTTAGGATCGTATAAAACTTTATTGGTTAGGTCCAAATTATCGAGAAGAAGGTGTTTTGGGCAATGATGTTGCTAGGTAAGAGAAAAAAAATTTTTTAAATTAAATTAAAAAAATTTTTTTGTTAGAAATTCAACTTTTTTAAAGTGGAACAGACTAGAGATCGAGATTTTTGAAAAGCCTGGACCTGTTCCTGGACTCTGGAATTTGATTCTTGATTTGGACTGGACCCTAGGCATGTAGTCCAGGAAAAACCCAGGAAGAGTAAAAAATGCCAGGACCTGGCTCTGGGCACAGGAAAAACCCAGGCCTTCGTCCAGGTCCAGCTCGATCTCTAGAACAAACACAATTAAAATTTAAATCAAAATTAATTTTAAAATAAATAAAAAAATTCTTTTTTTAATAAATTTAATAATTTTTTAAACTAACAATAATTTTTAATTATTTTTTAAAGAACTAATGTACCTGATATTCGGGTCTCTTTTCGTCATGAATCACTTGTCAATGAATTATGCAATTTATTTAAAGCACTCTCATTTTAAAGAAAGGAAAAAAAATTTTTTGAAATCTAAATTGAAGCCTCTCTTTTTTTTAATGCGGGAAAGTATTTTTAAATAATTTTTTTATTCATACTTTTTTAAAATTTTAAATTGGCATTTTTTTAATTTTTACAAATTTTGTTGTTTATTTAGAAAAAAATGTTAGAAAAAAAATTGAAAAAAAGAATTATTTTTTTTTATTTTTTTTACACAAAAAATATTTTTATTATTAAAATACCTAATTCCTGAAAACAATAGTACATTCTTTTTTTAACGTAGATAAATGACGGTTTTCATTATTTTACTTTTATGGCTAGAAAAAAAAATTATTTTTGTTGGAAGCACTTTTAAGAAAATTTTTTTATAAAAAATTTAATTTTTTTTAAATTTTTGCACATTTTTTGAAAAAAATAAATTTTTTGATTAAAAATAATTTTTTATGGTTTTCTATTTTAATTAATATATGAAATTTTAAATAAATAACACTTTAAAATATTTTTAAAAATTAAAATCCTTTTTAAATTTTACTTCCATATTTTAATTCCTTCGACAATCGAAGCTGACATAAATGTTCCTTTTAAATATATTAAAGTGCTTTATTATGTGTTTATAAAAACCAGAATTAAAAATAAATCAGAAATTTTTGTGTTTATTTTAAGATTTATAAAAATCAGAATTTTGTTTAAAAATCAGAATCTATTCCCAACAACATAAAAATCAGAATAGTAAAAACACAAATCAGAATTTAATTCTAAAAACATTAAATATAAAATAAGAATTTTTATAAAACATTAAAACCAGAATTTAATTTATAAAACACAAAAACCAGAATTTTATTTTGGAAAAACCAGAATCTATTCCCAACAACATAAAAATCAGAATTTATTAAAAACATCAAATATAAATTAGAATATAATTTATAAAACACAAAAACCAGAATTTAATTTTGAAAAACCAGAATTTGTTTTTATATAAAATACAATGTCAGAGCTTAGAAAAATCAGAATGTATTTTATAAAATACATTTTTGTATTTTCCTTTTCTTACCCTTTAATTATTATTTTTTAAATAAAGTTGCAAAATTAAAGTTTTGTATTTTACTTATAATTTTAGCTGTTCTTTACTCTTTTTACAATTAAGCATTTTGTCTAAAAAAGGAAAAAAAGAAACTTTTTTGTTAATTTACTTTGTGTTCCTAATTAAATTTTTTTTCTAAAAATAGGTTGCTAATTTTTCGGGTAATTAGCAATAAAAAATTTTAAATTTATTTAAAAAAAATTTTTTTTTTAATTTTTCTATTATTTTTATTACACAAAAAAAAATATTTTTTTTGTTAATAATTTAAAAATTATTTTTCAAAAAATTATTTTTTTTTATTGTTTATTTTTAAAATAGGTAGTAATAGTTTTCTGACTTTTCACCTTTGGAGTTTAATTTTTAAAAAAATTAATTATTAATGCAAATTAATAATTAATGTTTTTTTACTTTTTTAAAATTAAAATACGCACACATTAAATAATCTTTGAACAATAAAATTAAAATATTAATTTATTTAAATTATTTTTATGTACTTGTATACACAATTATTTTAATTAATGAGCAAGATTTGAGAATTAAAAAAATTTTTTCTTAACAAAAAAAATTTTTTTTTATTTAAAGGACTTTATAGGACTTCTTTCTTGTCAATTAAATAATTATTTAAATTAATTTTTAAAAAATTTCCAAAAAAGTTTTTCCCTTTTTTAATTTAAAAAATATATATTTTTATATAATCCCCCTTCTAATTTTAATTAAAAATAAAAAAAAATAAAAAATAAAAAAATAAATTAATCCTTACCGGAAGGTGTATAAAATATATTAAATTGTAAATTATTTATTATTTAATTTTTTGTTTATTTTATTTTTTTTATTTTAGAAAATATTCATCTATTTAATTGTTTTCCGCCCTCATAACGATTCATATTTAAATTTATTTAAATTAATTGTATTTTAGCAAAAATACAAAATATGTTTATGTTAAAGATGTTTTCCATGTCATTTCCGTTGTGTGTTTTTAAAGAATATAAAAAATCAGAATTCTGGTGTTATTATTTTGAGAATACAAAAACCAGAATTGTATTTAAAGAAAATACAAAAACCAGAATTGTATTTAAAGAAAATACAAAAACCAGAATTTTGTTTAAGAAATACAAAAATCAGAATTTTGTTTAAAAAATACTAATCAGAAATGTTTTTAGAAAATTCTGATATGTTTATATTTCTTATAAAAACACAGAAACCAGAATTAAGTTTTAAAAATACAAAAACCAGAATTTTTGTTTATAAAATACAAAAATCAGAATTTTTGTTTATAAAATACAAAAATTAAAATCAGAATTCTGATATTTTCTTTTTGTGTTTTAAAATCGAAATTCTGATTTCTTAAATAAAAATCAGAATATTCTAAATTATCCTTCTCTATTTAAAACAAAATACAAAAACCAGAATTTTGTTTATAAAATAAAATTAAAAATCAGAATTCTGATCGATTAATACATTTTTCTAATATTAAACTCCTTTAAAAACAAAAATTTAAAAGATTAATATATTCTAAAATAAGCTTTTAAAATAAATAAAAACTTAGAGAGACCATTAAATAATATTCTTTAAATCCTTAAAAAATAAATATTTTTCTCTCCCCTTCAATTAGTCACTCTAGCTTAAAAAATATTTTTTTAAATCCTCCCATTTAATTCTCAAAAACATTTTAATTTTCCCCTTTCTCTCAAAAAACATTCTTTTAAACATTTCTCTTCTTTAACATCTTTAGGAATGTTTGCGCAACATTTAAGAGAAAAAATGGGCGTCACGGAAACGGAGGCTTCTTAAATTATTTTTTTCCGACTTTTTAATATTCTCAATAAAATGTTAGATTTAATATCCTTAAGGATTTGTGTTCCTCAGACACACTTTTATTTAAATTAATTTTACTTTCTCTTGACTAGTTGAAAATCGTTCCTTTTCATTTTAATTATTTAAAGCACTCTGTTCCGTTTTTCTGATTTTTAAATAAATTTTTATGAGATCAGAATTCTGATATTTTTTAGTTGAAAAATCAGAATTCTGATATTTAATTTAAAAAATCAGAATTTAAATCAGAATTACCAAAACAAAATTTTAATCAGAATAAGACAAGGTTCTGTTTAGTTTCAAAAATTCTGATAAAAAATCAGAATTTTCAAAATCAGAAATTTAAAAAATCAGAATTCTGTTTTATTCGAATAAAACATTTCAGAATTAAATAGGTGTTGCTTAACGAAAAACACATAAAGAAAAACACAAACATTTAAAGAAAAACACATAAAAACACATAAACCTGCGCAAAACAAAAAAACATTTTTAGGGTTTCTTTATAAAAGAACATGCATAAATATTTTTAATTTTCTTTAAGAATATGCAAATTTAAAGGTGTCTGGATTTTTTCGTAATTAAAAAGAGAATTTTTTCTTCTTTTTATAAAGCCTTAAAGGGCATTTTTCTTTTTAGAAAATAATAAAAATTAATAAATAATTGTTTTCTTTTTTTAATTTTATTTTTTATACAAGTACACATTTATTTTTACATGTAAATTTATTTTAGAATAAATATTTACACTCCTTCGATTTCTGCAAAAAATATTATAATATTATATTTTAGATGTTTTCTTTAATGTGTTTTTAGTAAAAAGAAAAATACATTAAAACACAAAATAAAACACAAAATAAACATTGTTACAAATAAAACATTAAAACATATCAGAAAAACATTAGCAAAAACAAGAAAATACAAAAAATTGAAAATAAAAACACAACAAAAACAGAATAAACAAATAAAACAAACAGAAACACACTTAAGAACTTAATAAAAACACAGAGTTTTAAAAGCAGAATTTAAGCCAGAATTTCCAAATCAGAATTTTAATCAGAATAATTCTGATAATAAAAATATCAGGATTTTTACAAAACATCATTCTGGTTTATTCTAAATCAGAAAAACATTAGAAATAATTAAAAACACATGTTTTAATGCCTAAAAATTTTTTTGTGTTTCATTTTAATCTTTCTAAAATTAATTTGTATGTATTCATAATAAAAATTTCTCATTTATTTTTAAATATGCCCAAGTTTTTAACATTTCTTACATGTAGCGGAATAATTGCCGGAAAATTTATATAAAAATATCACAGTTGGATAAAATGTACCTTTTTTGTTAAAAGCTTTTTTTGGTTTTTTAAGCATTTAAATTTTGTCTAGAAATTTTTTTGTTATTTTTTTTTTTATAATTTTTGTTGTTTTTAAATTTTTGTAGGCTTTATCATAATTTTTATTTATTAAAAAATCCAGTATAAAATTATAACAAACATATAAAACAAAAATACATCATTTAAAACAAATAAACATTTAAACTAAACAAATACAAGAAAAACAAAACTTAAAAATACAGATAAACATCTAAACAAAAACACAAAACAAAAGAAACAGATGAATAAAATACAAAAACATAAACACAAATGTTTAGAAACAAAGAAAATACAAAAACAACAAAAACAATTTAAACTTAATCAGAATTTAATTTAAACAAAATCAGAATTTAATTTAAACAAAATCAGAATTTAATTTAAACAAAATCAGAATTTAATTTAAACAAAATCAGAATTTAATTTAAACAAAATCAGAATTTAATTTAAACAAAATCAGAATTTAATTTAAACAAAATCAGAATTTAATTTGAACAAGATCAGAATTTAATTTAAACAAAATCAGAATTTAATTTAAACAAAATCAGAATTTAATTTAAACAAAATCAGAATTTAATTTAAACAAAATCAGAATTTAATTTAAACAAAATCAGAATTTAATTTGAACAAAATCAGAATTTCCTTTAAACAAAATCAGAATTTAATTTAAACAAAATCAGAATTTAATTTGAACAAGATCAGAATTTAATTTAAACAAAATCAGAATTTAATTTAAACAAAATCAGAATTTAATTTAAACAAAATCAGAATTTAATTTAAACAAAATCAGAATTTAATTTAAACAAAATCAGAATTTAATTTGAACAAAATCAGAATTTCCTTTAAACTTAATCAGAATTTAATATCAGAATTTAATTATTTGATTTAATTATGAACTAAACATTCTGGTTTTAATAAAATAAAATATTTAATAAGACAAATTAAATTACTGTAAACATCAAAAGCATTTTTACTTTTTCTATTTAGAAATATTCTAAAAATAGAAAAAAAAATATTTTTATTTTCTTAATTAAGTTTATCCTTTATTTAATGTCAATAAAAGTCAAAAAAATAAAAATAAATATTTACTACTTAAACGGAAACCTTTAAAAATAGCTAAGACAAACCTTATAAATAACATTCTTAGAAAATAAAAAATTTTTTAAATTTAGTATAATTTATTTAAAAATATTTCCCTTTAAAATAATTAATTTTGTGACGCATAAAAATTATTTAAATATTTATTTCCTAATTTTGACGTTTATATTTCCTTTTTAGTCCATTATTTCTGTTTGTTTTACTTGGAATGTTTTACTTCCGAGAAACAAACCAGAATAAAATTCAAACTTATCAAGTTTATTTTATTACGAACATTCTGATTTTTGTTAAAAACATTTGTGTTTTTCCTCATAAAAACATTTAATAAATCAGAACAGAAAACGAACATTTGTTTTTCGGAAAACAACAAAACACAGATAAAACACATTCCGGAAAAACACATTTTTCAGAATTAATTTTGGTAAATGAAAAAACTTTGGTAAATGTGTTTTTTTAGTATTTCTGTTTGCTAAAACACCTAAATATAAAAATGCAAAAAGAAATGTTTAATGTGTTTTGGCTTTATTACCAACTTGCTTACGTTCATAAAAATGCTAATAACAGAATTACTAATAATCCTCATATTTAATTCCTTGCAACTTTAATTTTTAAACAAAAATTCTTTTTATTCATTAATAAAAATTTTTATAAAATTTTTAGTAAAAATAAAAAAAATACAAAAATTCTTACTAATCCCCCATTTCTCCAAAAACTAGACAAAAATGGATTTACCCAAAAATAATTTTTTTCTTGTTTTTGTAATTTATTAGGGGAATTAAAAAATATTTAAAAAAATCCTTCCTTCTTTCATACAAATTTATACCACAATTTTGCCTGCGCCGAAACTTAAACTACAAAAACTTTAAGTGGGGGAGGGGAAGTTTTCTTTTAAAGAAAAATTTTTTTCAATTTTTTCTAAATTAAGAAAATTATTTTTTATTCAACTCAAATTTATTTAAATTAATTTTAAAAATTTTAAATTAAAAATCCGCAAGAGTTATCCGCAAAAAATTTGCGGACAAAATTTATATTTTTGCGGATAAAATTTTTTTAATTTTTATTTTTGTTTCAACTTTTTTTTTATTTTAGAAAATAAAAATTCTAAAAAAATGTCTTTTGAACACGAACAATTTAAACGATTTTTAAAAAAAGAAAATAATAACAACAAGCAATGCTTAAATAATTATTCCCCTACAACAGAAAAAAGATTATATACAAAAATTTCAACAAAAAAATCACCTCGAATATATCAACAAAGAACAATTATAGAATATAGAAAAAATGAAGAAGAAGAAAAAGAAGAAATTAATTTTAATAAAAATAATAAAAATTTAGTTGAATATTTATTCCCTTCAAAGGCGAAGAAGCTTGCTGTTATAATTGTTTGTATCAAAATGTTGTTGTTTTGTTGTTGGCTTGTACATGGTAAGTTTTGTTGAAAAATTCTGATTTTTAAATATAAAAATTCGTCCAAACATGTTCGCGCCTAAACAGTCATGTTTTGAGGAAATTCTGATTTTTAAATGTAAAAATACGCCCAAACATGTTTGCGCCTATGCGGTCATGTTTTGAGGAAATTCTGATTTTTAAGTATAAAAATACGTCTAAACATGTTTGCGCCTATGCGGTCATGTTTTGAAGAAATTCTGATTTTTTAAATATAAAAATGCGTCCAAACATGTTTGCGCCTATGCGGTCATGTTTTGAGGAAATTCTGATTTTTAAGTATAAAAATACGTCTAAACATGTTTGCGCCTATGCGGTCATGTTTTGAAGAAATTCTGATTTTTTAATAATAAAAATGCGTCCAAACATGTTTGCGCCTATGCGGTCATGTTTTGAAGAAATTCTGATTTTTTAAATATAAAAATGCGTCCAAACATGTTTGCGCCTATGCGGTCATGTTTTGAAGAAATTCTGATTTTTTAAATATAAAAATGCGTCCAAACATGTTTGCGCCTATGCGGTCATGTTTTGAAGAAATTCTGATTTTTTAATAATAAAAATGCGTCCAAACATGTTTGCGCCTATGCGGTCATGTTTTGAAGAAATTCTGATTTTTTAAATATAAAAATGCGTCCAAACATGTTTGCGCCTATGCGGTCATGTTTTGAAGAAATTCTGATTTTTTAAATATAAAAATGCGTCCAAACATGTTTACGCCTAAACATTTTTATTATTCTGTCTATTAAATTAACAACCCTTTTTAATTTCAGAAATAGCTTCTGGTTTTGATGAGGGTCAATGTCTAGCAGTCAATAAAGAAGAAAATATAATTTTGGAAAATAAATTGGAAAATAATTTGTTAAAATCAACAGATAATTTACAAACAATTCCAATTAATTTTGACAACTCAAAAATGGAACAACCAAAACAAGGAGTAAAAAGAAGGAGAAAAGTAATTTTGCGCAGAAGATTGTTAAGAAAGGGGGATGGAAGTTCTTCTATTGTTAGCAAAAGTATAGGTAGAGGAAATAATTTTTTTTAATTTATATTTTTTAACTCTGAAAATCTAAAATTATTAATTTAAACTTAAAAAACAAAAGTCCGCAAAATTTGTCCGCAAAAAATTTGCGGACAACTTTTGCGGACAAATTTAATTTTTGCGGACAAAAAATTTTTAAAAAATTTTTCAAGTTAAAAAATTTTTTTTGGCTAAACTACAGTTTCCGTACCAGGCTCAGAATTGAACGATTTATATGTCATTCGAAAGAGCTCGTCGAGCTGAGTCGAATGACACCAAAATTTTTCAGCGGAAAAAATTCTGAGCCGAGTTACAGACCACTAAAGTTCAAAAAACCATAGGGGGGACTAAGCTGTTTTCTGGGGGTGAAAAATTCGAATATGCAAATTATACCTCATTCGAAAGAGCTCATCGAGCTGAGTCGAATGACACCAAAATCAATGAAATCAGACTTGATTTGACAAAGTTATGACCGTTTGTTTTAGCTCCTTACCTTTGTTCTCCGTGGATGTTCTTGCTGCTGCGGAGGAAGCTGGGCATACCCATCACAGCGATAATTGGAATAGGATTAAGTTACGAGCCCAGACCCAGAGCCCGTAGACTCCCCGCGAGGCGCGTGCCGCAAAACTCCGCGCGAAGCGCGGAGTTTTGCACAAGCGCCTCGCCGACGCCCCATAGGTTTACGTTGTTTGTTTTTTCTGTCATAACTTTGAACAAACTTGACCAATCACGGCGATTTTGGTGTCATTCGACTCGGCTTGAAGAGCTCTTTCAAATGAGCTATTAATTGCATATTCGAATTTTTCACCCCAAAAATCAGCTTGGTCCCCCCTATGGTTTTTCGATTTTCGGGGGCCTGTAACTCGGCTCAGAATTTTTTCCGCTGAATAATTTTGGTGTCGTTCGACTCAGCTCGACGAGCTCTTTCGAATGACATATAAATCGTCCAATTCTGAGCCTGGTACGGAAACTGTAGTTAGGCCTTTTTTTTAATTTTAAAATTTATTTCTCAATTTTCAGAAGACAATAATACAACTAAAAACAATTCAAAACAAAAAAGAGGAAATAACCCAACTTCTACAATGGCTGTTCGCCGAGTAATTTGGAAAATAGTTCCTTTAAAAAAGTTGCCTGATAATGAAGAAAATGAGGAAGATGATGAAAATTTAATTAATTTAAATAATAAAATAATTCCGATAAAAACAAAAACTGCTAGAGTTGTGTTAAAAAGAATTGAAGAAGTGGAGAATAAAGAGGAAGAGGAGGAAGAAGAAGAAAATAAATTAAAACAACAACGGAGAATGGCTAGAAGAAGAACACCAAATTTGTTAAATAATTTAAAGAAAAGTAAATTTTATCAAAAAATTATTTTAAAAATCTAGGGAGGAAAATTCCGCAAAAGTTGTCCGCAAAAAATTTGCGGACAACTTCTAACCTAAAAATAGAGAAAAAAGTCAACAAAAGTTGTTCGCAAAAAATTTGAGGATAATTTTAAAGCTTAAAAATAGGGACAAAAGTCCGCAAAAATTTGCGGATAGTTCAAAGCTTGTTAAAAGTAGAGACAAAATCCGCAAAAGTTGTCCGCAAAAAAGTTGCGGACAACTTTTGTTGTCCGCAACAAAAAGTTGCGGACAACTTTTTTTTTCTCTAGATTAGTGTATTAAAGTTGCGGACTTTTTCCTCGTTTGCGGACTCTCTTGATGAATTTAAATACCTAATTAAAAAAATTCATTTTTTTCAGCCGAAGAATCAACAAAATCCTCTTCAACACAACAATCTTCCCCCATATATTCTGCCTTAAGTTTCCCTGAACAATTGGAAACATTTTTGGGGTTGTCTAAATGTTATGTTAGAATTATTTTTGGTAAATTTTATTTGTAAAATTTTTATTAAAAAAAATTTTTTTTAATTAAAGATTTTTGGTGTTTACTTGAATGTTTCTGTTCTGCCCTATTTTTGCTTGCTTTGTATTTAAAATTTAAATGTTTGGCGATTACTTCGATTTGTGTTGATGTTGTTTCTGTTGTTTTGGCAATAATTTTTGGGTGAGTTTTTAAACAATAGAGACTCTAATTAAAAGGCACTCTCCAATAAGACGGCACTCTAATTAAATGGCACATTTATGGCACTCTCCAATAGAAAGGCGTACTCTAATAGTAAGGCCCTCTCGAATAAAGAGGCTCTCCAATAAGAAGGCACTCTCTAATAGAACGGCACGCTCCAATTAAAAGGCTCTCCAATAAGAAGGCTATCTCTAATAGAACGACACTCTCTAATAGTAAGGCCGTCTCGAATAAAGAGGCTCTCCAGTAAGACGGCACTCTCTAATAGTAACCCCTACTCTTTCAACCAGCACAATTTACTACATGTTATATTTTTTCAGTTTTTCAACACTCGTTTTCACACTTGTTTTACTCCTTTTGCCTTCAAATTTGCCAACAAAGCCAATTTTAGAATGTTTTGGTTTAACAACAATAATCCATATAGCAATAGCTTTATTTGCTTGGATAACTTGTATTGAAATAAAAGTGGCAAAAAATGAATTAAAAAATAAATATGACGATGAAGTTTGGGAAGAAGAAAAAAGAATAAATAGTTGTAGTAGAAATTTTGGTGATATTCCCTATTCTCTTTGATTCAAAAAATCTAGATTTTTATATTTTTTTTTTGTTGTAGATTTTTAAATATGTAGAATTTTATTTTAAAGTAAAGAAAATAAATTTTTAAAAACTTTGGAATTTTTAAAAAAATTTTTGAGGTTAGTTTGGCCCTATACTTGTAGTCTCCAAACAATTTTGGCACACCGCCAGTTCGGGGGCACCCTCTCTCTCCACTTGTTCCCTCCACAAGTTCGAGCCACTCAAAATGTCCAATAGGCTAAAAGTACACAATTCGCCAACCATGTTGAGTTGGTAATTATTTAATCGGGGGATAAGGGATTTTGGTGATTAATAGAGATATCGGTGGACTTGAGGGGATAAAGTGAATTCAAGGGACTTGACCGTGACACCGAGGGATTTGCAGGGATATTAGTGGATTTGGAGGGATAACTAAGGATAAAGCGGAAATCGGTGTACTTAGAGGGATGTAAGACTTAGAGGAATATAAGGAGATTTAGAGGAATTAAGAGGGTTCAGAAGTGAATACCCTACAAACAAAACTTGAAGCAAAGAAAATTTTATTTTGAAAAAATTACAATAGTGAACACAAAAATACATACATTATTTACATACAAATCAACACACAAATTTTTATATTTATTTTTATTTATTCAGTTCTCACTTTTCGTGTTGTCATCGTGCTCACTTTTTGTGTTGTCCTGTTGATTTTCTTCATTTACACTAGTCTCGCTTGTCATTGTTACCCTCACAGTGCTTTGGCTACTGTTGTTCACGTTATCCTTTGATGAAGATTTGCTTTGCGATGTCGTTGCCTTTTTATTGTCGCCTTCACTCTTTGCCTGCTTTTCCTTTAAAAAATTAAAAAAAATTTTTTTGAGGAGGAAAATTTTTCCCCACCTCATCCATCTTTGAGTTGGCCGCATTCGATGACTTTGACGACAAATTCGATTTAGTATCGAGCCTCGATTTGGAGTCCGAGCGAGGGTCTTTCGCCAAACTACCCTCTCCCATATCTCCTGTCGTTCTTTTGGATGCATCAAAGATGTTCCCCAATCCCCTCCAGGTCTGGTAGTCTGGATCGTCCAATCGGCGTCGTGTCATTTCCTCGGGCATTTTATAAGCTTGCTCTGAAAAAAATAAAATTTTTGAGAATGAAAATGACTTTGAAAATGACTCACTTTTAACTTGACGCCACGAATCAGAAACCTCCATTCGTTTAGTGTCAGGAACAGTGTCGTCGTCGGGAACAGCAACACCAGCGCGCACGTCTTTCTTTGACTTATCAGAAGGTTTTGGTGCAGCAGGCTTTGGTGGAGTTGCTGGTTGCTTTGTTGCTGCAGTCTTCGTTGGATCAGCTACAACAGGCGCTTTAGGAGGTGGTGTGAACAAAGCAGCTGTTCTTATCCCAGCAGCGCCTCCGCCACCAATCGCTGCTCCTTTTGCTGGTTGAGGCGGTGGTGTTTTTAGCTGTTTCTGCTGCCTTCCTTTTGCTGCTGCTGCTGGTGGTTTTTCTCCTGGTGCTGGTCCCTCCTTTAGAGGAAGATTGTCTTTGCTCTGTTAATGAAAATAAAATTATTTTGGTCGGTAAAGTCCTTCCCTCCTTTCTCACCTTTCTGTTATCCACCAATGCTTGTTTTTGGATCTGACTTTTTGTTGCTGACTTCTTTTTTGATTTGCAGCAGAAGAGCAGGGACACGGATCCAGAAAGCGAGACAGCAACAAAGAAGAGAGCCAAGAATGGTCCAAAGTCGATCAAACTTAAAAAAAAATATTTGAAGGAAAGAAAAATAAAGAGAAAAAATAAAAATGTTTTACCTTAACATGCCAACCGAAATATATCAAAACGAAGAGCGCCAATGAAGTCGAAGAAGCAGTGGAGTGCGAAGGAGTTGAGTTGATTGTTTGTAGCAACATTTCGCAGACTGCTTTTATAGTACTATAAATTGTGTCTGGTGATTTCACAAGTGAATGATTTGGGCAGTGAGCGATGTGGGCAATAGTGATTTAGGCAGTGAACGTTTTTTTAATATTTCTTTCACGCAAAAAACAATTTGAGTAACATTTGAAAAATAATTTTGCGGGTAGGGGATCGTTGTCCCGCCAATTATGTCCCGGGACCATATTTTGGGCCATAATCTGATTTCAACCAATTCGAATAAAACTTTTATCATTCGAAAGCCCGTTTAGATTATTTTCGTCAACTAAATTGATTTGACCAAATCATCATACAAGAAGTTACATCATGATTCGCAGTTGAGATTTTTGATATTTATTAGGCTGTAACTTTTTCTATGTTGATCTGATCATATCAATCCAGTTAGATAAAATAATCGTTACATCAAGAGCTTTCGATTGATATATTATTTACCTAAATCGATTAAGAATTGAAAAAGTTATGGCCCAAAATATGGCTCCGGGACTGAACCGGCGGGACTCAACTGTTCCGGAGTAATTTTTAGCGAAATTTTAAAATATATAATTTCAAAATGGTAATTCCCACAAATTAAGCCTTATTGTCACGCTTACTTTTTTATTTTTAATCAATTTCTAAACTTTTAAGGTATTTTTGCTTGATTTTTTTCAGATTTTTAAGGTAAACTGAAGAAAAGAACCATTTCTATATTTAAATTTACATTCTTTAATGTCAACTAAAAGGTTGAATTTTTATTTTCTAGTAAATTCCAATTTAATGTTAGATCCACCAAACGTCCACAACGCAGTAATAGTCGAAAAGAAGTCGTTCACAAATCTTTGTTAGAAGAATCCAGAGAATTGTTACACACATTTCACGTTTGATTTTGACTTTTAATAGTTTTATTAAAGATATTTTTAGGTTCCAGATGTTATCTTAAAAAGAGAAAATGAATGTGCCGCAATCAGAAAATTTATTAGAGATGGAATTAAGACAAATTCAAATGTGTTTTCTCGTGTTTTGTGTATTAGTGGAGTTCCTGGGACTGGCAAAACAGCATCGGTTCTTTGGGTAAATTATTTGGCAATCCAGGAGAATTGGGGTCCCTGCGGAAAAAATCTTAAAAATAAGAAAAATGATTTTTCTAGGGTAAAAAAGTACGCTGATTACGAATCTGAACTCAGATTTTGAAAAAGTCGAATCCGAACCCGAATATAGGTCCTCGAATATCGAAAACCAATAGGGGGGACCAAGCTGATTTGGGGTGAAAAATTCGAATATGCAAATTATACCTCATTCGAAAGAGCTCTTCAAGCTGAGTCGAATGACACCGAAATTACCGTGATTGAACAAGATCGGACGAAGTTATACCACAAAAAACAAACAACGTAGACCTATGTTTTATTGTGTCATAACTTCGCCTGATCTTGATCAATTGCGATGATTTTGATGTCATTCGACTCAGCTCGTCTAGCTCTTTCGAATGAGATATTATTTGACCAATTTACGCTCTGTTTATTTTTCGAAACTTTTCCCAAAATGTCAAATATCTGAATTTCGGGTTCGGGATTCGACTTTTCCAAAATCCGAGTTCAGATTCGTAATCAGCATATTTTTTTACCCTAGAAAAATCCTTTTTCTTATTTTTAAGATTTTTTTCCGCAGGGACCCCAATTCTCCTGGATTGCCAATTATTTTTTCTGTTTTAATATTTAGAGTTCCTCTGGTTTCTTGACTCATTCCAGAGAAGTGTCTGCAGCAGTTTGACCGACTTTTGTGCTTATAAGGCGGTCGAATGTGCTGCAATCAGCTTGTCCCATATTTCTGCGGATTTTGCCCATTTTTGACTTCTCTCCATTTTTCACTCTTTGCTATATTTTCTAAACTTCCAAGATTCTAAACTTTTTCTTAATTTTTAGGGTAAGCGCCGGTCAGACTCGATAACCCATCTTAATTTATTATTTTCGCTAATTTTGCCCACCTTTAGGTTGTTGAATCCCTTAGAAAGACTCAAAAATTTGATTTCAAAAACATTAATGGTTTGGAATTGTCTGACCCAAAAGAACTTTTTGTTCAGCTATATCGTGTTGTAATGTCTGGAATAACTGGAGCAAGAAAAAAGATTACTCCTCGGTTTATTTTTTATTTTTCTAATATATGAGATTTTTTAATTTAGAGAAGCTCAAAATCTTTTAAATGATTATTTTACAAGTAATGAAACCAAAAGAAGGAAAGCAATTGTTGTTCTTATTGATGAGGTTTTCTTTTTTTATTTTGAAATCCATTAGATGGTTAACTTTAAAAATTAGTGTTGAAGCACGGCTGTAAGAGCAGAAGTAGTAAAACGGTAATCCTCGCTGTATTTCCTCCTTTTACCTTCAAGAGAGGCAATTGAGGAATGCGAGTCTATTGCCACGTTTGAACGTTAAACTAGGAAAAATGGGATAGAATTCTGGACTGGTTGATATCTTCCCGGGCAACTGTTCACAACATACCATCGATCAAAAAATCCGACTTTCGGATATGGCCCTTTGGAGGTCCATATCTTGGCCAGATCAAAAAACAAACAAAAACGGCTCAAAATCCTTGCTAGAAAGGGCATATTATCTATCTAATTAGTCTGGTCTCGACCGTTTTTAGGTCGGACACCTCGCAACCTCTCCTTGTAAATTTTTTAAAAATCGAAAAAAAATTTTACTTTAAAAGGTAGACATGCTGCATACAAAACGTGAAGACGTAATTTATGCAATATTCAATTGGGCAGCCGAAAAACAATCAAGATTTTGTGTGATTGCAATTTCAAATACTCTTGACCTTGCAGAAAGACAATTTTCACAAAGAATCGTCAGTCGAATGGTTCGAAACTTTTTTGAATTTTTAAAATTTTTTTTGTTTAAGGGGAGCAATCGTCTTGCATTCCAGCCATATGAATTTAAAGATATTGAAGAAATATTAAAACACAGACTTGGGGAATGTAAAGCTATAGGTCCTGGAACGATTCCATTGGCTTCTAAAAAGGTTTGAAAAGATTTTTGATTTAAAGAATGGTTTTAGGTAGCCTCCGTTTCTGGTGACTTGAGGAAAGCTTTTGATTTGGTTCGACGTGCAATTGATTTGGCATTGGAAGAATGTGAAAGACAAAATAAAAGTAAAAGTGAAGCAGAACTTTTGACTACTCATGTAAATTTTACAAAATTTTAATAGAAAAATTTATTCTCAACTTTTGACATCAAGTACTTGGTTGATATTTAGTTGAAACCCTTGTGATTTATTCACTTTTTTCTTATCGTTAGGATAATGGTTGGACTCTGTGATGAGACGGGTTTTGAAAGAAATTTTGGTCGGGGTTGGCTCGAGTTCGAAAATCCTTGAATCGGTTTTGGATTTCGTTTCGATATAAGAACCGGTTTTGGTTAACTCTCATCCTCCCTGTTTTTGATATAAGGGTGCATGTGAGTGATATTACTATTAATTCTTTTCCTTACCCCGAACATTAAATTTTAAAGATGCTTTTTTCCTATGCCTTCTCTCTTTTAATTTTTAACCTATTTTTTTAGGTACTTGAAGCAATAAAAGAATCAATCGCCTCAATTCGAATGCAATTTTTCTATTCACTTTCAAAGCACGAATATTTAATTTTTAAAGCATTAATTAATGAATTGGTTGCAACAGCTTTAGATGATGTCGATTTTTCTTTTGTTTTTATGAGATATAAAAAGTTGTGTACTTCTGAACATTTAATGCCTTTACCTTTAGAAGCAGCATTTTATCACATTCAGGAAATGGCTACGTTTGTTTTTTTCTTTATTTTGAATTTTTTTTAATTTTTTAAAGTTTCCAATTTGTTGTAATCTCTTCAAAAAATATTAAACTCCATTGCCGAATTAAACTTGGATTTCCTTTGAGTGAAGCAGAATTTTGTTTGAGGCAAATGGATAATTTAACAAAGAAGGCTATTTAATTAACAATTTTTTAAAAAATTTTTGGGAAGGTTTTTAATTATTTTTTTATTATTTTATGTATACAAGGGAAAGCCTTTGATAAAAATATTTTTCGTGAATTTTAGAAGAAAAAAGAAAAAAGTCTTGATGTCGAGGCAGGGGCAATTTTCTTTAACATTCTTTTTAATTCTCACAATCCCATGCTATCCCCTAGTTATTTTTTGGGATAATTTAGTTTTTTATTTTCTCAAGGGGTTAACTTTGACCTTTTTTTAAAATTCTTTTTTTTCTTAATATTTTTGAAGGCTTTTCCCTCTTTTTTTTAACTTATTTGTCTATGGTTGATCATATTATACATTTTATTTTTTTTTATTTTAATCTCATTATTTCATTTTTTGGCTTTCTCTTAAACATATTAATTTTTTCCTTCACTTAATGGTTGATATATTTTTATTGATCTCTTTTTTTATTCATTGATTTTTGAAAAAATTGATTTTTCTCATATTTTTTAATCGATTTATTTGTTTCAATTCTTTTAAATATTTTTATTTTATTTTTTAAAATTTTGTCTAAAATTTTTTTAGAAAGTTTAGAAATGACTTCGCCAATTAAAGAAAATGAAGAAAAATTGAGAAATGTGAAAATTGAAGGGGAAGAAGAAGAAGAAAAGAAGGATGAGCCTATGGAAGAAGAGAAAAAAGAAGATGATGAGCAACATACTGGGGAGGAGGATGAGGTTGTTTATGTGAAAGTTTTCGGAGGCTTCTCTGGGTGTAGTTGAGGGATGAGTTGGGGTAACAGACCAGAGAAGTTTTTTTGAAGATCCGATCCACCCATGAAGGTACTTTGTAAATATCTAAGAAATTATTAGGGAAGAGGTTATTTTAATTTAAAAAGTGAATGTTTTGGGAAGCGTTTCTGCGGGTAGTTGAGGGATGAGTTGGGGTAACAGACCAGAGAAGTTTTTTGAAGATCCGATCTGCACATGAACGAACTTTGTAAATATCTAGGAAATTATTGGTTAATCTGTTAACATTTAAAACTAAATTTTCCACTGCCATGTTTAGAGTATTTTAAGGCAAAAATTGATTTTTGTCTTGAAAAATAAAATTTTTAGGTAATTGTTGATGGTGCTGTACGTGGTCCAACCGAAGAATCGGAAGAATATACAGAACATGAAGGTGATGGATTCTATGAGGAAGAAGGGGAAGAGGAGTCAAGTGAAAATGGGCACAAACCTGAGGGACGTGCATCTAAATCTTTAGGTTTTTTTACATTTTTGTGAATATTTTTTATTTTTTCAAATTTTTAGTTCAACTTACACAACGTTTTATTGGATTTTTGCATACTACTCCTGCTGGTTTGGTTGATTTAAATAATGTATGGTTTTTGTTTTCTTTTTCTACAAGGGAATCCGTTTACTTTAACTGAGAATTTAATTTATTTTTTGGTACCATTCGACAAGGGCGATCCAGGGGGAGGTTTGAGCCCTCTAAAGATCCTCTGTTTAAGGTCTTGCCATTCGATAGGGGACCATTGACTTCCTATTTGCAAGTTGTATCCGATTTTTTCAAAATCACTTTAGGCCGAGTTATGGTCACTCAAACAGCGATCTCTATTTTAGCTATTTTTTAGTCATTAAATTATTTTAGTTACAGGCGGCCGATAAATTAAATGTGACACAAAAACGTCGAATTTATGACATTACAAATGTATTGGAAGGGATTGGATTGATTGAAAAACGTTCGAAAAACGTTATTTATTGGAAGTATATTTTTACGATAAATTTTCAATTTCCAGAGAAAAATTTTTTTTCAGAGGAGGAAAGTTTCGAAAACCTGGAGGTTCAGTCGAATTATTGCCTGGGGAAGAATCTAAAATGTATAAATTAAAGTCAGAATTGACCGATTTGGAAAGAGAAGAACGCTTAATTGATACACATTTGCGGTGGATGAGACAGGCAAAATTTTTAACGATAATTTTTTTAAAAGGGAATTTCCGTGTCCAATCTTTCCATGTCTAACAAAAGCAGCTTATCGCGAACCCAGACCTATCGCAAAATCTAGCTTAACGTAAAAATGTCATAATAACTTTGTTGTGTACCTTCTTCGATCCCCTATCCATATCAAACTTACATGAACCTTGCGGTAGTTTGGGGTTAAACAGAAAAAATTTTTTTTATTAATAGTCAGTATGAATTCGAAAATGATTATTTTTTAATTTTTAACGAACGATAATAATATATTAAAAATATAAAAATATGTATACGGGGTGTGTAATATGAATGACATCATTTATTTTTTTCATTACTTTTTATGAGAATTTTTAATTAAATTAACTATTCATTTTTAAACCAAAAATAATTTTTATTTTTTAATTAAGCCTCTCTTTTATTTTTTAGAGTATAAGAAATATATGTGAAGATAAAGACAATTTCAAACTTGGATATAACACACAAGAAGATTTTTTACAAGTATTTTCTAACAATACAAAAGAGATGGTTATACAAGCACCTCCTAGAACCTCTGTAGAAATTAATACACTTGGACAAAATAATGTTTTTTTGATTATTTTAAATTATATTTTTTCTTGTTTTTAAGATTTCTTTGGATGATGTTCGCTATGAAATGAAATTAAAAAGTTATTCTGGCGCAGCACAAGTTATTCCTGTTAATATGGGGGATTCTGAAGGTTTTCGAAGTTTAACACCGCCGCCTACTGAAAACGATTATTTACATTTGAGTTCGGAGGACGAAAAGTTTTTTTTTGAGTTTTTTATTTTGTGTTTAATTTTTTTGTTATTTTGTAGGTCTGCACCTTCTCAACTTTGGGATTTTTTACACTTTCCTATACAATTTGTTCATACTCAACCGAGACAGAGATCGAAACTTGGAGATATTTCGCATGGAATAGTATAATTTTTAGTTTAATTTTGAGATAATTTAAGTGGTAAAGGTTGGGGGTAGATGGCTGACAAGGGAACATTTCGAACTGTGAGTAAAAAGTTCGAAATAAAAGTTATACCATCGTGTAGAGCATCGTCGAAAACCTTTATGGTTTCCGGCTTTTTCGGCTCCGACCCCCATTTCGAAAAGTTATAGGTCTTCAAAGTTTTCGACTTTTGGAGCGGTTAAGTCGCCCTCATAAAGAGAGAGTTTTCTTTTATTAGGAGAAAAATAAGACTCCCACCTCCTTTTTTCCTTTCCTTTTCTTTTCCAATATTAGTTAGACAGAGAAAAGAAGGAGAGAAAAGAAAAGGAAAAGAGGCATCTCTGCCTTGCAGCTAATGTCAATTAAAAAGGAAAGAGGAGATGGCAGACATGCCTCTTTTCCTTTTCTTTCCTCTCCTTTTTTTCTCTTTCTTTAACCGACATGGGAAAAGAAGAAGAAAGGAAAAATGAAGAGAAGGAGTCTCATTTTTCTCTTTGGTAAGACAAATAATAAGAAAAGTGAGGGCGACTCAACCGCTCCAAAAGTCGAAAACTTTGAAGACCTATAACTTTTCGAAATGGGGGTCGGAGCCGAAAAAGCCGGAAACCATAAAGGTTTTCGACTATGCTCTACACGATGGTATAACTTTTATTTCGAACTTTTTACTCACAGTTCGAAATGTTCCCTTGTGAACTTTCTTAAAAAATTGCTTGGAATGTTATTCGAGAGTAGAGATAGGATGGTCGATTTTTTTCGATATTTTTAGGTATGCGGTTTTGATTATTGGAAAAAATACCGACCGACCTCTTCGGTCGATCTCTATTCGTGTGAGGGTCGGCTTGTATTATCTTTTCTTATGGAGGTTTTATTAATAATTGATAAGGCTGTCGGTTTCAACAGACCGAAAGGATAAACTGAACTGTACATCAGAGAAGTTTTGTTTCTAGTTGAAATTGAAAATCCAATAGTTTTCCAATGAAGCTGTCCTACGAGTTTTCTGGATTTTCTTTATACCAAAAATATTGCGAAATACTTGAAAGATTATAGCTTTTATTTTTTTATTTTTAGTTAAGTAGAGAACAAAGTCAATCTTATGCTGTTCCAATCGAACTTAGCGATGAGGAGGAAGTAGTAATTGATGATGGTCAATTTAATTTGTATTCTGAAAATATTGAAAGGGAGGATCTCATTACTATTCATTAACAAAAAAAAATTTTTTTTCTAAAAATTTTTTTTACAATTTTTTTAATATTTAATAAATTTTTTTTCGTATTTTTAATTTTAAATTGATAGATGATTTTTATTCTTGTAATATCTTGATTATTTTTTAATAGAAAAATTTTTTTAAATTTTTATTTTAGAATGCAAAATACAAATTTTACGTTTCATGAGGCGATGAAGGATTCGCCAAACTTTAGGTTTTTTTTTTAATTTTTTTTTGAAATATTGTTTTGTTTAATTTCTAGATACGAACTTGGACAAAGTGAACGCTATTTTGACCGTCTTCACAAAAGAATGGAAGATGTTAGTTTTAATTTTTTGGTTAAAATAGTTTGGGGTTTCTGTGGGACATTAAGAGGCTATCTAATTTATTTTTGGATTTTTCAAGAAATTTTGACTGATTTAGGTCGATTGATTTGATCAGGAATCCGTTCGAGTTTATAATTCTTGAACGAAAAAAAATCAATTTTTGCTATTTAAGAACTGATCAATTAAATTAAATCAGTCAAAATTTCTAGAAACAAATCCATAAACAAATTAGATCGTCTCTTAATGGCCCACAAAACCACCAAACTGTTGCTTTTTAAAATTAGAGTTATTATCTGTCACATAAATTAAACCATTTTTTTGATTTTTCATCGATACGGAAGTTTCTTTAAAAATTTTACTTATGTTTAGGTTAGTTTCTTGATTTTTTTTCAAAAAAGGAGGAATATTTTATGTGATGTTTTAATCTTTTATGAGTCGTGAAAGATGTTGCCTCTTTAATTTTTGATTGTTTGTAGAAATTTTGATTTAGGTCTTCCTCTTTTTCTTATTAATTTAAAAAATACATTAAGTTGAGTAAAATTTTGTTGTAACTCCTGTATAGTGTAAAATCAAAGAAAAAATTTTTTATTACAATTTTCAGATGGTCAATATTGTCGACATTGTAATTGGAAATGGTCAACGTTTTGTAGCTTCGTTATAGTAATCCTTTAAATTTTAGATTTTGGCAAGTTTTAAAAGTATTTAAGTGATTTAACCGTGGCTTTAAACCGTCTTTGGTTGGATTTGCAAATTGATGAAAATAAAAACAAAATGGCTTTGGATACCTACAAACAAATGTCAGATTCTCTTTCACAAATTGTTTATTTAAATAAATCGCTTGTTGACTCGGCTTATCCTTCTTTAAAGACGGGATTTGAATCTTTTATGAGACGTGAATTGGGAAAACTGAATGAAGTCAAAAGCCATTTTAATAATTTATCGTCTTCGCTGTCTGAAGCGTTGTTGAAGAAAGCTGCGATAAATAAAAATAAATTTCAGGTTTTTTAATAGATTTTTGTTGTGCGCCATAAAAATTTTGGGGGTGTGAAAACGCCAATTTTTCTGTTTTGGCGTTTTTCCCCTACAAAAATTTTTTGGCGCACACCTTAAAATACATAAATTTTAAAATAATTTTGTTAAGGAAATGCACGATGCAGAAAATTCTTTAACAGCAATTGGAACATGTTTTTCTCATACTGGACTTGATTATGTTGCCCAAATCAACATTGTTAATGCTCTCAAATGCCCAATAATTTTGGAAACTCTTTGGGCGTTTATTAAAGAACATGGAAATTTTTTTACTAAAGGAGCTCATTTTTTTGCAGAACAACAAGAATTTACTGTTAGAGATGAATTGGCAGCGCTTAGAACTTCTTACAAACAAATTGAAAGGCGAATGCAGGATAGACACACTTTTGTTCCTAAAGTAGGGTTTTTATGTGTAATTTTGAGGATTATTTAAGCTTTAATGTATAATAATACAGATTATGCCTCGTGGTGTGGTGGTTAGTGCCATTGCTGGGTATGGCTTCGGAGCAGGCTCCGGCGGAGTCGGAGCTAACAATAAGATTTTAAAACCTAGGAGCCGGAGCCAACAAATGCCCAATACCCAGCACTAGTGGGTGCTTTAGACTTTCTGTCTAATGAGTTTTGTTTCTAGTCGTGTTACATCCCATTTTTATTTGAGTTAAATATAAGATTAATTTTTGTAGCAATTTTTTAATTTTTTTCAACTAAAAATTATTTTTCAGGAAATATTTCAATATCCATCTGGAATACCTACTGATCCTCAATGTATTATGGAAGGGTATTTTTTCAATTTTTATTTACTAAATTTTTATTATTTTTTAAAGTTATCTTTTCAAAAGAGCAACAAATGCTTTTAAAACTTGGAATAGAAGATGGTTTATGATTAAAGACAGTAAATTGGTTTGAATTTTTTAAATTTTTAATTTTTATCTTTTCAATTTTATAGCTTTATTCACACAAAACTGTGGATGGAGAACCAGAAGTTCCAACAGTAATGGAAGAAAATTTAAAGCTTTGTTTAGTTCGACCAGCTCCAGCATCAATAGAACGTGCTTGTTGTTTTGAATTGGTTACACCTTCAAAGTTTTTTTATTTTTTTTTGGAAATTTTAAATCGAATATTCCCTTAGAAATCATTTATTGCAAGCAGATTCTGAATCTCTTTGTAATGCTTGGATTAGAGCTATTCAACGGACTATACAACATTTACATGAAGATGATCAAGGAACGTATACACATTCAAGAAGATCATTTGTAGAGAATTTTGAATCAAAAACACCACAATCTGTTCATTGCAAACTTGGTATTTATTTATTTTTTAAACACGAGTTCTTTTGTTGAGCTCCAAGAATGATCGAAAATAAATTCTCTGAGGGAAAGCATATTCTCGGGGCGCAAAAGGCGTTTCCCTTTCTAATTAATCAAAATAGCTCTCTTAATGATTTATATAAATAAATTAAATTGTAGGAGTAATGGGGAGCAACAGAGAAGGTTTTTGGTCTGTTAAATTAAACTGAAGCTTTGCCCAGTGTTTCCCATTCCTTCTTATAGACAAGAAAAATCAGTGTTGCAAATTAATAATTTTAAATATAACAATCTTTAAAGAACTTTAAATTTTTTTTATTTTTTTAGACACAGCATCAACTTCATCTGCTAAAAGTGACGTAGGAGGAGGAGAACATTCTTCTGAATCTTGTAGTCTACAAGAAAGGTTTTTTTAGTTTTAATTTTTGATTTAAAATTTTTTTTTATATTTTTAGAAAATCAAATTTCGGCATTACAACACCTTCAAAACATTCTGACAATGAAAAACAAAATATGAAAATATTTTTAAAAGTATTACTTTCAATTCCGGGAAATGAAAAATGTGCAGATTGTGGGTCGAAAGATGCAAAATGGACAAGTTTAAATTTGGGGGTGAGGGAAGGAAAAAGTTTTCTTTAGAAAATTTTTATTTTTAAAGATTATTATCTGTATTGAATGTAGTGGTGTTCATAGAGGTTTGGGTGTTCATTTTTCTAAAGTTCGGTTAGTTTTCTTAAGAATTTATTTATTATATCCTAGCTACTTTTTCTAGGGAGCTATTTTTTTCCGCGTTCTCTTTATCCTAGTTTAACGGAACTTTTCGATGTTTTGCCCCAAGTGTTTGGCCTCAACCCACTCCCCAAGATGGGTCCACTTATTAAAGGAAAGCTTTCTCTTTTAAGTATATACCGTGAATGCTCTATTTGAAGCACAGTCTTTAATAGAGGCACACCCTACGAGAGGATCGAAAAATAGAAGTCCATGTGCTTCAATTAAAGCTTTTACGGTATTTAAAAAATATTCATTAAAATATGGGGCGATAATAGAACCTGGTCAATTTTTGTTCTGAATCAAAACTGTAGATTGAACGAATGAATAATTTGGCGGGTTCTCTTTTACCTTTTATGAGGGGCTAAAAATGGGCGTTTAAATAATTTCTTAACTGTGACATTATCTTTAAAAATTGTTTTTTAATTTTTTTAAAGTTCACTAACCATGGATACATTAGAATTTGAACAACGTAATATTCTTCTAAAATTAGGAAATAATATTGTGAATTCAATATTTCTTGTGAATCTTCCAAAATCGGGGCAGTCTTCTGCTTTTGGAATTGATAAGGATTCTGACAGGTTTTTAAAAAATTTTCCAAAAAATTAAAAAAAAATTTTTTTAAGAGAAAAGCGAGAAACTTGGATAACCAACAAATATGTTCACAAAATGTTTGCTCGATCATATTTTCGTCCGCAATGTTTTTTTTTAATTTTTTTTTCGAATTTAATTTTTTAATTTTTAGCTCATTCACGTTCACAAACATCTCTTTCTATTTTAAAACGTAAAGATGAAATTTCTAGTCAAAAATTAATTGAAGACAAAAAGGTAGATGATGAAAAACAGGAAGAAAATAGTCAACAAAGTATTTTTTAACATAATAAAGTTTGCGGACTTGCGTCAGATTAAGGATGTTATGGGCTGAGGGGAAAGTGGGGTCACTACGGGTTTTAGGGAGGTTAAGTACCACGACTTTTTGGGTAACCTGGGACATTTACATATGATGTTACTGATAGAGCTCTGAAAATATCATTGAAAAATAATCGAAATTTTGGTGGAGCTCTGGTCAAGTAGTAATTTTTGGAAGGTATTTCTGTCATGGGTTTGAAAGGGGTTAAAACTAAAGGTCGGTGCAGGACAGGATCTTGCACAGGATTTTTCAGGATCCTATTCGAAATCCTCCTTTTTTCAGTTTTCAGGATTTTCAGGCTTAATCCTGCAGGATCCGGTCCTGTACGAAATTTTAAAACCCAATCCTGATATAGGATCCTGTAAATGTGAAAACTTATAATAAACAGCTAAAAATTTTTTTTGACATTCTTATGATAACAGTAAAGTCTGATGTGTGTCTGCAAATTTTAGTCTAAAATTTTTTTTTGAAAACACATCAATTTTTTTTTAATTTTCAGAAAACAATTCTTTGACAAGAAATTTGTCTGGATCAGATTCTAATTTGGTGCAATCTGCAAAAGAATCAATTTCTGAGACAGACAAAGAATTTACCAAAACTTTGATTAATTCAATAAAAACTGGAAATATTGCGGAACTTTTTAAATGGATTGTACAGAGAGATTTTGATTTGGACGGTCCTGTTAGTGATGAATTTATGACTTGTTTACATGTTGCTGTTAAGAGTGTGAGTTTTTTTAGTTTTTGTATTTTTTTATTATTTTTTTGTTTTTGTCCGCAAAAGTTGTCCGCAAATTTTATTTTTGCAGAAATTTTCGCCAAAGAAATTTTTTCTTATTTTTTCACATTCTGCAGGTTCTAATTATTTTTTCGACTAAAAACAAAAAAACGTTCAAAAAATTAAATATTTTTATTAGCTATTATATATTGCGGATAAGCGGACATTTTTTTCCAATTTTTAAAAATTTTCTAAAATTTTAGAGACAAGCAACAGTTGTAGAATTTTTGCTTTTAAATGGTGCTAAAATAAATATTTGTGATTGGAAGGGGAATACAGCACTTCATCTAGCTTCAATGGAAGGATATACAATGTATGTAAATTTAAATTTTAAAAAAGTCCGCAAAAAATTTTTCGTCCGCAAAATGTGTCCGCAAATTTTGTCCGCAAAAATAAAAAAAATTTTTTTCAGAATAGTTTATCAACTATTAAAACGGAATGCTGAAAAGACAATAAAAAATGATGAAGGAAAAATTCCTCTTGATATTGCGGTTGAAAAATGTCATGCAGATATAGTCACCTTGTTAGCAGAGAAGATTTTCTTTCTAATTTTTCGAAAAAAATTTTTTTCAGACTTAGACTTCATGATATGAAAGAAGAATTTAATGATGACCAAAATTCAACATTAGACGAAACTGTGGAAAGCTTTATTGGAGATTTGGCTGCAATGCAAACAAATCAAAATTAGAAGGAATTGGTTAAGAAGAGTTTTTTTCAATTTTTTACTACGCATAACTTTTAAAGAGTTCGACCTCACTTGTAGTTGGATACACCCTTGGGATGGATACACCCCTTGTAGATGGATACACCCTTTGTATCTTAAATTGATTAAGAATAAGGCGGTTATATTTTTTGTGCCGAAGCGTCTTGTAATACCAAGAACTTGAAATACCAAGTCCCCAAAAACGCTTGAAATACCGAACTGAGCAAAAATTTATAGCACTCAGATTGATATACAATAATATAACTTCAAGCTTTGTTATTTCAAGCCTTGGTATTTCAAGATTTTGGCATTTCAAGATTACACCACTTTGTGTCTTCTATTTGAACTCAACGGTAAGACACTGTACAGATAAGACTCGTTAATTGAATAGATTGATAAAAAAAAGGGCATATAATGGTTATATTGGGTGTACCTACAAGTATGAGGTTTGACTATATTTTAAATGCCGGGGGGAATTTTTAAAGGTCCTTTATTTATTATAAAATAAAGGTTCTAGAGACAAAATCTTTGCCAAATATTTATCTCTCATAGGCCTTTTGTCACCGAAAATGTGTGCTTTTATGTAAAAGAAACATTTTTTTCTATATTTTAATTTTATTTAGGCTATCTAATTAAAATAAAATTGGTTGAAAAAATTTCAAAAAATTTTTTTTGGATAGCCTAAAAAATGAAAAATTTTTTATTTTCTCTAAAAATTTCCTAAAAATTGACCTCTATTTTTTCCTATTTTTACACATTCATCTATCCTTTTCCTATTTTGTTTATATAGTAAAGCATCCTTTTTTATTTTCTATGTTAAATTTAATTGACAAAAAAATTTTTTTTGAAAATTATTTGTAAAATATCGAAAGAAAAAAATATTTTTTTCAATTTTTAAAAATTGCGTTTTGGACAGATTTTTGAATTTAGAATGCTAATGAATCCAAAAGAAGCTGACCTTTATGAGACGAAATATAACAATTTGCTTGAATATTATTGCCATATGGAGCAGGTTTTTTTATTGAAAAATTTGAAATTAAAATTTTAAAAAATTAGATGAATAATCGACTAAAACATCGTCTGTATCATGTCAGGAAGGAAATTAATCATTTGAAGCAGCTGAAGAGGTTTTGGATTTTTGTATTTGGGTTATTTAAGTATGGGTTTTGAATAAGTTGAAAATTTTGGGATGAGGTTTCCAAAATTTTTATAGAGACGAAAGTCCTTGGACAAAAGTTTGGAAGTCTGAAACTCCTGATACGATGCATTATTCTCTAAATCTCAATAGTTTTTGTTTGACTGTTAGATTTAAAGAATAATGCACTCATGGTTCTAAAAGATTCGATTGTATTAATTTGAGCAATTGTAATGTATTTAAATGATTAAAAAATATAAAAAAAATTAAACACGGGAGGGGGTATTTTAGGATTGTACTTACAATGGGTTAAATTTTCAAGTTGCCCCGATTTCCGAAAATTGGGAATTCCCGATTTTTTTTTCGTAAGGAAATTTATTTTTATCTGCTAGACCCCTATTTTGTCAGCTTGATACTTCCGTATATTCATAAATTTTTATTAATTTTTTAACTTTTTCAAAGGGTCCTGTGTGAGCGGCTGTTAATGCACCGTGCTGTAATAATTGATTCGAATTTGGAAATACCGGATAATGAGTCTAGTGTGTCATTGAAGGATAATAAAGGGTTTGGAGGAGATGTGAATTATATTTTAAATAATTTTGGATGTTTTAATTTTACGGTTAAGACAATTAATAATGCTGAAACAGAAATGGTTAATAATACTAATAATGGAGGAGCGACGAGGAAAAGAAAAATGCCTTCAAAAAAGGAAAATGGTGGAGGGGAACAAAGTGGAAGTTGTAATAATGGTAATGTTAATAGTAGTAGAAGAAGTGGTGGTGGTGGTGGTGGAAGGGATGTGAGTTTTTAATTTATTTTTGGTGGTTATGTAATTTTAGGGAAGGTTGGAGGGGAGGTTAGGATTTTTAGGAGGATTTTTTTCGAGGGTCTTTGTTTGAGGAAAATAGTGTTTCTATAGGCTTTCTGTTTATCTTTCATCTCTTGGAGAAATATAATTCATTTTTTCGTGGAAGTTAAAAAAAATTCTGGCTTTTAAAGGGATTTTTGAAATTTTTTGGAGGTAATTTTTTGATTGGCGCGAGAGACAACGTTTTTGCCGGATCTCTTATTATTTTTTGTTTTTTTTTTCGGAAAAAATCTGTTCTCTCAAAGCATTTAAAATCCGTTGAAATTACCTATGAGAAATAACTGGAGGCCTTTGAAGAAATCCTTCAATTAGCCAAATTTTTATTAAGCTAACTAAATTTAAAATGAAAATTTTTTTCAGAATAAAAGACGCAAGGCACGTGACGAGGCTAAACAAAATATAATTTCTATAATTGAAAGTATTGTTTCTGATACACCAAAATCAGAAGATTCTGTTAAATCCGAGGCTACTACTAATGGTTTTTTTATTTAATTTTAACAAATAAATTAAAAAAAACAGAAGCGGAGAATGCACAACAAGAATTGTCAGATGTTCCTACTCCTAGTGAACAAAATTCAGGTTAAAAAATAAATTTTTTGGTTGTCTTTGTTGATTTAATTTTATTTTAAACGGAACATTTTTTAACTAAAAAATGTAAAATAAGTTGTGTAATTAAGAAAGCAACCCCTAAATAACGGAGACAATTGGAGTTCGATATTTGGAAAATGTCGTATTCGGTTTCCTGATTTTTAAATTTTTTCTGATCGGACTGGACCTTCGGGATCAGAATCCGGAAAATCCGGTTTTTATTAAAAATACACGAATTCTGGACTACCGGATCCGGAAAATCCTGTCTGGGTCGAACTTTGCAAACAATTAATAATTATTCTTTTTATTTTAAAAATTAAGGATCATGATCTAATCAGAATATTGAAGAAAATAAGATATAAATATGTATTATTTAATTTTAACTTTTTTTGATTATAAATTTAAAAAAAGTCTACTACTATTAATCATTTTTTCGATTAAAAATTCGATTTTTAAAATTATTTTATTTTAAAAAATTCTTTAATTTTTTATATTTATTTTTTTTTATTTTCAATGTTTTTGCAAAGATATCCATTTTTAATAAGAAAATTTTCAACATCTTTAAAACAAAAAATGCGTGTAATTCCAATACCTGCAAATGCTGATAATTACCAATATTTAATTATTGATTCAAAAACTAATAAAGGGGCAATTGTTGATCCTGTTGATGTTAATGGAGTTGGTTTTTTTTATTTAAAATTTTATTTTTTTATAAAACGGGGGAATATTTTTTCAAAGTTTTTTTAGGAGAATGGTACCAAACCTCCGAAATACCAACTGGAAATGATAACAAAACATGGGGTTATACTGCTCTATAACGGGGAACGTTCACCAAATAATTTAGCATTTTTAATAGTTTGGTATTTTGAAGGCTTTTCGGAATTTGGTATTTCGGCGTTTTAAGTGGATTACGTTGAGCTCCCAAAAAACTTAATTTAATTTTCAATACTTTGTTTTACGATTTTGATAGAAGGGTAGATGGGATTTATAAGTATTCTTCGATCATTCAAATTGCTTTTTTTATAGTTCTTCAATGTCATTAAAAAGGAAAATGCAGATTTATTTATGGCACTAGTAACGCATCACCATTGGGTATTTTTTAATTTTTATTTAAATTTTTTTGATATAAGATTTGGATTAAAAGAACAATTTTTTGTTGAGTTCAGAATTAAAAATTAAGAAAAATTTATTTTTGAGGACCATGCTGCGGGTACAGAAGAATTAAAATCAAAAAAGTCAGACGTTAAAATTTATGGTGGTGATGCAAAAAGAATTAAATCTATTGATTATGTTGTGGAAGACAATGAAGAAATTGAATTTGGGAATTTAAAGGTAAAATTAAAATTTTTTTTAATTTTTATTTATTTTTTTTCTTTAAAGATACGTGCTTTGAAAACACCTTGTCACACATCGACACATGTTTATTTTATTTTTTTAAATTAAGAAAAATTTTTTTAAATTCAAAAAATGTTTTTGTCCCTTAATATTGCCTTTTTAGTCAAAAACTTTGTTAAAATAATTACTTCCCAACAATGTGGTTCGAACCCTCGACATATTTTCCACTGAAATAAACGTTACTGAAACCCGGAAGGAAGTAAAGGGAACAGAAAAATTTGTGGAGTTTTTAAAATTTTAAAATTTATAAAAAATTTGATCGAAGATGAGCGGGTTTTTTAAATGACTGATTTTATTTGGAAAAATTTTTTCCTTTAAGATTTGTTATTACATTACTGATGAGGCTGAAAATCAAAAATGTGTTTTTACTGGTGATACTTTATTTATTGGTGGATGTGGGAGATTTTTTGAAGGAACAGCAGAGGAAATGAATTATGCTTTGAATGAAAAACTTGGAAAATTGCCTGATGATACGGTTAAAAATTTTTTTATTTTTTAATCTTTTTTGGGGTTTGGCACCCAGAATCTATCAAAAATTCTTTTGGGAGTAATCAAATTTTTAGAAAGAATTAAGGGATTTAATACAGACATGAGATAGCACAAAATGTGAGGGGCTCTGACTTTAGATGACATAATCACCGACTATTATAGTAGTTAGAAGGAAAGGAGGTACAGGCAGCTGTGCTAGTATATTTTATTGTTTAAATTCTTTTCTTTTGAAAAATTTTAAGAATTTGTATTACCCCAAGAAAATGGGAAAAATAAAAAATTTTTAATCGTAAATGTATTTTTTAAATTAAGTTGACAGTTTTGAAGAATATAATAGAAAATTTGAATAAATTTTCAAGTTAATTCTTCACATTAAATTTGAGATATTCAAAAAGGAATATAGAGAGTGCCCCAAAAATAGATTAAAAATGTCAACTCAAATTAAGAAATGCGATTAAAAAAATTCCTAAAGATTTTTCAAACGAAAAAGAATTAAATTCTGCGAAAGGCGCGCACCCCTGCTAAGCTTTTATTTAAATTTAGCGTTTGGGAATTAAAAAAGAAAGTTGGCAGTTTTTCGGTTTTTTGAGTTTCTATTATATATAATTTTATTTTTCTCTAGAAAGTTTATTGTGGACATGAATATACAATTAAAAATCTTGAATTTGCTTTGAGTGTAGAACCAAACAATCCAAATATTTTATCAAAATTGGAGTGGGCCAAAAATTTAAGAAAACAAAATGGATTTACTGTTCCATCAACAATTGGGGAAGAGAAAACATTTAATCCTTTTATGCGTGTCAAGTAAGGTTAAAAAATTTATTTTTTAATAAAAAGAATTTTTTAAAGTAATGTTGGAATCCAAGAAAAATTGGGTACTCTGAATGACCCAATTGCTACAATGCAAAAATTGAGGGATTTGAAGAATAAATTTTGACAGAAAAGGACGTTTATTTTATTTTTAGAGGGAGAAAATTTTTTTAATTTATTTCCGTGAATTGGGCATAACTTTTTCTCAAGAAAACGTTTTGTTTTTCACTTGCTTATGCTCCAATTCTTTAATAAATATTTTTTTAGTATTTATGTTCTAGTACTGATTTTTAATTAGTTTTCGAAACTTAAAATATATTTAGAATATACGTATTATATGTTTTTTACATATTAAATTTTTAAGAAATTTTTTAAGATTTTTAATTCCTTAAAATGGGATCTCATCAATTCTTCAATGAAAATCTCGATGGCCATCAACCATATTTTCCAATTTCACAACAACGTCTATTATCTTCACATCCATCAATTAAAAATAAAGATCAGTTGTACATTATAATTTGCAAGTTTGTTTTTTTTAAAGATTTTTTTGTTTTTAAATTTAATGAATATTCCACCGGGAACTAGATATAGTGGGTCGGACATATCAGGATATCTCAATGGACGACCAGTTAACCTACTGATTCCGGGATCTACTGCCACTAGGGTTTACCTTGCCCATTGCTGAAAAGATTTTTTATAGTTTATTGTGAGAACCAACGTAAACACCCAAGAGGTTATTTTTCTCACAGCAATCCCGATATGTCCGTTTCGATACCATTCCGATATTTATTTGTACTTTATTTCTTTTGAATTCTTTAGTTCCTTTCCCCTCTATTCTCTGTCTTGTGCAGGAATATTTTGGATTTTTGGACAAAAATATAGAGGGGCTGAAAAGAAAAAATCGGCCCATCTTTTTAAATCAAATTTTTTTAGTTCAATATTACCTCATACCTATTCAAATTTGGAGCCTTTACGTGTTGGAAGTTTGGGTGATATTCTTCTTACCCGTGAGGAATACAAAAGTGAAGAATTTGATGAGCAGGATTGGATTACTTTGGAAAGATGTTTATCTTTGGCTTCTGTAATTAGAAAAAAAATGGTTTTGATTTCAAATTTTTTACAACAAAATTCGGATAGAAATTATTTCTTTCAACACAAATGTGTTAAACCGATACGTGATGTTCTTCAAAATTTTTTAGAAGAAATTACTGAATCTGTGCAGAGGAAGAGAAGTGTTTTCAAAGGTTTTTTAGAGATATTTTTGGTAACTAGAAAGATTTTGGAATTTTCAGATTGAATTTAAATAAGAATTTTTTCGCACTTAAAATAGGTTTTTTGTTGATTGTGTAGTTTACCCCCCGTAAGCCTTGCCCCTTTTCCTCTCCCTTCCTTTAGAAAACGACCATCCTATAAAATGACCATTTGGGTCAATATTTTCATTTTTATCGTGGTCATTTTCTAAGGAAAAGGAAGAGAGGAATAAAGAGTCGGGGATTATGGGGGGTAAACTACACAAGAACAATTTTTTAATTGAAATAAATTTTTCTTTAAATTTTTTATGCAGCTTTAGATCGTTCTAGGTTCATTTGACAATATTTCCTCTTCAAATTGAAATATTTAAATGACTAAAAAAATTTTTTAAATAGATCCTTGGGAACTTTTCAACTTTCTCAACCTCTTTGCAAAACAAATTGATCCAATTTTCTTGACTTTTCAAAGTTTGCTTTCTTCAATGAGTATTCTCACTATAAATGATATTTTGAATTTTTGGAAATGTTTTTTGCAAGAAAAAATTAATTTGTGGGATTATAATAATAAATTGGTTTGTGTTTATTTTTTAATTTTAATTTAATTTAAATGTTAGTTAAAATGGCAAGAAGAACTTTTTGAAGGATTTGTGTATTTAATTGGAAAATGTATTTTGGAAGAACTTAGGTTTTTTTAAATTTAATAAAATAGAATTTTTTGGTTCATTTATGGGCTTTTAATTTTCGTGGGGTTTATGATTCGCTGAAAAATTTTTTTTTCAAAAATCTAAAAATTTTCTCAAAATTTTAGTTCAACTCCAGAAGTTAATTTTCTTTCATTTTTGGTTGAGGCGGATCAATATTTACCCAATATGCTCTCATTTTTGCATCGATGCCTTATTTTAATGCCAAAAACTATGAGCGATTCACTTCCTTTATTTGATGAAATTTTTATTGAATTTTGGGAAAATGCAAAAACGAAGAAATGGTTAGACTTTTAAGAATTTATTAAATTATTTTTTTTATCCCAAAATAATTTAAATTTTTTCAAGTATTCGTTATACTTCAACATTTCTATCAATTCTTATCCACCAATCCTTGGATAAATTTTCAACTAAAATTAATTCTATAGTTCTTGCAGAGCTTGAATCATCACAAACAATTTTGTTTTCTCATTTACAACATATCAAGGTTTTTTTTTGTAATTTTGAAGCCTACCTCTGAAGACCTATATCTTCTAGACCTACAACCTAAATTCCTACTGACCCTGAAGACATACAACTTTTATAGGATGTATCGAGGGATTTGGAGGAATTAAAGGAATATCGATGGATTCGGTTTAATTGAAGTGGATGTATAGATCTCTACTCAGAGTTCTCTGATACACACAATACCGCACCATAGGTTCTAAAATACAGGACCTGATACTTATCTCTAGAGTGGGTATTTATCCCCTTAATCCCTCGAAATTTTCTTTTACAATTTTTGGTCTTCAGGGTTAACCAAATTTTTAAAATTTAACTAAAAAATATTTTTTTCAGCAATTTTATTCCTTAAATACTCATGCTTTGGCCAATTTATTCAAAAATTCGAATTGTGTTCCTCCCTTTGAAAATTTCTCTAACAATAAGAATTCGACTGCCAAATCAACCACTTGGTGTATTGTTGAGGAAGAAGTGAAAAGACGGCTTGGATGTGTTGGTAATACAAAAGAGGATTATATTAATATTTTTTATAAAAATGTGAGGTTTTTTTAATTTTTTTCTTTGAATTCGGGGCGCTTTGTGATATTGGGGCAGATAGATAATAGAAACTCGATCAGTCGATCAGCTCAATCCCTTCCTCAAAATTTTCCCTTTTTCCCGTTCCAAGGGGGAGGGGGCTTTAGCACCAGATGTTCCCTGGCTACGTCCTTGATCAGTCCTGTTGTCGATGGTTTGAATCCTATTTTTACGGAAAACGATTTTTAATAAAACAGTGGAAGAGGCTTTTTTCATTGTTTATATTAGCATTTTTAAACAAAATTTTGAGAAATATTGCCTAAAATCGAAAATTTTATTTTCGATTTTAGTGTAAAGATTAATTAAAAATTAAATAGTCTTGGAGGTAGGGAGACATATCGGGATTGTTGTGAGAAAAATAACCTCTTGCGTGTTTGCATTTTTAATAGAACATAAAAATGTTTTTTCAATAGGAAAATGTTTTATCCAAGACCCATAGCCGTAGGTCCCGAAATCTGTAGGGTGGTAACTGTTCATACATTGAAATATCCCGATATGTCCTTCCAATATGTCTGGCTCCCGTCTGAGTCCGTTTAAATTTTTTTTAAACGTCAAAAATCAATTTTTTTAAATTTTTTTTAGCAACACTGGTCAATTTCTGTCTTTTTAACTTTAAATATTTACAAATCTCTAGATTCTATATTTCTTTGTCTTTATAAAATTATTCTTGCTTGGCATACATTAATGAATTATTCAAACTTATTAAAAATAAATTTTAGAAAAACAAAAAGAAGAAAAAGAAATGTTTTAATTTTTTCTTTTAATAATTTAAAAAATCAAATTCAAAAAAGATTAAATTTAAAAATTATTCATTTTCTTCAAATTGTTATTCAAGCAATTTTGGGACAGGTATTCTTTTGAAATTTTTTATTAAAAAAATATTTTTGGCATACCCCCATACTCCGATTCAAACAAATAATACTATGTCTTTCGAAAGGGCTTGACGAGCTGAGAATGGCGTTTTGCGTCCATTTTTGTTTGGCTTGATTTAAAAATTTGAAAAAAATGGCGTTTGGCGCGCCACACGAAAATTTGGCGCACATCCCTGGTAGCCACCTATAGGATATTCGATTTTTGACTCCAAAAAGTCAGCTTGGTCTCTTCTGTGGGTTTTCGATTTCTAGGGAATATGTATCTCGGTAATTCCGAGGCTGGTCCCCCCTTTTTTTCCTTTCTATTTTTTTCGATTTTTTAAACTTTTTGTGGCAAATTATATATCGTTCGAAAGAGCTCTTCAAGCTGAGTCGAACGGTACTAAATTCATCGAAAGCCGACTTAAATAAACATAGTTATGAGTATTTGTTTTAATCCCTTTCAACATCACAAAAAGCATGTCCATCGAGGATTTAGCTATGTAATTTTGTTCAGAATCACCAAATCTAACCGATCATAGTATCATTCTACTCAGCTCGAACAGCTCTTTCGAATGATATATTGTAAATTATATGAAAGCTCAAAATGGTCAGGGGAACAGAAAAAAAGGGGGGACCAGCCTTGGAATTACCTGTATCTCGACCCATGGATGAATCTCAAAGGTATCGTTCGTTCGACTCAACTCTTCGAGCTTTTTTCGAATGAAATTCTGTTTGTTCGAATCGGAGTATAGGAGAAATGACGGATTTTTACAAAAAAAAAAGAATTTTTTCTAGTTAACCTCAATAAATGATTATTATATTAAAAAATTGGTTGATCAAATAGAATCTTCAAATATTTTACTTCAAAAATTAATTGAAATTGCCAAAGAATGGAATGAATGTCTCGAATCACTTTATGTTAGTTTAAATATTTACTTAAAATAAATTTTGAAGGAAAATTGGAACTTTTGGGTATACCTCATTTATTTGCAACTTCAATAGGTCCACTTTGACCGTTTTGAGCATGTGAATAAATGGGTAAGTGGTGGCCTAAATTAGACAATTTCCGGAAAATTATCTTTTTTTTTAAATTCATTTTCTTATAAGTTAAATTTTTCGAAATTCTAATTTAAAAAATTTCCGAAGTTCCGACTCCCAATAAAATTTTTCTAACTTTAAAATTTTTAAGTTTTTCATCAATAACACACTTGTTGAACCTTTGGACGAAATTGTAAAAATTGTAAATGAATATGTCGAGATACCAGCAGAATCTACAAAACCTGATGTAAATAAAGGGGAGGAAGAGGAAGATGACGACAATGATGTTAAAAAATATTTGTCTTTACAATCCAGACTTGAACGAGTATATTTATTTACAATTAATGTAGAATTTGAGGAAGTGAGGACAACTGAACAACAACAAATATTATTTTCGAATGATGATGAGAGGACACCAAAAATTAAAGATTGTCTATTTCTTATTAAAATGTTGCTGGCTACATAAAATTTTTAGGAGAAAAAAATAAATTTTATTTTGACCATTTTTACATATTTTGCCAACTGACCATTTTGCAATTGTGGCGTTTTGTCGCGCTAATTTTTATTTTTTTCTTTGTTTTTGTTATTTTTTTGATTTTAAATTGATTTTTAGATTTGTTTTAGATTTATTTTTCTAAGAAAAATGGCTTCTTCAAATATTGACCAAGAAATAGTTCGGGAATCGTTAGAATGCCCAATTTGCAAGGACTTCTTTTCTGAGCCTAAACAGCTTCTTTGTGGACATACTTTCTGTCAAGGATGTATTGATGGATTGGAAAAAGTTATTTCGTCGTTTGGAAATGACTCTGAATTTGGATTTTTGCATACAATTTATAGTTGGGATTTTACTTGATTTTTGTTAACTTAATTAATTTTTTCAGCTCGTTCTGCTGAGGCACGTCGCTGTATAAATCAGCGCTTGAATGAGGGCCAAAGTAAGATTGTCTTTAATTTTTTGAAATGAATTTTGTCTTTACCTTGGGATTTTGGTGGTTTTTTGACTTGTTTTAAGAAGCATGGTCACAGATTTTCTTAGTTGTCCGAGGACTTGGATTTATTTTATCCTTGTGGTCACTGCTCAATTGCCTATACAAATATTTTTTAGTTCTTACTTACTTTTTGATGGCTTGGGGAGCATATTTACATTAAACGCCCCTTTAATCATTCAAATTTTTAATTAAATTTTTACTTTAGGATACTCTATTATGTGTCCAAACTGCCGCAAAATGTCTCTTATTCCTGAGAATGGATTAAATACTAATTATGTTGTTAAAGGTTTTTTTCAACTCTTATTTTATAACTTTTTTTCCTTAGAAATGGTTGAGAAATTTCGTTTCATTTCGTTTACCAACAGTGGATTCAATGGGAATGACTCATCAGCTGATTCTGGGGAGAAGAATACATGTTCTGGATGTTCTCGTCCAACACCTACAAATGAATTGTTTTTCTGCAAAGGGTGTGCTTCTGTTACGAATAAGAAGGTTTTGAATTTTTGTGATAATTTGAGAGTTGGCTCGATAGGGTGTAAGTTCATAGTCCAAGTTCATCCAAAATTTCATAACTTTTAAGTCATACAAATTTTTGGTTTTGAGGTTAGAGCCAAAAAAGGAAAGAATTGGCAATAGTAAACCGACCTCATTCTACACATTGGCGTGTGTTCTATTCCAAAATCATTTTCCTTCTAAAATTTTTTCACTTTCCCCATTTCAGGGGGCTATAGCCCTAGAAGCCCTCCTCCCCTGGCTACACCCTTGCCGTTTTCTCTTTTAAAATTAATTAAACTATTTTCAATTTAAAGTTTATTTGTTCTCTCTGTGTTTTGAAAATGCACAAGGATCACGATGTTATAATGTGCTCAGATTTTGCTTCGCATAAGGACCGTGAAGAGGCTGCTAATCTTATAGCTGATGCTGCTTACAGAGCTCGCTCTCACGTTGAAAAAATTAATGGAATTCATGAACAGTTTAATCGTGGATTTGACTCTATTAAACAGGTTTTTTGAATTTTTTCGAGGGTCGGTGATTGGATCTATTGTTAGGAATTTAAAAGTTGTGGACAAGGGATTGGCGGGTTACCGAAAACCCATTCCGAAGAAAAATGTGAATCCCCAACCTTAAAACCAGGCCCGTAGCCAGGGGGGGGGGTGAGGGGGGGAATTCCCCCCCCCCCCCCCGAAATGGGAAAAAGGAAAAAATTTGGGGAAGGGCTGGGGCAAAAAAAGTGAATTTTTTTGGCCTACGGCCTCTGAAATTTAAAAAATTTTCGCCTGCGGCGCTAAAAAAGGACGAAATCTGGCTTCTTTAGGTCCAAAATTCAAAAAATTTTCGCCTGCGGCGCTGAAAATCAAATTTTTGGCGCCTGCGGCGCCGAAAAAGTGAATTTTTTTGGCCTACGGCCTTCTAAAATTCTCAAAAATTTTCGCCTGCGGCGCTGAAAATAAAAATTTTTGGCGCCTTCGGCGCCAAAAATTTGGCGCAAAAAAATTTCCCCCCCTCGAAAAAAAATCCTGGCTACGGGCCTGCTTAAAACTGACTTTTTTCTTAACCGCCGTCATTCTTGTTGCTGACCCTAAACGCGAAATACTCGATTCTTTTTCTGAAACTTCAATTAATTTATTTTTTATTTTTAGAAATTGCAAAACAATCTTGAACCTTTTGAAGCTTTTCATCTTGAATGTTACGACAGTGAGTCCCACCATTTAAAAGAAGAATTGGAAGAGAAAGTGCGTAAAGCTAAACAATTGGGTGACCGTTTTTCAATGGTATAAAATTTTTAAAATTAAATTTTAATAATTTTTGTCTTTTTTAGACTTATTCTGAACTTGAGAAAATTGCAAAAAGTGCAAATCGTTATTTCAATTCAATCAATTCCGCTCCCGATTTTGATCATCAAAAACGTATTTTTATATTTAATGTATTCTTTTTAAATTTTTTCTTCTTAGGTGCTTGTTCTTTCTTTTTGGATGACGCTGGACCTTCAACTTCTACAAATATGTTGACTCCATTTATGCTTTCGTATGTTTTTTTAATATTTTGGATTTAATCGAGAACTGGGGTAATTGAGGGATTTAGGAGTAATTGAACCCCCTTAAATTTTTTGATGACATTTCATCCCGTGAGGCAATTTTCGCATTTAAATATTTCAGTAATACTTTTGCCTACAATTCGGATAGAAATCAGCGTCAACAAAAACGTAAACCTCGACAACGCCACTTAAATTCTCCACGTATTGATCCTCGACTTGTTTTGCGTGCTAATCCTCCTGTTTCTGATGATTCTACAAATATTTTGGAATTGAGTTAAATTTTGTTTGGAGGAAAATTGTTTTTGGTTGGATTTTATGACTGGAATAATTGGGGAGGAAAGAGGTTTTTTGATTTAAAAAAATTACTTTTGATTTTTTTGATTAACTTTTCTTTGAAAAAATTGACTTTAAAAAATTTTAATTTAAACTTTAAAAAATTTCTTTTAAATTATTTTGGAATGGAGATTGGACACATTTATTTTTAATTTAAATAATTCTAAAAAAATTTTCTTTCTGGTCCAATCTCCTTAATTTTGCTTTCATTTAAAAATTGTGTTTTGAATGGATTATATAATTGTGTAGCAACATTTTTTTTAATTTTGGATAAAATTTTTTCATTTTTTATTTTTGGAAATTTAAAATAAAATAGTTTTGTTGACTATTCGTATCTTAAAAATTTTTTTTAAAATAATTTTTCAAATTTTTCTGAAAGAATGCCTTGTACAAGTTGTATGGTTGACTACTCTAGAAGTAAAAAAGAGGTGTTTTTTAAATTTTAATTTATTAAAATTAATTGTTCAAAAGTTTGGCTGTGCAAAATGTAAATTCAGTTTTTGTCGTAAATGTCTACCTTATGATGTAGTTATACCTTCAATTTCGGCACAACCTGTTCCTGTTTGTTCAAATTGTTATTCTTTATTGGTTTATTTTTGATATTTAAATTCTGAAGGAGGTTCGGGATTTTTTCATTGAATAAGAAAAATATTTTTGGATTTTTTTCGTTAACTAACGGCTGGATATCACAAGGCAATTATTTATAGGTTTCGAATCTAGAAAAAAATCGATAAGCAACCCAAAACCTAACTGAAAATTGAAAGAGATATCAGTTGAAATTCTATGGGACAAGGGTGTAGACAGGGGGATACTCCTTCGAATGAGGTTAATTCATATTTCAGGGGGTTATACCTCACTCCCAGCCCCTAATACCGCACTCTTTTCCCTCCAGCCCCTTGGATGCGCCCTTGCTATGGGACCCAAAAATTAAGAGAATTTTGCGGGTCTTTTCCTAAGAAATATAGTAAAAGTAAAAAACTAACAAAATCTTTTCTTTTTTAATTTTTTTTTAAAATTTTGCATAGAATCAACAACAACAAAATTCTGAATTATCAAAAGATAAAAATCGAGAAATGCCTTCAAACATAAATTGCTGGAATGGAGAAGATTTACCACCTCCTTCATTAAGACCTTTATTTTCTTCCAACAAATCTTCAAAACAAAATTTAAAATCAAACAAAAATGAGTGGAAAGAATTGGAAGAAAGGCTGGAAAGATTGAATGAACCTATTGAATCTGTTAAAGAAGAAAAAAAGAAAATTCAAGGAATTGGACAATTAGAAGAAAGATTGGCTGCTTTGCGTGGAGTTGATGTTGATATTATTAGAAGGCCGGGATTGGTTTGTGCTTTTTTAATTTTTAAAATTTTCCCAATATTGAGGTATTTTTTAAACTTTTATTTTGCCGGCAAAGTCCGCAACTTTTATTCTGCAAAAGTCAGATCCCTTTCAACTCCTCATCGTTTTGAATTTTCCCTCTTTAAAGAAACCTGCAAAAAAATAAATAGGACGTTTAAATCGATAAAGAAATTCAACCAACATATTTTTGTGTTCAGTATCGCTATTTAGGAAGACTTGTAATTTTAGGATAAGAATTGCGGACTTTCCCGGCATAAGCAAAGAGTAGTGGAAAATAAATTAAGACTTTTTTTATTTCAGCTTGTAGTAAATCAAGATGAAAGCCAAATCAATGTTGATGATGAACGTTATGAAAATGAGGCTCTAAAATTGTTGAGTGAGGTTGAATGTTTTTATTTTTTCAACAAAATTGATCAATCATAAGATATTTTTAAAACTTGTGTTGTAAGTTACCTGTGGTGTATTGGTAGTGCTCTTGAGTTTTTAGGCATTTTAGATGAGGGTTCGAATCCACGTAAAGTAAAAGATTATTTTTAAGCTATTATTTTCGCTACTTTTTCTTTTAAAATTAGGAGAAAATTTTTCTTGAAGTTATTCTCTTTCATTTATTATTTTTTTATTTAATTTTTTAAGGCCGAACATTCACTTCAACTAGGTAAACGATTGCCTTCTTCCATTCCCAATCTTCACAATAATTCTTCTCAAGCTAATAATTTAAAATCTTCTGGTTCAAATCAAGATTGTTCTTCGATAAATTCTTCTGTTATAAATGAGGTTTTTTCAAATTAATTTTTGTAAAATTTATTTCCTTTTATTTAAAGACAATAGCACAAATAACAGCATCTAAGAAGAATGAGAATAGTACTAGTAGTATAAGCAGTTTGGATCAACAAAGTTTATATCCTTCTCTTGAAGATTGCGTGAGAAAAGTAAGGGGAAAGGACTGAAGATTTAAAGTTTTTTCTCTTTTTTAGACTCTGGAGGACGCTAAAAACGCAGAAAATGAAGCAGTTGAATTCCTCCGCTCCCACGGACAACAACAAACATCGAATAATGAGGAAAACGAAAATAACAGAAATATGGGGGGACAACAAACAAATAATCAACAAAAACATAAAAATCAAAATTTACAAAAACTTTATTCATTTTTTAAAAAACCTTTATTTCGTTAATTTTTATAGAATTTTTTTAATGTTTTAAGATAAAAGGAATTGTAAAAATCAATCCTAGCTAAAGGTAATGAGAATAGCAATAATAGCATTATCAACATTTGTAGTTATTGAAATTGGGTATGAATCCGTCCCCAAAGTCAATGAACTTGGTGACCCCCTGGCCTAACTTTTTTCACGTGAAAAATAAATCATTATAAATAGATCTTTCGCCTTCCAAAATTTTAGTTTCGTCTTCTGCAAAGAAACTGATGAAATTAATTATGAAAGTTTGATTTTTTCGAAAAATATTTTTTATAAAATCGATAGAATCAATATTTCGATTTCTCACAAACTAGCCCGCTCTCTGGCACTCAACTAGCCACTTTATTTTTTCTTAGTTTCTTAAGCATTACACTTTCTCTTTTATTTTCTCTAATCGAGGATGAAATGTCATTGTTTTCAATTTTAAATACTTCGCCAAATTACTCGGAAAATTTTTTTGAAAATAGAGACGCAACCAACATCACATGAAAACATAAAAAATTAAAATCTCTTAACAATTAATCTGTCCGAATGTAGTGATGTATCAAATGAACATTTTGAAATAGGACATGCTAAAATAAAAGGATTTGAAGTTACGCATTTTAAATTACCAAATCCATATTTCCTTGTTGATTGATTTCATACAGAAAGTCTTCTGGGGGCACTTGTGCTCCTAAGACTACATGTCTAGAAATTTAGTTATTAATTTTTAATGTCTAAAAAATTAATAAAAATATTTTTCCTTTAGGAGGAATCGAACCATGGTCTCCAATCTAACTGGTGAATTTTAGAAGTAGCACCTAACCCACTGAACCAAAATATGAGCTTATAAAGATTAAATTATTTTGCACCTTTATGTATTGGGGGAATTCTTATTTTGGTCTTAAAGACATAATGAAAAAATTCCTTGCCTCTCAATCAGCCTATCAGTCGAGGGATTATAAGTAAAGAGAATCTGTAAAATTAAAATTTAATTTTTTAAACAATTTTTTTCCAAAAACCAAATGTTCTCTTCCATCCCAATATTTTGCTCTAAATTCCTTTCCAAGTTGGAACGTCCAATCCGCATTTTTCTTTGCCCCAGGAAGCCATCTACTTCCTTGTAATCCCTGTCCAATCATCATTCGATAACCTGGACCGGTAGGAAATAAGACGCGGGTAAGTTTTGGGGGTTTTACAGTCCTCCTCATTTCCTCATTGTAACCTTTAAAAATCTTTTTGATTAAATAGTCGGAGTAATTTACAAGGTACACCCTTGCCTTGACCATTTTTAAATTTTAAATTAAGTACATTCATTATTGGTGGTGTAAGGGAGCTTTCGATCCGTTATTCCTTAAGATCCTTATTGATAGATGTGGTCCCAAATGAATTTTGGTAGATAAGCTCTGTATTAACAGACAACCACAACTTAAAAAATTTTCTAAAAAATAATTTTTTATTGGGTGTATCTTTTAAGGAGAGGTCTATATTATTAAAAATTTTCTCCCAGAAATCCTCTCATATCCAGATTCTTTTTTATAGAAGAATCCTCCATCTATTGAAATATTTGTACCTCTATGTTTTGAAATCCCCTCCTCATTTTTAACAAATTCTAAAAACTACACTATCAACAAGCACACCAGGGCTGGGCGAAATCAAAAAATAAGAAGCGAAATGCGGAATGCGAAACTTTTTTTAAAAAAATAAAAAGCGAAATGCGGAATGCGAAACTTTTTTTAAAAAAATAAAAAGCGAAATGCGGAATGCGAAACTTTTTTTAAAAAAATAAAAAGCGAAATGCGGAATGCGAAACTTTTTTTAAAAAAATAAAAAGCGAAATGCGGAATGCGAAACTTTTTTTAAAAAAATAAAAAGCGAAATGCGGAATGCGAAACTTTTTTTAAAAAAATAAAAAGCGAAATGCGGAATGCGAAACTTTTCGCGCCAAAAAATGTGAAAAATGCGAAAGATGCGAAACGCGAAAATGCGAAATCGCCCAGCCCTGAAGCACACCTTTAGCAGCCAAATAAGCCTCCCAATTGTCACTATTTTCATATTGAAAAGCCCCAAAAAATTTTTGAGGGATTGATTCTTGAGATTTAATTAAATAAATCAAACAAAATAAATAGAAAAAGGAAAAATAAATTTTTGGAAAAATCATTTTTCGGAATTTTCTGAAAAATAAATTTAAAGGGGAAGAAAATTATTAGTATTTTTATTGAGAGAAAGAGTGAAAGAAAAATTAATATTTTAAAAAATCAGGTTTTTAAATTAATTCTTTGCCCAATAGAAGAAATAAATCTTAATTTTAAAATAACCTTTTTTGAGAGCAAAATATTATTTTTCTCTCATTATTTTAGTAAAATTTAGCGAAGAAAAAAATGATTTATTCAAAAATTTAAAAGGAAAATTTGTTCAAAATATTACTCTTTTAGCTTTTTATTTCGTCTTTAAGATTTTTTTAATTAAAAATTAAAAAAAAATATGAATGGGGTCGAACACTTACATCAAAATACCCTCCCCAAAATATCATTAAAAATGCCCTGAAAACAAGGCAAGAACAACGAGAATCGAGTCTCGTTATCTCAAAAAATTTTCATTCTCGATAATCGAGATTTTGTTTTATGCCTAGTCTCGGGTCAGTCTCTATTTATTTCGGAAGGGTCTTGAACTATGAATCATAAACGCTTTTTTGAAGGCTTTCCAGTAGTATTATTGGATCCTAGGAAATCCCAGGATAACCAGGAACCGTAACCTTGTCACCCACGTGACAGGATAAAAAAAAGGCAAATTGACGCGATTCTAAAATCAGAATTTAATTTAAAAATTATTCACCTCCTTACTTCAAAAATATTTTTTTCTAAAAAAAAAATTCAAAATAAATAAAATATATTTTTTTAAACAAAAAATTATATTACAAAAAAAAACACCCAAAAAATTAAATCAAAGCCACAGAAATGGGGACAATTACTTAGATAAATAGTAAAAAAAAAACAAAAAAAAATGTGAGGTGATTTGAGAGAAAATTTGAGTTTTTTTTAAAGGTGTATGTGTGTAGCAGGGATGTCACGGGTTACCCGAAACCCGATACCCGAAACCCGAAACCCGGCCTTTTTTTCGACCCGATACCCGAAACCCGATCCGAGAAATTTTCTAAAACCCGACCCGAAACCCGACCCGAGAATTTTTATTTTTCAAAACCCGACCCGAAACCCGACCCGAGTTTTTTCAAAATTTTCGCCCGCGTCGCAGAAAAAGGGAAGATTTTTAGCTTAATGATCCTCCAAAATTCTGAAAATTTTCGCCTGCGGCGCTGAAAAAGGGAAGATTTTTAGCTTAACGAACTCCAAAATTCTGAAAATTTTCGCCTGCGGCGTTGAAAAAGGGACTTTTTTTCGACCCGAAACCCGATCCGAAGAAAATTTTGAAAACCCGATCCGAAACCCGACCCGACTTTTTGCTCAACCCGAAACCCGAAACCCGATCCGAGAAAAATTTTGGAAACCCGACCCGAAACCCGACCCGACATTTTTCTCAACCCGTGACATCCCTGGTGTGTAGAGTATTCAAAATTCACTGGAATTTATTTAGATAAGGGAGGGAATGGCGGTAAAAAACAAAGAAAATTTTCTGAGTTGTTTTTTGTTTGATAATTTAGGTAAGAGGGAGGGAGAGGAGTTTTAGAAAATTTTTTAAAATTATCCAAAGGCTAGAAAAATTTCCAAAATTTCACAGATCCCATTAACTCCTATATAGGTAAATTAAAAAAAATTCTTTTTTTACTAAACTTTAAGTGAATGTTGAAGAAAGTTAGGTAGAGACATTTTGTCCGAAAAACTCGGAATTCTTTAAATTTTAAAATTTCCAAAAATTCTGGATCGCTTTCGGGTTTTTTTTTGAAAAAAAACTATTTTTAAAGCAAATATAAACACAAAATTTCAGATATCTAGGTTAACCAAGTATTTATCAACTTATAATTTTTAATTTATCCCTTAAGCGTTAACGCGTTTTCCTCTCAACCAAAGGAATTTTCCAAGGTTTTTTGCTTCATTTTTTGTAGCTAAAACCTTTTTTTAACACTTAAAGTAGTTTTCAAACTATAACAAGTGGAGTAGCATTAAAAATTGCTACCACTTCCGCCATACCCGTTTTGCCTTATAAAAGGTGGTCTAATATTATTAACTAAAAAAGGTGAGGAAGAATTTTGAGTTGATGAAGAAGAAATTGAAGAAGAAGAAGACGAAGAAGAAGAAGCAGCCAACAAAAATGGAGGATTTTGTAATTCTTGGTTAATTAATTCCATTAATGTTTGTCTTTTAAACATTTGAGCTTCACGTAGTCCCAATTCTAATAATTGACGTTTACAATCCCTCGAAAGTGTTCTCTCAGAAACAATTTCCATTAATTGTTTATGTAGTACAATACCTTCTAAAAATAAATTTATCTTATTAAAAAATAAATTTGTCTTTTTTAAATGTCCGCAAGTTTTATCCGCAAGTTTATCCTATCAAACTTCTTTGGAAAAAAGGAAGCATAACACGTAAAGGAGTTGTTATATTTAAGGATATTTTGAAAAATTATGGCGATTTTACGTCCCAAAATAATTCCTTACATTTGTTTTTTAATAAAATAAAAGATAAGACTTGCGGAAAAACTTGCGGATATTTTAATTAATTTAAGGACAAGATACTATACTAGCTAAAATAAAAAACAAATGAGAAAAACCCAAAGTTTAGGAATGTTAAAACCCCTTAAAAACTTTTCTTACTTTTTTAAACAGAAGAGATAATATTCCAAAATAGTTACCTATTTCTATTAAATTCTTTCTAAATTGTCCCTAGCCCTATTATAATTAAAAACCAAACAAAAGATTTTTTAAACAAACTGGGGCCTATTTGTCTACAAAGCTGACGAATTTGGCGTTGTTTTTGAAGAAATTCTTTATATGAAATTGTTGGAATGACTGGAGTGAAAGAAGGTATTTCAGTTTCTCCATTATCCAATCTTGGCCTTTTGAAAGGTTTTCTTTGATTATTTTGAGAAATTCTTTGTTTTTCTTCTTCTTCAAGTGAAGGCATTGAAGAGGAAGAAGGTTGTTGAAAATCATCGGCCTCTTGCAATGTTGTTTCTTGAAAAGTATAAGGTAAAACAAAATTTTAAAGGAAAGTTTGCGGATCGAAAAGTTACGGACAAAAAATCCGCACATTTTTTTGTCCGCAAAAAAAGTTGCGGACAAAAAAAGATAAAAATTTGGAAATCGAAATAATTTTGGTTTTATTGGTTATTTGCAGCCGGTAGCTGTTAATTTTGGACATAAAAATAATTATTTAACACGCCCTATAAAAGGATTTTCTAGACCGCAAAATCCCTCCCCAAAAATTTAAGAGTTCCATGATCAAAAATATACCTAAAGAATTTCCTTTATTATTACCCCAAAAATTAGCTTTTTGTTGTTGTTGTTGAGACTTATCCAATTCAATATATTGAATATCATCTTCAAACCCCTTCTCTTCCATTTCTTCTTCTTCATTTATTTGGTCTTCCAAATCCTCTTCTTCCAATTTATTGCGTTCTTCAAAGTCTTGGGCATCTGGAGGGGCTGATTGGATCTCCAAAATGTCAGTAGCCATTGAATTTGAATTGTTTTGATTTCGCATTGATCTTCGACGATTTCTTCAAAATTTTTAAAAATTTAAAAAATTTCAAAGAAAAAATCAAACTTCCAAGCAAACAATCTACTCAAATCCAAAGGACCCGGCCTTCTTTTAGGTCTAGCAATTACTTGTCCACTACTCCCCGGACCTTCAGACGAAGCACGATTTTCACGTTCCCTTTTGCGTTGTTCTCTTCTTTCAGCACTGCTTATGGAAGAGGAAGAAGAAGGCTCGTCAGAATTTACATTCATTTCTCCAACCTTTAAAACAATAAAATATTAATAAAGAAAATCTTAAAAGGAAATTAACAAAAACCAAGGAAACTTAAACCGAACCGGATATTCCACAACCAAACGAAAATGACATCTTTGGTGTAGTGGGAAAATGTTAGATTTATATAGGGGAAAGGATGAGGGTTCGAACCCCTGTGAGGGAAAATTATTTTTTATTGTGAAGCAATGCAATATAAAATTAGAAAAAGCAATGAATTAAAGAATTTTTGTCCAAAAGAAAAAAATAAGAGAACTAGAAAAAAAAATTTAAAAAACCTCATCAACAATCGACATATTCTTTTTATCCAATTTAAAAGGATTTCCAAAAGCATGTGGTCTAGCTACTTGTGGTTCAAGTTCACGTTTAGGACCTAGACCAATTGCGTTTAATGACTTCATGTATTCCTCGTAAATGCCCATCTTTGCGATTGGTAAGTTGTGCAAATCCTCTAAAAAAATTTGGAAAAAATTTCAAAAATTTCTGGAAAAATTTTTTTTTAATTTCTTGCTAGCTTAAAAAATTTCAAAAAAAATTTCGCAAACCTGCATGTTGTAATTTAATTTTTTGTCCAGGCAATCCACCCTCCAAAACATGTAAATTACTCGTCTGAACTTGTTGATCAAAATTTAAACGCATTTTATCCAATTGAGAATATAAATTTTCTCTCGCAATATCAAAAGGATTTTTAAATTGAAGTGAAGGAATTAATGTTTGTGAAGGTGTTTCTAATAATAAAATATTTGTATCTTTAAATGCATCTGCTGGAATGAGTGATTTAAATGGAGCAACTGCTGGCCGAAAAGTACAAGAAGTTAAAGCTCCTTTGCTAAGCTGACTACGTGAACGAGAAACTTTTACCTTTAAAAAAATAAATTTTTTAATTTGAGTGGTTTTATTGTTTTTTCTGACAAAAAATTTTAACGGACAAAATCTGTGTGCGAAAAATTTGTCCGCAAAAATTTTTGCGGACAAAATATTTGTATTTGCGGACATTTCTTGTCTAAAACCTATTTTGACATTGTTTTACAATTTTTAATTTATTTCTGGTTTGAATAAATCTTACAGGGAATATAAAAAAAATTAAGAAAATCGAAGAATTCTGCCCCAAATTAAAAAAAATTTCTTCAAGTAAAGTCTGGCGTAGTGGTAACGTTCTTGACTATACCCTTATTCAGATGGGGGTTCGAACCCGTCTGGCGCCAAAAATTATTTTTTTCTTGAGAGTATCTTCCTATTTTAATTTCTTAACAAAAAAGGCCAAAAAACAGCAAATAAGAACATTTTTTAAACTTACAAAAGAAGCAGAATTTGGTGGAAGTAAAGAAGTTTCTTGTAAATTTTTGTGAACAGCAGTGCAGGCAGATTCCTTTAAAAATTATTTTTAAAAAAAATTAATTTAATTTAAAATAATCTTACAAATTCTTGTTGTCCTTGGTGTTTAATACGTGTTTGTAATGCAACCAAATTGCAATAACCATAAAGTTTAGTATTTGCTTCTTCCAAACAAGGAGGCATTACTTTTATACGACTTAGGGCGTTTTTTAGGCGCTAGAAAATTTTGGGAAAATTTTCTTGAGAAGTTGGATTTTAAAAATATTTTTTATACAATACAGGAATTTCGTGATAGATTAAAACCATAAAAATTTGAAAAAATCTTGAGAAAATTTTTTGCAAAAAATTTAATTTTCAAAAAATTTTGCCCATCTTTTGAGCATTACGGAACCTAAGAAACTTATTTTTTAAATCAAAATTTAATTTTAAAACCCCTTACAGAGTAGTAGTACGCTGGAACTGTTTTTAGGTATTTCTCAAATTTGTGTTGAAATTGTGGATGACTGCTACCAATTTTTGGATCTTTCCCCATTGCCAAAAGAGAAAGAAGTTCAGGATAATTATAAGGCATAACATAAAGAGTAACTGTTGCCGAGGTAGAAATTTTAATATATCCAAATGGAAAACCAAGTCCTGGTTGACGATAGGAATTTTCAACAAAAACCTAAAAACAAAAAAATTAACAGTCCGCAAGTAAAATCCGCAATTTTTAAAAATCCGCAAATTCTTAAGAAAATTTTGGAGAAAAAATTTTTTACGCATAAAGGAAGTCTACAGATATTCCAAAAAAGATGTTAAAAGGGTACAACCTCCTGTATAGAGTAACTTATAAAAATGCGGACAAACTTTGCGGACAACTTTTGCGGACAAAAATTTGGGAATTTTAGTTTGAAAAGGTTGAAATTTTATGAGAACCTGCCAACAAAGATTAGACTCTTTTACGTCAAGAATAAATTGAGCTAAAGGAGAAGCACTATCCAACTCGTACTTGTCCAGAGGAAAGTCAGTATTGAATAAAGGCTCAACACGTTCACAACGAAAAACAACTATTGGGTGAGCATTTCGAGGTGGCAAAGAAGTCCTAGAAAAAATTTTTTTTCTTGAAGCCTATAAAGCAAAAAATACTTGACAGAATCAGGCCAATAAGCTTCTGGAATTGGCCAATGACTGTGTTGTTGTCCAACTTTGCTTTTTATTAAAACTAACGAATTCTTCCATTGTTCATTATTTTCATCACGTTTGGATTGGTCATTTTCTTCAAAAATGAAAAAAAAATTTTTAGACAAGCTCAGCCCCTCAGAACCCCTCGGAGAGCCTCAAAAAACCTTCGGGGTCCCCAAAAAAAATTTCACTACAAAATAATTTTTAAAAAACCATTTATTCCATTGGGAAGAATCGGATCTGGTCCTTGTTTCTGAAAGCGTATGATTATTCCATTGGTTTGAATTTTTTGGATAATGTGATCAATACAAGGAGTAAGCGCTCGATGTGAAGTTATTGAGAATGAACGACCTCAAAAAAATTTTTTTTAAATTTTTTTAAATAAATTTTTCCTTCAATTAACCTCCCATCTCCTCCGCAAAATTTTGTGCTATACTATTATCTTCTGGAGGTACCAGACCTTGCTGTTTAATTAGAGGGTGTAGATGACCTGGCAACCTCAAAACAATGGGGAAGAGACGTTGATCCCACCGATACCCTTCAACAAAAAGATCGCTGCCTGTTAAAAGTCGAGGTTTTGGTACTGTCGCCTAAATTTAGAGGATTTTCAAAAAAATTTTTTAAAAAATCTAATCAGACTTCAGAATCAGGCAACGGCAAAGAAGAGCCATCAATCACTGGAATGATAACCACATGTTCTGCATAGCTTGGATACCTCCCAAACCCAAAGGCTTCGATTGACGCGCCAGAACCGCTCTGCATTCGACTAACAAGTAAAAGCCTTAGGACAGAGTCGAGACAAGACTCAAATTTTAACGACCCTTTTGCTTTAAGATTTTTTAATTGTTCGTTGAATATCCGTTGGCTTTCTTTCCATCCCGACTAGAGGAAAAAAAATTTTTTTTAAGAGTAGAAAACGAAAAGGCAATAGTTTGTTGAGACCCCCATCTTTCCTAACAAACATGGAGGTTGGGGATTTTTCGTCGACAAAAGTATGACTGTTTTTTAATCCCTTATGATGACAAGCTTTTCCAGCGAGGATTCAACTTCATAATTTTGTGCAGCCCTTAAAGAGCTCATTCGAATGTTTTCAAAAAAGCTCAAAATGGTCAGAAAACACGGAAAAACGGGGGATCTAAGCCAAACTATTACAACAAAAAATTTCTTTCGAATCTAATTAACCTTGATATTTTGTGGATAATCTTCAAACGTCATCAACATGTATCTGTCCCCGCTTGATGCTGGATCCCGTTGTCTTTGCTTAAATTTAAGAAAATCAACCCTAAATTTTGTCTATCCTAATCAAAACCTTAAGAAATTGTTCTATTGCTAGTCTTGCATAATCTAAGTATGTAGTCCCCAAATATGTTCTTTGCAACATTGAAGCACTCGTATCAACAAGAAAAATTATTATCGTCATATTTAACAAATTTTTAAAAATTTCAAACTCCTTAAATTTGAAAAAAAAATCAATTTCCTTAGAACCCTAAAACACTCAACAACTTTAATTGACAAATTTAACAAACCACCCTCGAACGAACTAAAAGAAACGAGAAGAAAAACGAGTCACGCTTAAATAGATTTTTGGAATGTTGGATTTTTTGTCTGTAAAATACATAACGCCAAAATAAATTAATTATTGGATTTTTTAATTTATTTAAAATAACACCTCTAAAGATTGCTCAAGTCTTATTTTTCTCAAGTCTCGGTGCTCATTGCTTGGGAATTTTAGATTTGCTCGCATTCGTACCTTCGTTTCACCCTCTATTTATGGTCTCGTATTCGTATTTAATAACATTTTCCATTTTTGCTCGTACGAGTGAGAATTTTGGGATGTACGAGCGGCTAAGCACTAGATCTTATCGATGAAAGTATTTTGTTCTTTAAATTTTTTTCTCAATTTCTAGCAGTTCTTTTGAGTTATCATGGGAAGCGATACTCAAACAACATTATTCTTGTTATTTAATTACATTTTTTAACAAATTTTTTTATTATTTTAGATTTAAGCCTCAAATAAGATGAAAATAATACCAATCGATGGGGATGATATTCCAAGTTTGGAAGTTGATAAGGATATTGAAGAAGGTCAAAGATATGTTGCCGAATTAATTGAGCGTCAAAATATTGATTTTATGCACAATTTTGCTATGGAACATATGCCTGAGGCTTTCATTCCTGTTCATATGCTTTTTATTCGGATGAAGATAAATAATTGTCCGGTCATTGCTTTTATTGATTCTGGTTAGTTTTTTGAATTTTTATTTAAGAAATTAATTTTTGAAGGTGCACAAACTTCAATTTTGTCTGAATCTAGTGCTAAAAGATGCAATGTCCTTCGAATGACTGACAAACGAATTCGAGTTCGGCATATTGACCGCCAGTCTTTTTTGGCCTTAGTTAAGGCTGTAAGGGATATTGCGCCTAATGTTCGCTTTAATATTGAGGTTCGTTTTTTAAATTATTTTCCCCTTTTCCCCCATTTCGGGCTCTCACCCCCTTCCCCTGGATACGTTCTTGCTGGACCCTATTATTTAATCCTTTTTATTTTCTCAGATCAAACGCGCTCGTCTTTTGACTAATGGAAATTGTGGAGGTGTATATATTAATCGCAGGAATATTTTTTGTATTATATTCTCGAAAATCATCAATGTGGACTTCAACCGACACATTTTCTTTACCTCTTATGATGTATACCTTCTCGAAAGGTTTGTAAACACTTTTATTTTAATAAGTTATTATAAGAAAGGTAAAAGTTTAGCCCCCTAGATAGGTAGTGATCCTGTGACTGCCTGGCAGTTATTGTTAGGCTATTTCGACCACCACGTACAAGTGTTCTACCGATCTACGCTATCGGCGGCTCTTTTCACCTCTTTAATCCCCCCCTCCCCCCTTATGAACAGTCTAAATACCAGCTGGGTCTTCTTTACAATTTGTTTTGATTTCTAGATGACGAAAATTTAATATTAAATTTAACAATTAATTTTTAAGAATTTATGAAAATAGATTACTAGTTAGGCTAAAGAGAATACTAGTCCAACTAAAACGAGAAAATAGACGACTAGAAAGGGAAAACAGAGAAATCGAAGATTTACAAAAACTTATAAGAGAGTTACAGGCAGAGACTGATGAATTGTTAAAGGTTAATGCAGCCTTATATGGATCATTAACAAATAGGCCTTGTCAAACTGGGCGTAAATGTAGCTTCGAGTACTACTTTGGTTATTTTGGCTAAATTGTCTGGTGAGTTTATTTTTTGTTTTTAAAATTAAAATTGGGAGAGTTAAATTTTTTAAAAATTTTTAAAAGTCAATAGGGGATAATTTAAGGGTTTTATGGAAAATTTAATTGAAAACTAAAACGTTTCTTATTTTTAAATTATTTTAAGGCAGCAATGGATGGTGGTTTTTAAACTAACTTGTATATGATTGACAATAATTTATAAATTGAATTTTAACGATAAAGATGCTCATATATGCAGAAGATTTAATTGTTGTTTTTTTTAATTTATTTGTTTTTAAAGAATTTTTGACATAAATTTGACAGAATAATTTGACAAAAAAAGCTCTTTTGGGCGTTAAGAGTCGCCTACTTATTCTTTTTTTTATTTGACCATTTTGCAACTTTTTTCGTGCTATTTTTAAATAATTTTCTCATGCTTATTTTAGCAGTTTAATTTTTTGTCATCAAATTTTTATTTTTTTTTCAGAATTTACCTAAATTCATTTCAAGTTTGAAAAAAATATGCAGTTAACAATAATTGCTGGTGACGATATTTCAAGCTTACAAGTTGCTGAAGACATTGAACTTGAAATTTTGGTGTCTCTTTGTAAAATTGAGATTGCTTCTATTGCTGATATTCCTTTGGAACAATTACAATTAATTGTGAATGGACAAAATATTGCTTTGAATTCTTCAGATTTGTTGAAAAAACAGCTCAAAGTTTGTCTTTTTTCTTAAAAAAATTTTATTTTTTAAAGGATCTTGACATTAATGATGGAGATGCCATCCATATTGGAATAGTTCAACCTGCAGCTAAAAAGCCGACAAATCCTTCCCCTGCAACGTCAACTTCTACTGGACTTTCTTCAATCATTTCCAATTTGGTTAAAAGTATCAAAGTGCCTACCAAACGGCCTTCTGAAGATTCACAAGACAGAATGATGGCAGAAAGAATTTTCGATTCGCTTTCTGAACCTGTTAGATTGGATTTTTTAAAAGCAAACTATCCTGAGTTGGCAGAAGCTTATGAGGCTAATCCGACTGATAAAGGTCTTCTTTGAGTTCTTTTTAGTTCTAGTCTTAGGGGAAGTTCAAGAGGCATTCCGAGGGCATTCTCAGGGGCCCCAAGTCGATCTTATTTTTAATCGTTTCAACAGCTTTCAAAAATTTCCTGGTATATTTTCTTAGAAGGCTCGTAATTGAGGACTGAAGTGTACCAACCTTCGCGCCAGTCATTTTTTCCAATTTTTTGAGGGTAGAATCAGGCCATTTCCAGCCCCTAATAATTTCTTCAAAACTTATTAGGAATCTCATTTTTAAAATTAAAAAATAATTTTTAAATTTTCTCCCCTTTATTTTTTCAGAAGCTTTCGTAAATGCCTTTTTCCAAGCAAAAAAGGATTTGGCACGTAAAGAGCGTCTAATGATGGACGAAACAAGTGAGGAAGGTCAAAGATATGTTGCCGAATTAATTGAGCGTCAAAATATTGATTTTATGCACAATTTTGCTATGGAACATATGCCTGAGGCTTTCATTCCTGTTCATATGCTTTTTATTCGGATGAAGATAAATAATTGTCCAGTCATTGCTTTTATTGATTCTGGCAAGTTTTTTGAATTTTATTTTAAAATTTTAATTTTTGAAGGTGCACAAACTTCAATTTTGTCTGAATCTTGTGCTAAAAGATGCAATGTCCTTCGAATGGTAGACAAACGAATTCGAGTTCAGGCTGTAGGTATTGGTGGAAATCAGAAAATGTTGGGAAGGTTAGTCTGCAAAAAATTTTTTAATTTAATTTTTAACCTTGTCTTGAAAATCTAAACCAAAATCTATAAAGTCTTTCATCAAATTAAGTTTATTTGCCGCTCTTTTACATTTAAAAATAAAATTCAAGAATCTATTTCTCGCCTTTTCTAAAATTAAGATTTTTAATTACCCAATTAAAATCCCTCCAAATTCCTGTCAAGTTCAAATATATATCATCACTTTTTTCTTGTCCACTCGAAATTATGGCTGACCTTATTTTCCCACTCAAAGTCCCAAGTCTTGTTTATGTTAGTTAAGAAGAACCATCGAAATCTTTCAAAAATAATTTTAAACTTATTTTTTTTTAATTTTCTCTTTTCAAGAATCCATTCCTGTCAAGTACAAGTAAATGATCACTTCTTTTCCTGTCCATTTGAAGTTATGGCTGATCGGGATATTGATATTTTGTATTTTTTTTGAAATTTTTCTAATCAAAAAATTTTTTCTTAAAAGATTTGGATTAAATACTTTACTCAGACACAAATGCAGCATTGATTTAATTAAAATGGTTTTGAGGTTTGGTGATGGTACTGAAGCACCTTTTCTTTCTGAGGCAGAATTTCAACGAGAAAAGGAAGCTGTTATTTTGAATGGTTTGTTTTTTTCTTTTGAAAAATTTTTTGGATAGTGGCCGGTTCCTAAAGTCTAGATTTATACATATATCATTCGCTTTGTCTCGGTTAGCGAAGCCGATCTTTAATATTGAAAATGCCCGTGGGCTGAGATTTATGTCCCTGAAAATCGAACAACCATATTGGGGAATGGCAAGCTTATTTTTGGGATCTGAAATTTAAACAGGCAAATATTTAGCTAATTTGGTGTCATTTGACTCAGCTTGCTTTAACAAACTAAATAACATAAAATCAGAAGACTTTGGAATCCCGGTTAAAAAACACCCTAATTTTTTAATTTTAAGAAATTGCAAATAATGAAAAATAGGTGTTTTAAACAGTCAAACAATTTTTTGGAAAAATGGGAAAACGAAAGACATTTTTTATACGATCACTTTTTTACATATTTAAAAAAATACCTTATTTTTAACAATTCAGTCTTTTAAATATTTTTTGTCAGAAAAAAATTTTCTTTTAAATAAAAAAAAGGCTTAACAATTTTTTATCTATTTTGAAAATTAAAAATTTTTTGGAAAATAAGAAAGAAAAAAATATTTGGAAATATTAAAAATTAAGAAAATTAAAAAAATAATTAAATTAAGAAAAAAAGAGTTTTATCAATTTTTGGAAAATTCTATTTTTGTTAGTTGTTTTTTAATAGACCGGACCTAGACTAGATCTCGATCGAAAATCTCAGTTATCGAGATCGTGAATTTTTCGAGATCTCGATTCTCGTACGACACTCCCGTCTCTACTTTTCAGATCCGGTCTCTATTTTCCAAATAATTATCCAAAAATTGTTGCCTAAAACCCTTCTCTCTTTCGTCTAATAAATTAACTATAAATTTTTATTTTTTGTAAATTCCTCAAAAGAAAATGCTTCAATTCCTTCACAAGGTTCACTCCAAAAAATAACATTTAATCCTGATTCCTCTACTGCCTTTTTATTTGCCTTATCAACTAGAGCCACTACACAACCGCCCCAACCTGCGCCTGTTAGTCTTGCTGCTAAACAGCCAGAATCTAAACATTTTTGGACGGTGGCGTCTAATTCTGGGCAGCTACAATCAAATAGATTGGCACAAGATTTGTGACTGGCATTCATTAATTCTAAAATTTAGAATGAAAATTTGGGTCAAAATGCCCAAAAGGCTGAATTGGGACAAAATGTCCAAATGGCTTCAGTGAATAAAATGTCCAGATGTCTTTGTTGGGACAAATATCCAAATGGTTCACTGTGACAGAATGCCTAAACGGCCCTATAAAAAATCAAAATATGTATGTACTCACCGGCCAACTTTTCCAGTGCATTCTTGTCTTGACTTTTACAAATCCTTTCAAACTCCAAAACACGTGCAGCCTCAGAATAAACGTGTTCTGCCCGTTTTCCAAGACTGAAAGTCTGCATATCCTGAGTGTTTGAGTTTAACGAATATTTTGCCAAATCTTCATCTGAACACCCCAAAAATTCACAAATTTCTTCTCTTGTAAAAATTCCTTCAGGATTTTTAGACTTTAAATGCTGGACAAGTTCCATCATTTCTCCGGGCCTTTCAACACGTTCAACCAATTCTGCAATATCTCTAAGCGTTCGAATTGAAAATATCGAACGGAATTTCTCTCGAAACTCCTCGAATTTATCAAGTCCAGCGCTTTTAGCTATCATTTGAGCAGCCAAACGGCATTCAACAACGCGTTGATTGTATTGAGAATTGGCCCCCTTATTGCTGAAATGAATTAAAAATATTTTGAGGATATAAGAAAACTTGGGGGAACCTACCATTCTTTCCCAGAATGAATCACTGCAAACAATGCATTTGACGGTAAAGTGACTGGACGAAATCTAAGAGGAGCAAAGTCAATCAGCAGAGCAGATCCGCGTTGGGCAAGACCTTAGATAGAAGAAAATGTCTTTAGATTTAGTCTGAACAGAAATGAAGCCCAAGAGACCCCCAAGAAAAAAAGAGGCTGCCGTCTCAACGGCTGACACCCGCGTGCAATAAATTCTAAGCTAGTAGTATAAAAGGACAAGATTCCATCACTTGGATAACACGGCCAAAACTCATCCTACAGCAGACGACGACAACTTCTTCTCAAACGTCAATGGCACAGTCTGCAGGCGAGGGCCAAGCATCTGAAGGCGATCAAGCAGCCTCAAATGGCGACAACAACAACTCCTCGGATCAACAGGTGCCTCAAAACAATGAAGCTAATACCATCACAGCAAGAGAGGACTTCCCTCTTCTCAAGAGACTTCCAAGTACCATCGACGTCACTTTGCGCGAGACACTTACTGCAATAGGTGGAGGATTTGGTGGAGCGTCTGGCGGTGGTGGTCCTTCTGCTGGTCGAGGTGAGAAAAAATTTTTTCCCATTCAAATCCTTCCTTAAACTTTTCAAATCTTAAAGGTGACAATTCGGTCTATATGGGCGCTGGCAGAGTCGGGGATAACAGCGTCTACATGAAGTGAAATGCAGCATAAGACGAAAGATGAACGAAGAAAAGTGAAAGGAAGACATTGTTTTCGATTTGTCACAATTTTCTTGTACATACTCATTCTGTATATAATTTGTATTGATGTTGTTGTTGATTTGTTGAATGTATATGACTTGTATATAAACATTGAGTGATTGAGTTTTCTGAGCCTATTAGGAACCTTTTTGTCTGATCCTTTTATTGGCTGACCTTTTTGTATTAACCATTTAGACCTTTTTTATTGACCCTTTTATGTCTGACCATTTTATAAGTCGCCCCCCGGTAATAGTTCGGTTCGTACCCCCCCTTTTTTCCTTCCTAAAAGTATTAAAAAATGGTCAGCCAGTCTTAGGTTATAGAAGTTGAGCTGTGTCGAATGACACCAAAATCAACTCCTGGTCTTAACTTTGGGCCGAGATAAAGACAAAAACCCTGCGCAAAGCGAAGGGTTTTGCCCAAGTTACCGTCGCCCCTCCTTTGTCCGAGTAACGGGACGGTACCAAGTAAAAAACAAAACCAACATTCACATGCTTGGTCCATTCCTCCTCCTTCCATTCCCACAAATCTTTCTGCTTTTGTTGCGAATTCGGCTAGATCCTTCTGCAAAATGAAAAAAATTTTCATTAAAAATTTTCAAGAATTAATATTTGCCTTCGAAATATTCCCAAAAGCTTGTCCAGTTTGAACACAAAGAGTAGCGAGAGCAGCTGCACATACCAAAGCTGATGAACTACTAAAAAACATTTTTTAATAGAGGAAAAAGCCTCCCCTCTCTTTTTAAAAGTTTTACCTTAACCCAGCACTCGGAGGAATTTTGCTTCCAACCAAAATAAACATCCCCCTAGCTTGTTCCAAAACTTTATTTTCATTTTCATTCCCATAAAGCCTTTCTAGAGCACCTCTCCAACCAGCAAAAAAGTAGTGGTACCACTGAGGACTTTTTCCATTGGCAGAAGAATTTGAGAAAGAATTGCCAATTTCAAGAGTAAATGGACTTTAATAGAAATGTAAATTTATTATTCACAACAAATTTACTTGTATCTTGAATTGGCATTCTCTAATCTAATTTCTTTTGTTTCATTTTTATTTGTTGTTGCGATGCCGGCAGCAACCTTTTTTGATTATTTTTAAATTTTAAAAAATTAGAAAAAAATTTTTTATTTTGGCGTTTTGATTTTTAAATGACAAATTATCTTCCCTATTTTGCCAATACGACATTTTGCCAATAAGGGTAAAAATCCTCGTTTTGTCAATAAATTTGTTGGCAAAACGTGGATTTTAGCGTTATTGGCGAAATGTGGTATTGACAATATGTGGTTATCCCATAAAAATTTTTTCTTTTTTTCTCTCACCCATGTACTGTCTTCTATAGCCATAGGCAATACTGGATAATTAGAGTAGTCGATATGTTCGCCAATTAAATTCACTCTGCCAGGACATCTTATAAGCCATTCAGGATTAAGGCCAAATTTCTGCTTGTATAAGGTGACGCATTCTTCGCCACTCATGGCGAAAAAGAGAAAATTCCTTTTTATTAATTTATTAGAAAATTTTTAAGAGACAGCAGCATTAAAGACAAAATTTTTAGACTAAAAATGGGGAGAGAATTTTAAACATCAAATAAAGAGAGAGAAAATGTGACCTAAAATAAAAATTCAAAATGGGAGGAAAATTTTGTTTCTCCTATATAAAATGTGGTGTTAAAAACAATCAATCAACAGCAAAACGTAGCATTTTTTATTATTTAATATACCGCGATTTTTACATAAAAATTTTAGATTTTTTTCTGTTAGAAAAATGTCATTAATTTTCTTTTTTTTTCTTAATTTTTCTTCTTACAAGAGGAAAAGAGTTTGGATGATTTCACTTTCCCTAGAAATTTTTTTTGATTTTATAATTTCGGTAGTAGTGTCGTTTACCGCCCTTTCCCCCCCCCTTTTCCTTCCCAATTTTCCTTTACTTCCAATTTTCTTTTATATTTTTGCCTAAAACAATTAGAAAGGATTAATTTTTATTAAGTTATTTCACAGGGACATTTTTGATTTTTTTGTAGGTAAAATATAAAAAGGAAAATTGTAAGGAGGAAAAAGTCTGACCATTCTGTACATGTAAAGGAAAAAGCGTGGAGGTAAAAAAAGGGGGGTAAACGACACTATTGCCATAATTTCTTTCATTTTTTAACAAAAAGAAAATTAAAATCTAAATTCGGTTAAGAAAGTGTTTATATTTTTATTTAACAGTTCCAAGGAAATAGGCAGCGTCTAGCATTTGTCTGGGGCATTTTCAACCCTGTACTAGCTTCTTGACGTGTTTCAAAATAATCGAGATGGTCAAGTATCTGCGCGATAAAAAAAGAGAAAAATTAAGGGAAATTCTAGACGGGTTATACCCAAAAGATCAAAATCTTGTATAGGACAGAAATACGTAAATTAAAGTAATTTTGGGGGAGTTAAGGGATAGAATCGAGCCGCGCATCGAAATCATTGCCGTTTAAACGTAGTTTTCACAAAAATGCGAAGATTTAAAAGTTGGTATAAATTGAAAATGTAATGTTTTCAAAAAAGTTCTAATTGACTTTCAAAAATAATCTTTGATTGACAGTTTCCATGAGCAAATAAGGTTTAGCAAAAATGGAAGCTAGCACTTTGCAGCAAGAAAATATTGTGCAGGATTAAAAATTATAATCTTTTCGATATTAATGTCAGTCATTAAAATATGCCACAGGGGAATAGATCTTTTGGGTTAAACCCCCTCTTCTATAACAAATCTTGCCTTTACCCCCTCAGACTCGATTAACCCTCCACGGGCCATTTTCTTCCCAGCTCCTGGCCATTCATTCAACACCAATTGTACTTTCGAATTTTCTTTAATTTTAGAGTTTGTTGTTATCTCAGCATTAATACAATGAAAGATTAATAGAAGGGGGAATAAAATGGGAATGGACATTTTAAATATTTTTTTGGAGAAAAATTGTGGAAGTTGAAAAAAATGACGAAAAAAATAAATTTTCCCTTCAAAGGACACTGACTGTTATTGTCCACCTAATAACCTATTTTACATTATTCTCTCAAATCATTAAAAAATATTTTTTCCCTATTGTGTGTATAATATAATCACCCCCTTTTCAAACGATAATTTTATATTGTACATACAAAAAATATTTAACACCTCTCTTTTCCCCTCACAAAGCTAACGCGGTTTTTACATAAAAACTTTAATGTTTGTTGGCAAATAAACAATTACACAATTTTTTTTTGTAAAAAAAGAACAAGGGAGAAGAAAGAAAGAGAATTAAATAACAGTCGATCCTAAATTTTAGATCGACTGTTATTGATGCTGAACAGAGGTCGGTGGAAATTCCGATTTTTGGGCACCCCCGTCATTTACGAACGGTCATTGGTAGGGGCTGAAGAAATTGACTTTTAAAGATAAGAAAATTTGAAATTAACGCTTAGACGTGGAGAACTTTGAATAACTTTGTTTGATTTATCCAAAATGGGCAAACAAACAAAAATTTAAAAAATTGTGTCCAAAATTGAGAGGTATCTTAAAAAATTGGGAACTTGTAAATGGAGGTCTGACTGTATTAACAATTCCTCTCTTTTAAAAATTTCTAGAGTAATCAAAAAATACCTTCTAAATTTTATTTAGGCAAAAAAATGATTTTTAAAAAACAGTTAAATACAATGGGATCTCTCCTCGACACGTCAGGACAAACTTCTTTGGGCTTACGTATGAATTAAAGGGGGTGTTATTGAGGGAGTTGTATTAGCAACTAAATAGAAATTTATTTTACATTATTTAGATTTATATAAAAATATTTTCCTCTCTCTCTTACATATATTTTTTCTACAGCATCAAAACTATTTGAGAAGATGCCGGACCCGCATAATTTACAAAATTTACAACTTTTTCATTCAAATCCTCAACATCTTCAGCATCTCCATATTGCTCTAAAATTGCTTTTAAAGCACCATAATAAAGCCTTTTATTTTCTGTTAAACACACAACTTGAGATAATTGTGATTCATTAGGTTCTGGTTTTTTAGTTGTTTCCACGTTTGGGTGAAATGTTGTAAAACGACCACCTTTTTCTTTTAAAAGTTTGTCACATTCTGATAGAGGTACCTAAATAAAAATAAAGGGATCAAAAAATTTATAGATTTTAAAATGGGAATTTGGGTATCTTTTAAAACAAAAATTAAAACAAAATAGCGAAGGTAATTAGTGAAATATTTTATATGGATTTTAGAAACGTTTTTTTTATTTATTAATAGCTTTTAAAGTATTTTCGACTTGTCGGCACTTTTCCGTTTTGCCATACCCCCTAAATTAATGCTCAAACTGTCATATATTGGATAATAAAAGATCCAGGGTAACAGTACACTTTTTTCCGAACTGTTGACCGAGATAAGGACTCGAAATGGTCAAAAACCACCAACAAGAAATGCCGTAAGCCCAGCCTCCTAATAGATCCTGCGCTTTTATTTTTCAATATTCCTCTTAATATATGATAATCCCTCCTTATTCTTTATCCCCCGAAGTTTCTCGAAATTAACTTGACATCCATCAATATTCTATTAGGACATTTACAGCAATTTATAAAATTATATAAATTTCTAAAAAATTCAAAAAAATTTACCCAATCAAAGCAATAATCACAAAGTAAATCCGAAGGTCTAAAACATCCTTTATAACGCATTTTTGGACAATCATACAAATAAAAACCCATATAATAATAATGCAAATTTGGCCTTTGTTTCGCCAAAAATTGTGTAAAATTAATTTCCCACAATGCAGAATAAACACCCAAAGACAAAAAAGAATAATTTGGATCATAAAAAAGATATTTTGAAGAAAAACAATTTGGTAAAATATCAATTACTCCAACAGCTATTATTCGACCATCTAAACGATATTGTTGATGGTAGGAACCTAGTGAAGTAAATTCACTTGACTTTTGGTTCTGAAAATAGAAAAAAAATTTTTTGAAATTAAAAGGAAGGATTCTAGAATATCAGAAGAGTGAATATTGTTTGTTTTGGCTAATAAAAAAGTAATTCAGTTAAAAAAGAAAAAAGTAATTCAGAGGTAAAGCTTAAGGGGGTTCTCAATTTGGCAGTTCAGCGGTTTTTGGAGGTTGGCATTCCCATGTTTTGGCGTTAGACACGTTCTGATAATTTCGATAATGACTAAATTTGGCAGTGTTTCACAAAATGTGCGTTCACTGTCGAATTTAGTCTCACTGACCGCTGTAAAGTTGAGTTAATATTGAATATGCTCAATATTCTTAGGACTTCCAAGGATTTTATTTTAATTCCAAAACCCCAATAAAAATTAAAAAACCTCCTCTTCAGCAATTAAAGGAGACGAAGCCAAAAAACGAGTAAAAGAACTTGTAGATAATTCATCAGGATCATCTTTGTGTATTTCAACTTGATAACGTTTAAAAAGTTCAAATTCTTCATCAAAATCTGCATCTAATTCTGGAGAGGGTTGTCCAACAAGTTTAATCTAAAAATAAGTTTTTTTTTGGATTTTCAAAAATTTTTTAACAAGAAAAAAACGCAAAATTGTGAGGAAAAACTCGAATATATAAACCGGGAAAATTTACTTATTTATATTTTTCATCCGAAATTCGTTAAAAATATTTTTTAATCGAATTTTGGAGAAAATATTTTCAATGTTACACTCACTTCGCAAAAAATATTAAAATTACAAGAATAAATAGGGAAGTTTTTCGAGTAGGCCAACGTTCAAGAAAATATTTCCTAGCATTAATTCTTATCGAATACGATGTTGTAATGAAAAGTTGAAATTCCAATCGTCGAAATTTTCATTTTGACGACGTCTTAAGATTTGGAATTTCAACATTTTGGAATTACAACAAGCCACGTTTTTATTGAGTCCTAAAAATAAAACAAAAAAAACCTCTAATCGATGCTTCCATTCCTTTCCAATTTTTTCGTCGTCCAAATAATCGAAATAACTTTGTAAAGTTCTGACTCGAGCAGCTTCTTTCTCTGCACGTTCTTTTTTATACTTAAAAAAATTTTTTGAAAAAGTTTTAACAAAAAAACCTTTTCTAAATCAATTCCCCTAGCTTTTAAGCGTTCTTCAGCTTTTAAACGTCTCAAAAATTTCTTTTTTGGTAAACGTTCAGTTGTAGAAAATTCTTTTCTAAAAATTTAAATTTAAAAAATAATTTAAAAAAAAAATACTTTTTGTGTTTCTCTGCATTTTTTGCATTTTTTTCTCCATTTGTTTGACTCTCCTTTTTATTTAAAGAACCATAACTTTCCATATTAACAACAGCTTTTTCTTTAGGTTTTATATCATTTTTAAGGTAATTTTTCATTGCAGAAAGCACTCTTTTTTGAGTTCGGGAAAGACGAAATTTGTTTACATCTAGTCTGTAAAAAATTAATTTTATAAAAAGGAAATTAGGGAATTTTTAAATAAACTTAGGAATTTTTGACAAATATAAAAGCAACAAAATTTGTCCAGTTTTCCTATCCCTAGGTCTTCCAATTTTCTAATGAAAAGTGACTAGTTTTTTTTGAAAAAGAACTTTAGGTCGAGTTATAGCATTTCAAACTTTCGGTTTTTGGGAGAGTTTGAGATATGGTTGTCGGTTCTGAACCGAACCGAAGAACCGATGATTTTTCGGTTCAGATATCGGTTCGGTTCCGGATATCCGAAGATTTTCCAAGAACCGACAACCCTAGTTTGAGTCAATATAAAATCTAAAGAACAATAAATTTAAAAAAACCTTATAGTATATTGAGGACAACAAGTTTTGTTCATTATAGGTTTGTACAAATATTTACCAGACCTTAACAAAAAAAATCAAAATTATTCTTTAAAAAATTTTTAACAAAAAACCTTCTCCATCCCCTATCCACCAAATTTTGATAGGCACGAACAGTGAGACGATAAGCCCATAGACCTACAAAAATTAAAAAAAATATTTAACAAAAAAATTTAAAAAATTTAAGAGTCTTATCGCTCATTGTTCGGCCTTTTAAAAGTAAAATGAAAGGAATATATTTTTTTTACCTACTCCAACCGAGATCCAAAAGTAGATTGAAAGAATTTAGGCTTAAAAAACAAGCGAATAACCCTAAATTTTAAAAAATGAAGAATTCAATAAAAATAATTTACCAAAAGTGTTAGAATTGTATCGATTAATAGACGCGTCTTCTTGAGATTCTGTTGAAGATTCACCCTCAAAAACAAAAATATTCTAATAAAAGGTTTAAAATTAGTAGGCTAGTGGAGATATACAGAATGTCAGAAACCGGCAGAAAATTTTCCAAAATTCTAGTTTGGACCCTCCAAAAGATTTGGATATCTCTAGTTCTCTTAAGAGATTTCTAAGGAAGCCGGTAAAAATACGCGAACCATTAAAGCCTAATTTAAAGTACTAATTAAGATGTCGGTGTCTAAAAACCTTCACGTCGCCCGATTTCTTTAGATATTTCCCAAGTATCCCGCAGAAAATACAGGATTACTAAACATTAACAAAAAATATACCAATTTTTGCCTTGGCCCTCTTCGTAGACTCACAATATCCACAATGATTACATTCATTAATTCCAACATATCGAACAATTGACAAGTCATTTGAAGACATTTTACTAGAAAAATTTTAATTTTAGAGTAAATTAAAGAAATGAAAAAATATATAAAATATTAAAAAATTCAATATTTTTTGCAATCAAACAAAAATTTTATTATTTTTATTTCAAAAAAATTCAAAAATAAACAAATGGGAGGAGGCCAACGTACCGCGAGCCCAATGTATCGCAGAGCTATAACTTCGTTCAAATTAGTCGAATCCGGGAACCTTGGTATGGTTCAACCATATAAGGGCGTCCCGGATTCGACCATTTTGAACTAAGTTATAGCTCTGCGGTACGTTGGCCTCGCGGTACGTTAGGCTGTACCCAAAAAAATAAACAAAAAATAATATTAACTTGTTTCACTTTTCTCTTCATTCTCCTCTTGTGGAGTCAATTTCAGCCGTTTCTTTCCCTTTTTCGCTTTTTGTTTAGCCAACTTTTCTTGTAATTTAACTTCATCGTCTCTCTGTGCCAACATAAATTCAAAACGAGGGTCTTCTGGATCAACCCAATAACCAAAATATTCCTGGACTTGCCGAATTTTTCTTTGCAATTCTTCCCCTTCCATTTTTTTCTGATCCATTGATTGAGCTCTTTCTTCATAATATTCTTCTAACATTGCGTCGTGTTTTTTCCAGTTTTCTTCGATTTTTTTCAGTCTTTAAATTTAAAAAATAAATTTTTAAAAATTAAAACTTTTGATATTTTTGAACTTCTTGAAACTAACAAGGAACCATATCGAACTGTGACAAAAAATTTCGTAATTATTTTTCACCATCGTGTAGAGCAGGGTCGAGTTACTATTGCCAATTTTTTGATTTTCGGCCCTCCCCCCGAATCTGAAAGTTATAGGGTTTCAAAGGGTTATAGGGCTTTATACCATCTACACGATGGTATAAAAATAATTACAAAATTTTTGGTCACAGTTCGATATAGTTCCTTGTCAGTTTGAAGGACCGATCCCGTTGCCATTCGACATAACCCAACGAGCTCTATCGACTTATGGATTCTCTCAAACAGAAAAAATTGCCAAAGGGGCCAGGGGACGAAAAGAGCACAATAAAAAATTAAATTGCTAACCTATTTTCACGCCTCAATTCTTCAAACATTTGATTATTTTTTGCCAATTCAGCAGCTTCTTTAGCTTTTCTATACATTCTCAAAGATGTAATGTCTTCAATTTCCTTAAAATAAAAAATAATTTTTTAAGGATTAAATAAAAATAAACCTCAATAGACGGCCATAAACGTCGAATATCCACACCGCTTTTAATTCCATATTGCCCAAAACGTTCCCCCATTGCCCATTTTTCTCGTTCATAATCATATTGTAAAGGAGGAATGCCACCTTCAGCAATTATTCGATGACGAGCATTTAATCCAATTTTTGGTAAAGAAGCGACAGCTTTTTTCATTTTTATCTAAAAAACTAAGAAGAAAAATAATTTTAAACAAAAAAACAGTTAGAAAGAATAAACCAGAAAGATAAATGTGCAAAACATTCCACAAAAAATTAGAGGTCGGCAAAATCGCATTCCCGGGATCCCGTAACGGGATTGGATTTTCAAAATTCGACCGGGACAAGATCCCGAGGGATTAATCCCGGTAATCCCGTCTGTCGCTAAAACCCGGCATTCCGGGACGGAATCCCGTAAAATCCCGCACGGGGTCCCGTCCCGAGCTTTATAAAAAATTACTCAACTTGTCCTTTTAAGAAATTAGATATTTTAATGATTTGACATTATGACACAGAAGAATTTTTTGGACAAAAAATTTTTTTTTTGAAAATTTTGCAAAAATTTGTAGATAAAAGATTTAACTTTATTATTGGTTTAAAATAATTTAAACAATTAAAAATATAATTAAAAATTTTATTAATTTAAATCTGTTGAGGATCAGTAGTAGTTACCCTCCAATAACCGTATCAAAGGGAAATGCCGCCAACCTATAGGAGGGGTGTCGGGGGAGGGGTCTGGGGGAGGGGTCCGACAAAAACCAAAGGGCATAAGGGGGTTTTGTCGGCTTTTTCTTTTGATCTTTTTGATGACCCTCTTTGATTTACCGACCGGGTAATAAATTATTAATCGGGGGGAGGGGTCTGAACTAATTTGTACCTCATAAATCATTTTAAGGGGAGGGGTCCACCCCTATTAACGCGAACCTGTTGACAAGTGCGGGAGGGGTAAGGGAACTAATTAGTGACTAATTGGTTTGGGGGTTGGGTGTAAGAGGAAACCAATTTGTTTTACAAATTGGTTTGGGGGAGGGGGTAATAAAAATTTTATTACCAAGAGGTGTTAATTGATTGACTAATTGGTTTAGGGGTTGGGTGTAAGGGGAACTAATTAGTGCTGGGTGTAAGAGGAAATCAATTAGTTGACTAATTGATTTGGGGGAGGGGGAAGGGTGAAAACAATTTGTTTTACAAATTGGTCTGGGGAGGGGGTCAAGGGAATCTAAGCTGCTAATTGCTTGACAAATTGGTCGGGGTTGCGGGGTTGGGTGTAAAAGAAACCAATTTGTTTTACTAATTGGTGTGGGGAGGGGGCGGGAAGGGTCCACCGTATCAAAGAAAGCCGCCACTCCTTTGATTGATGACAAAGGAAATGCCGCCGAGTCTGACGAGAAGAATCGAGGGGAACCAATTGACTAATTGGTTTGGGGAAAGGGTAAGGAGAAATTTTTATTTCTGAGTTACGTAATCAGTTGGGTGATCTCAGGGGTGTTGATCTTTTGGGTTTAACTTCCTTTTCCCTTTATTTTTCTTCATTTTTATAGGAAAAATTGAGATTTTTTGGAAAAATATGGTACTTTTGTAAAATGTCATAAAAATTTTTCTAGGACCTAACTTAAAAAACTGACCGGTCATTTCTAGATAATTCTTTGCTCTATCAGATGGAAAAGACCGCATCTGTTTATCTTTTTGGGTCCCGATTTTATTAAGCAAAATGTCCAAATTTTTTATTTAGCAAAATTTTATTAATCAACATTTAAATTTTACAATGAAAATTTTCAATTTTTTCTTAAATTAATGCCTTTTTACACCCTTCATTCTGCTTTTCGTTTGCTTCCTATCTTTTTGTATGGTGCCAAAACATCTGTAGCAGTGCTATTTGCTTTGACACAGTTATTGCATAATCCTATCTTCACAGTAACACAAGAAGGATTCTCTTCAAATTTGTCTTTTGAATAAAATAATTTGTTTTGGCAGTCTAAAAATTTAATTTTTGAATAGAATATTAAATTTTATTACCTTGACACAGATAGAATGTAATTAAGAATTTTCCGCGTATTAGTTTCCAAAGAAGTTGTTTTTTAACAACTTGCTCTTCAACAATTTTTATTTTATTTAGATCCACAGGAGGATTAGTAATAGTTGACTCTTAAAAATATGGTAATAATTATTTTATTATTAAACCTAAAGAGCTTTTTGATTCCTTCTTTTTTCCAATTTCACAGGTTTTGTAAAGGAAATTTCCTTGCTTTGCTCACAATCCCCATCTTTAAAATAGAAACTTAATCATGTTTTTAAAAGGAAAATTTACCAATCTTCTCAGTGGCTGGGTTATTTTTTTCCATAATTAAAATAATAAAAGTGTAACTATTTAAATGCAGAACAAATTGTTATAAATTAAGTAGAATGATCTTAAGAAATAACGATTATTGACTTTTTTAGTAAAAAGTGGGCGTGGCTTTTTATCGATTTTTGAAATGGCTTGGCTTCGCTTTTAAAATGGCTTGGCTTCGCTTTTTCAAATTTGGTGTTTTGTTCAAAATAGATACATAAAGTTGAGAGATACTGTAGTGTTAGAGAGTATAGACACCTACGGGAGCGAGAGAAGGGTATATAAACTCAAAAATTTAAACAAAACTAATTAATTTTAGAAAATTTTAATAAAATGGCCCTCAACATGAATGACAAGAAATCATTATTGACCCAAATTCTCCCTGAAGTCGAATTCAACATAACTACTAACGGAATCACTATCACTAGTGACAGAATTACCACCCCGCGTTTCATTCCTTTTGAACACGGGGGTCGGTGCCGGGAATGTAAAAGCACAGAAGTAGAATTGGACTTTATTGTTACAAAGGAGGGAGTGACAATTTATTGTACTCGCCTGTCAACTCCTCGTTTAGTACCATTTGATTGCATTTATGATCTCCCGGGTCATTGTTTTTTCAAGGTCATTTGTCTAAAATAATTTTTGAAAAATTTTAAAATTAAGATAAAAAACAAGGGTCGAATTTTGAATATACCATATGGTTCACAAAATGTTTGCTCAGTTGACAATACGAATTTTCGCAAGCGTGAAGCTACTACTCAACTACCTCTACCACCACCCCCACCACCGCCTATGCCTCCACAGGAGGAATTATTAACACCTATTTCCCCTCCTCCTGCACCACAAGAGGAAATATTAACTCCACCACTTGCATCTCCACAAAAAGAAATACCAACACAAGAGTCTCACGTAACATTATCTCCGATCAAAGAAGAGCCATTAATTAAAGAAAATGATGATGCTGTACTTATGGAATTCTTTGACTCCATGCAGGCTGTTACAATGGGAATGTTAGCAGAAAGTGATGTTAAGAATGAAGTAATAACTAATTACAACCCCCTCTTTAATTCAACAAGTATTTAAGTTCATTAATTTCCAGGTTTTATAGTTTTCCTATCATTTAGTATGGAAACGCTAACTTTTTCAAATAAAGATTTAAAACTTAAATTGCCTTTTGGTATGGTTGTATCAGGCCCTAGTTCTAGTGGCAAGAGTACGTTCTTGCTCAAATTTATTTCAGAGGTTGAAGAGTTAATAGAACCCAAACCAAAGAGCATACTCTATTGTTTTGGCGAAATGAGTAGTATTGTACCTATACTTCAAAGATCTGGTGTTAATGTCTTTGTCGGAGTCCCGCCTGAAGACTTAATAAAAACACTACCCAAGCCACTTCTTCTAATTTTGGATGACCTTCTTTTGTCAATAGATGAAAAATATCTATCTGAACTTTTTACAAAAAAGTCACACCATCAAAATTTTTCTGTTATATTTGTTACACAAAATTTATTCGACCGAAAAATTAAAATCGCTCGTCAAAATGCCCAATATATTGTATTAATGCGTTCACCTAATTCAGCCCTTGCAGTAAGGAATATAGGAGTCCAACTCTTCCCTGGAAGGCTGAATTATTTCTTGGACGCCTATCGTCAATCAACAAATCAACCCTATGGATATCTATTGATCGACATGCATGCTTCATCTGATCCCACTTTAAGACTTAGGACAGGAATATTTAAGGAGGACGAAAAAATTATTTTCACTCCAAAGAGTGGCATTTAAAATGGTCGGTCAATTAATTAGTGAAAACGTAAATTTTCTAAATACTCTATGTCATACAAAATCTCAAAGAAAAATTCGTCGTCTTTTACAACTTGCTAGTAATACTCAACTTTTAACACTTGTTGAAATATGTCTTAATATTGTAAAATCTCGATTTATGTTGACACCCCGTCAAAAGAATCGTTTAATGCCTTACGCCTGTTTTGTCCGAAAAGTAAGTAGGGCACGAAGTGAAAGAGGAGCAAGACTTGCTTTACAGAAAGGAAATGGTATTGGAGCTTTTGCTGCTCTCCTTACCCCAATACTCATTGAACTGGCGCGCTCTATAAAAAGCGGAAATTAAACTGAATTATATTTTAAAGTATTTACTAAAGAATTATGGCTAATAAATTTGTCCTCGTTCCTCAAGAAATTTATCGGGGTCTCACAACATTTGATACTGGTGAACCAAATCTTGAAGATGTTCGGCGAACTTTAGATAAAACACAAAAAGGAAAAGAACACCCTAGTGCAAAAAATATCCTTTATAACCAGGAATTAAGGCGATACTTACACTTACGTAATGAAAGTCAAAACCGACCAGTTAGAGTTGAAATGGTCGCTTCACCCAAAGGGGCTATTATGAGAATGAACAAACGCGTCCTTCAACAGCCGAGGATGATGATGAAATGTGGATGAGCGATGATATTTCGTTTTCTAATTATCCTAGAGAACCTCCAAATAGAGCCTATAATTTTGTACCACCTCTCTCTGAATCTTCGTACCACCCATCTTTACCTTCACTACCTAGAAGTAGTAACGTTCTAAGAGAAGAGGTGTCTCCGACACCGCCAAATCCACGTCAACTTGTAAAAAGGAAAGAGAAAACTAATGGAAATGGTTCAAGAAGGATGAAGCCCGTTAAAGGAATTAAAAAGTCTAAAATTCCTGTGAAAAAGAAACAAAAGAAAAGAGTGACGGCAACCCTAACTTTACCTTCAACTTTAGAAATTGAGAAACGAACAGATTCTGTCATTGATGCACAAAATGCCCCATTATGTGATTCCCCTCCTGTAGCATTAAAAAGAGACCAAGATTCCAACAGTGCTGAAGGATTCAAGAGGAGTAAAAATGTATATGAAAATAAAGAACTTAGGTTAAGAGAACAAATTGCACAA